CAAAGAGTCTCATGAAATTTAAAAAAATGATTGGAAGTCTTCCGGTTTTTTTAAAATACTTTCAAACTGTCCCGTCAATTTTTGAAACCGTAAATTGACACATATTGCACTAGGACTGAGAATTGATGGAAAAAAACATGAGTAGTCTGAAAGAAACTTCAATTTTCACGTTTTTTTAAGAACGGGGCTAAACGTGCAAAGGTTGACTTGTGACTCACCATTCGGCGATAAAAGAAAAAAACGGCTTGACTAACCCTTCAACTTATAGTTTGACCATATTTTCAGATGATTAAAAAAATTTTTTTATGACTAACTTGTATTTTTTTACAAAAGTTTGAGGATTTTTACTCTGTTCTCGAACGATGAAAAAAATTTTTTTATATGATAATTCAGCGTTTTATCTTCAAATGGCCCCGATTCTCCAGTTTTTTTCTTCTTTCTTTTTCATGGTACTCCCATGAAAAAAATATGAAGTGACCGTCTTATATTAATTAACTTTATCAAGCACATTAATTGGCGTCAAGTGCTGCGTGATAGGTACATCAAAACAATCCATCTGCAAACACTATCGAATTACAAGGAATGCACTCAATGTTGGGCGTGTTTGCACAAATTTTTTGGCATTTTTCAAGTTCAAAGAAAATTTGTAAGTTTTTAAGACGTTAGATGTTTTTGAAGAGGCTGCAATGAATGGCTAGAAACTTGGGAATGATGATTCTCGATTTTGAAGAAGTTTTTTTTTAACTTTTTTCTGTTCGATGGAACATAAAATATTCCTTCTGTTTTTATAATGTTTCGCAAATTTTTTTGAATTTGTTCAGGATTTTTTTAGGAGAGGTCTCGTGGAAGGTTTTATTTATTGCATACAGATAAACTAAAAAAATAAAAATAATAAAAAAATGAGGGATTTCGATTGGGAGGGATGGGAAATCTTTTTTTCAGATATCAAGAAATTTTTAACTTTTTTTAAAATTTCTTTACAGAATTTTCAAGGAGCTCCTGAAACAAAAAAAAGCGAAACTGGCTTGAAACACAGAAACAAGTCGGTAAAATTGAAAATATTTACTATTTACCGTCACCTTGAATCGTTGATTTCTTCACTAACTTGTAATAATTTCAAAACCGTTTACAACCATAAAATTGTTTCGAAAATGCAAAAAATGAACGGAGTACCTGAGAACTCCGACAAAAAAGACAATTTGATAAAAAAAAAAGCTGAATTCCAGAAGAGATGAAAAATGAATCACGACGCCTCAATGGAGAAAAATGTTTTGAGAAACCCTCTTGTCGCGTAAAAATTTGACAAAAGGCAATATTTCCGTGACGGACGGTTCTTTGACTTTTTATCGAATTGTAATCTATGGAGGAGAAAGATTTTATGGAATCTTTTTTGCTTTTTTTTTAGCGTAGTCAGTTTACAGTAATTTTGGACAGCGCAGAGGAGTTTTAAAAAAAAATCAGCCTAAAAACGTTCTTATCCTTGTGAGGCTCATAAAAGTCCTTTCTGATGTGTCAAATTCAGCTAGTCTACTCAAACAAGCTTAAAAATGACTCAAAAAAGAAGATTCTTCAAATTAAGTTTGCCAAAAGCTGGAATTATAGAGAAAAAGAGGAATAGCTAAGCCAAAATGGTTTTCAGAAATCAATTTTTATCGATATTTGAGTAGCTCGGAAAGCTCTGCGTGACGATGGAGAGCGCTCTTTTTTCTCCTTCCTCCGTTTCGGCTCTCACCTCGGCGAATCTTCTTCTGTGTGTACACTACCTCAACAATATCTGCCTTTCTTCCCCGAGTTTTGAATCAATCAAATGATAACAGTAAAGTGACTTTGTTGTTCAACGATTTCAATGAACTGAATAAAGAAAAAAAAATGGAAATCATCCCAAGAAAACATACTACACTGCTGGCCATGCCTATTTGTATTTTTGGCTATAACTTTGCTCTAAACGGTCAGAATCTACTGAAATTTCAGTATATTTTGTTTCGAATCAATACAAGTAAGATTTGTGATGCTATCAGAGAAGGTCATTTCATTTTACGGTTGGGAAATTGGCCGAACACTTCTTGATGTACCAGATGTAGATCCTGAATTTTTCAACCTGCCCAGCTTCCTAGTTTTTGAGAAATAAGAGTTCAAAGTCTCAAAATTGCCTGTTTTCTTGAATTTTGAGGGTTTCCTTTGACTTGGAGGCTTCTTTTCTCAAAAATAAGGGAGTTAGGCAGATTGAGACTTTCAGAATCTTCTTCTGGTACATCAAGGAGTGCTTTGGCCAATTTTCCGCAACGGGAAATGACTTACCTTGTAACAACCGATGGAAAATAAACGCTACCAAAAATTGAAAGGTTTTCAGCTTTCTTTTCTTTCAAAAATTTCCATATTTTTCGTTCAAATATTTATATGAAGTCAAAAAAGTACCCTTCTCAATGAAGGGTTTCACATCCTATTACAGCAAAAATAATCGACTTTTCTGGGTTTTCGTCTCTTTTTTGACCGATGTCCAGTTTTTGTGGATCATGTCGACACCTAAATGCAATAGTTGATCGACTGAATCTGACCTGCAATTTTTTCAAAGTTAGCGTAAAAAAAACTTTAAAAATGAATACCAGGTGAGGCTTCAATTCTATTCCTTTAGTTTTCTTTTCAAATGACGTCGGTTAAAAGATTAAATCCGTCCACTGTTAAATGTTGTTTTGGGTCGTTTTTGAACAAATAAGAGAAAATCGTCATTTTTTTCTTCATCTCGAGCTCACTTGCAGCATTTTTCTGTATCAGAATCTCAAATTCCGAGTTATCAAGCCAAGCATCGAAGTAACATGAAACTTGTTTCCTCCAGCTTCTCGCACCTGCTCCCTATCAATAAGATTATTTTTTGATAGAAGCCTTTTGAAGGCTTGAATTTCGAATAAAACCTTCAAAACCGAGTTCTTTTTGAACATCAGCGATGCTGACAAAATTGTGCAAACACGGGCGAGTTTTGATTACAGTAGCTCTAATTTGATAGTGTATGCAGATTATTTGTCTTGATGTACCTGTTACGCAACACCTGACGCCGATTGAAGATCTCAATAAAGTTAATTAAAACAAGGCTTTCACGAAGTATTTTTTCATTAAAGTGCTATACAGAGAAAGAGGAAAAATTGGAGAATAAGGGACATTCGGAACTTATCAAGCTTTTTTGTTTTTTTAAATTTATATTTAAAAAAAATAAGAAAATAATTTTGATTGACATCTTTATCAACCAATCGCCGAAGTTTCGTGAAGTCTCCGCTCGAAGTGCTCGCTTTCATTTTTTAAAAGTCTTAAAAGACTCCTGCCCAGAGCACAATCATTGAACTCCAGCAAAACATCCGCTACATTCTGAGCTTATCAAGGCGCAATTAAATGAGCTAGGAGCAGAAGTACGAGGCGAAGGACCGCCATACTTTCAAAATGCTACACCTTGGAAGTTCTAGTTCGTCAGAGGCGGTTGTTGGTCTTAGTTTTGAAATTTTAATTTTTACTACTTGGGCTCGGGTCAAGTTGAAACTGCGGTGCCTTATAAAATTGGGTGAGAGCTCTAAGAAACAAGAAAGATTATCTGGTGAACCTCATAGGCTTTTGAGAAAAAGCTCTTCGAAGAAATCCAGGAAGAGTCCCGTACGCGCCTGAACCGTTCTCCCTCACCAAGGTTAATTTTATGACTATCAAAAAGTTTTTGGTCTTTAATAAAAAGGCAAAAAAGGTTTGCCCTTGACAGGGATCGAACCTACTCAATCATGAAACTGGCCCTCTAATCACTGCGCCAGGCCACCTCGGTGAGAGAAGAAGGCTCAGTCGCGTACGGGACTCTTCCTGGGTTTGTAAGAGAAGCTATTTTCAGAAGCTTATGTGGTTTAGCAGATAATATCTCTTGTTTCCAAGACTTTTTATCCAAGTCATTAAGCCACCGTAGTTTCAATTTGATACGCGTACCCGAGCCCAAGTGATTCCCTAGTTAGTCGAATATCTTCTTCTTCTTCTTCTTACGCCTTTGTACAGCTTGAGCGGCGTCGGCGCCCCAAGTCGATTAGCTGAGGTCCTATCCTGATATCAGTGGACTGGCTCCAGTGACATATCCGTCCTTGTGTTTGACGGCTGGGGATTATGAAGCCGTGGTTTCACACCAACATTTCTTAAACCCCTTGGTTGGGTCGGGGATCGAACTTGTGACCCTATGGACCGTAGACAGGCACACAATCTGTTTCGCTACGGCGCGCCCAGTCGAATATATCTATTACTTAAACAAAAAAATAATTGAGTGAATGTTGAAAATATTTTAGCCTGAAAATGCTCTCATTTGTTGGTTATCAAAATTTTTTTTAATTTTCAGAAAGTGGATGAATTTCGAATGTCCCTGATTCTCCAATTTTTCCTCTTTCTCTGTATAGCACTCTTATGAAAAAATACTTCGTGAACACCTTGTTTTAATTAACTTAATTGGACTTTTCAATAGGCGTCAGGTGTTGCGTAACAGGTACATCAAAACAATTAATCTGCATACACTATCAAATTACAGATACTGTAATCGAAACTTGCCCGTGTTTGCAGAATTTTCTTGGTATTGTTAAAATGGAGTTTTGGAGTTTTTATTCGAATTTCTCGCCTTTACAAGACCTTCAAAACAGGATATCAGATAGAAAACATATTCGATTACAAAACTGAACGAGAAGAAAAATTCTAAACTTTTCAGAATATCTTGTCATTCAAAGAAACAAAATCTCGACTAGAAAACTCATAATCGGAAAATCTAACACACAAAAAAAAGTTACAAATAAGCTTGAGATGAAGAAAAAAAAAGAACAAACCCTTTTTTTTTGGAATAAAATTAACAGTGAACAGTAAAAGAATTTATTTCTTTCAACAACGTTATCATACAGAAAAAACAAAACTATGAATTCCATCACAAAAAATGCCAAACACAACATACAACGTATAATTCCTATCACAATTTTTGTAGCAAAAAATCCGGAATAACAAAAAAATTATTGTTCAAAAACAGTCTCCAAATAATCGACTTTTTCTGGGCTACTTGCTTCTTCTCTGACCAATGGCAAATTGTTCCGGATCATGTCGACGGCCAGATCCAACAGGTAATCAATACATTCCGTCCTGAAAAACAAGTGAGTAGGTTCAAACATTTCCGTAATTTTTGGGGTCTCAATGAAGCAGTGTTTTTTTTTCAAATTATAGGAGTGAAACAGGTTAGTGTTTTATTTGCACCGGTCTGTTGTTGTTTCAAAAACCGATTTGAAAACTAAGAAAAAAATGCTTACATGATTTTAGCCATCTCCCAAGTCGGACCCCAAACAAAAAGGCCGTGATTTTTAACCAGTACAGCTACTGACCGCGGATAATTTTGCAGAACTTCTTCGATAGGCTCCTGAAATAATTCATGCAACATATATTTGATCAAGTCACCAATTAATTGAAAATGAAAAGGATACATACCAAAAGTTGGCTTTCGCTTGGCCGATTCTCGATAATAGGGATCACTAGAGTGTCGTCAAAACGCAGGTTGGCTCCGGAAAACGGATCGTAAACTCCTGAAAAACTAGATTTGAACTGGGAAATTGGAAAAGAAATAATTAACAGCTTACTGCGCTTTTAAATCCTCAAACCGACGGGTGTTAAAATGTTTATCGGAAAAAAAATAACACTCAAAATCCACTACTCTCCAAAATTTGTTTGCTCATTGAAAAAACTGGATCAGATTACCTTTGATGTACTCCTGATGTGAAATCTCGAAAGTATCCTGTTTGACCAACTGCGTGATCAAATTTGCCGCTTTTGAGTGGGTGTGAATGACGCATTCGGATCCTGAAATTTAAAAATTATCTTGGTCCGAAAAAGGTAGGAAAGTTTACCTGTCTTCTTCATTATTGATGAGAAAAGCACTGCGCAAGATGAAACGGTAAACTTTTTCGAATGAGAAGCTCCATGGTTACACGTCTTGTCTTGAAGATCATAAGCGAAAATGTCAGATCTGAAAAAAATGAATAATATTCAAAAATATCATACAAGGGCCATTCGAGCGAAACACTTAGATTTTTGTTATAGCCTATTCCGCGCCTGCTTGTCACGTTTTTCTTTCCGCCAAAAGACCGTATACCAAATTAGATCAAATTTCTGTGTTTATAACGGCAAGAAACAAAGGTCTTGAAGCGAAAGTTGGTTAAATTTGACCTGGCCTTTTGACGGAAAGAAAAGCGTGACAAGCTAGCGCGGAATGTTCTAAAGAAACGCCATCTTTATGAATTTTCGCTTTCCATCAGAAAGCTGTAATATTTCTGGAGCCAAGGTTTAAATTTCAATCAAAAAAACATCAAAATGCATAATAATTACATTTTTAATCAATTTTCAAACTAAGAAGTAAGTTTTCTTTCCTTCCAAAATCCCTAAAAAAACAACCAGCTTCAAAGCAGATATGAAACAGTAAAGATGAATTGAGAAAAAAAAGCTTACTGACTCATGAATCCGCTCTTTTTGAAGAGCAGATGGTGATACCAAAAGGTACTTTCCGGCAATACAACCCATCGCTCCGCCACTTCCTCGCATCCAGCCAAGTTCATAGAACTGCTTCATCAACTCGGCAAATAAATCATGGCTCATGGTCTGAAAAAATGCAGAAAATCAAAGTAAAACAGTAAAGTGCGCAAATTTTTTTTTGGAATTTTGCGATGAAACGTTTTTGCCATCTTTCTGGATCAGTTTCCAGAGCTATTGGTTTTTTTATAAATTTTAATATTTTTGTAATAAGTTTATTAGAGTACAATCAATACAAAAAAAACATGGAAACAGCTTCATAAACTATTGAAACAGCAAAATAGGTTAAAAAAAACTCACATTTGCCACGCTGTGTTTCTGGAAGTCATCCGGTTGCATTTGAAGAAAATTGGCATCCTGGGTGAAATCAGCCATAATTACTCTTCTACTAGGCTCGGTGCACGCCACAAACCAATCAATCGATAAAACTGTCGCGGCATCATTTATTTACTCTATTTGCACAGCACAATAGTAATATGTCACATTTTTTCGTGCATTCGTCCCCGGGTTGGCTTTGCGGTCCTTGTAATCCATTGGGACTTGATGTTCTGTGTTTTTGAGGACGTCTTCTTCAAAAAAATCGGCTGAAACGTGAGTGTTACCAATTCCAAGTTGAACTTATGCTGAAACTTGGCTAGAATGTACTATAGGCCCTATGAGCTCATAAAAGTGAAAATTCTCAAATTTTGCTTAATAGTCGAGTCATGACACTCAAAAAATTTAAATAATGGGTTTTCCTTTGATTTTTGTTGTTTTAAAAGTTTTTGAAAAAAATCTCAACTTGAATTTGGGGCAGAAGTCAAAGGAGCAAAAAAATTTGATAATTTCTTTTTTTGAGGTAAAATTTAGTGAGCTTTCACAAAGAAAAAAACCTTTATTTAAATTACACAAAAAAATATTTTTTTCCAGTTCACGGCGAAGATCCAGGGGCAGGAGTCGGGATGATTTCACAGCGTGCGTCTTCCACTTTGACATTGTTGCCTTTATAGTCCTTGGCGTACCAGTCGCCATGTTTGCAAGTGAGATACTACAACATTATTGAAATATTTCTCTAAGATGTGTTTGAAAAAGCTTACGTTGGAGGTTCCACCGATTCCAAAGGAAATTGGGCCTTTGCTCACGGTGAATTGAACCTGGAAAAGATTTTAAAAGCTTTTATTTTGAAAAGACGCAAAATAAGGAAACTTTCCGGTTTCAAGTAGTCATAATTTTTCAAAAAGGCTCGCTACTAAAGTCTCATGTTAAACTTTGACCGATTATCAAACTAATTATAGCAATATTAAAAAAATTCAAATTCAAAATCTCAATCTATTAGTACAAGGTTTTTCATTGAGACAGAAAAGTGAACTTTAACCATCAACTCAAAATCAACAACTTACAACGGCGTTTACGTCGCTTTGACGGCACAGAACCATTTTGGCCTCTTGCTTCCAACCAGCCAAAACGTTGATATCCTTGGTTTTTGGCTTGAAGCACGGGAAGCCATCTACAGTTCCTCCTTCTTTGCAGCCGTGATCGATATCAATTTTGTGGGAACATTCTCTTCCTTCTGCAAAAAAAAATTCATTTGACAAAAGAAAAAAACTTGAGAAGATTCCGCCTAGCAAAATGATTTCCCCGTTTCAAAAAATTATTTGACGAAACTCTCGGAAATGCCTCAGCTAAGCCGTCACACAAAGATTTTATCAAATGAAAAGTTACAAATAACTTTCCTGTTTCAAAATTCGCCAACCTTTACTTTTGTACGAATAACTTCCATATCGACCGAGAACCACTTCTGAATGAAATCATTCTTCAAAAAAACTATTTTGAAATGTTTGTTTCTTACCAGTTGAAAATATAAAAACGGCGAGTAAAATCGATAAATTCTTCATGATGTAACCAAAACTCAGGGTTTTTTCTTTTTTCATCGTCTTATAAAGAATTTTTGTTTTGGTTTTTCAAAATCAACATAGGTCGATGAATAAGTTTTTGTTTTATTTTTCTTCGACGTTTGCGTCGATATATTCCCTAATTCAGAGGGAAACGGTTATTGCGTTCTTTAGTGATTAAATAAATTTTAAATATACCTCAAAAATTTCATGGTTAACGAGTTAACAAGATGACCAACTATCAAAAACCGATTGAAAAAAAGTGAAAAATACGGCAAAGCCCACGCAGAAAAATTTTTCTTTTTTTACAAACACATTTAGACTATTTTTCCAGTTTCTAAGATAGTAGTTAGCTATTTTTTTCTAAAAAAATTCAAAAAGCCAACTTTGATTTTTCTCCTTGAGTCATTAAAATGTATTTTTTTATTGAATTCGAGGCGGACTTTCTAAAAAAAGTTTCCTATGAAAGCATTTTCGAAACAGTATAATGATGTTCCACTCTTTCAATTATTTTCTGTCGGTCTCTTTGTTTTCGAAATTCAACCTTAATGGGAGAAAATTCAATTTTAAGAAAAGGGTTCGAAAAATCAATACACTGAACTTTCAAACAGAATAAAGTTTATTCGAATCGCACAAAAAACATTATTTCAGTTTACGGTGATGCGCCAGGGGCTAAAGTCGTAGTAACGACGTCGTCTTGAATTTCACAGCGAGCTTCTTTCACCTTGATGTGGTTGCCTTCTGGGTCCGTGGCGAACCATTGACCGTGCTTGCAGGTGAGGTACTGTAAAATTTCTCACTTTTTGCTGGAAACATTTGAAAGTGATGTGAAAGGTTACTTTTGTTTTTCAAACATATGATAAAACTAACCACATTTTAACAGCCGAATAACTGAAAAGGAACACTCTTTGAATAAAAAAAGCATCCTTGGCTTATACTAACTTTTTTTCTCAAACCCAGCAATAATGAAATTTATTTAAATTCCTTCAATTCATATGTAATTAATCAGAAGTTGCAGTTCACAGCGAAGGTTTTTGACTTCAACATGATCTCTTTCAAGTTGCGCAGCTAATTTTGAACCATTGACAAGTAAGGAAGAATAGGATTTTAATTTTGATTATAATTTCTAGAAGGCTTACGTTGGAAGTTCCAGCAAGTCCCGAGGAAATCGGGCCAGTACTCACGATGAAAGAAACCTGAAAGAAAATCTTGTTTTTTGTCGTTTGGAAAGGAATAAAAGTTGACATTTATCTTTTTCAGCACATTATTGTCGAAATTTGACTGAGGCAGAATATTGAAAAACAGGTGAAATGGCAATTTCTTACAACAGTGCAAACTATTTATTATTGAACTGTTTTTTTGATTTTTTTGAGTTTTTTTGATACAGTAGAATTATCTTCAGCTCATTGAATAAAAACCTAAAACTCACGGTGCGGGTTGCATTATTCTGTCGGCACTGAACAATCTTGGCTTCTTGCTCCCAGGAAGCGAATACGTTGACGTCCCTAACTTTCGGCTTGAAGCAGACGCGACCATTCAAAACTCCTGGTTGTTTACAGCTTTCATGTAAATCGATGTTGAAGGAGCATTCTTCCTCAAAGGATTCATCTGAAAATTTCGAAGTTTTGCAATCTTCTAACCTTTTTTGTTAAAACAAGCTGATATTTTGGCAAAGTAATTTCCCTGTTTTAAAATAAAATTTAATCTTAATGATACTTCCGATTTTTAAAAGATATCTGAATAACTTTCCCGTTTTAGAGTACACTGACCTCTCCATTTTCGCGGGTGATGTTCATGGCGACCTCTATGACGGCTGTAGTGCTTTTTTTCTGGCTCTTTCCATTCGTCGTCGTCGTCCTTTTCTTCCAAATACTTCGAACCACCGAAGACCACTTCTGTTTGAGTTTTCAGAAATATCTGTTTGAAATTGACTTTCTTACCACTGGAAATTAGAAACACAGCAAAGAAGAACAATAAATTTCTCATGATGAAACCAAAAGTCAAAGTTTTTCCCTCTTTTATCGTCTTATAGAGATTCGTTTCGCCTTTTTGCAATATCAACATATGCGATGAATAATTTTTGTTTGATTCCTATCTACGCTTGTAGCAAAATGTTTTGAGTTTGAACGGGAAAGTTTTTAAGAGTTTGATGTGATTTTCTTTTTTTGAAAATATAATTAACTCACTGAAGATCATATTGATTTTTTTCATGACTCGATCTGGTATACCCCTACTTGAATCAAAATGAGTTAAAAAGCCTTTTTAGATCTGGCAAAAAAACATTCAGAAATATTAAAAAAATACTATAGTCAATGTTTCCCGACTTGAAAGGCGAGGGAGGCGGGGCAAGGGGCGGGACGCGTAGCGTGCGCGTACGCGGTTCTTGGCGCCAGTTCAATTCAATCGCCGCCGACTATTTAAAAAAAGCTCGGCCACCGCTCTTTTTCTGTATTTTTCTTCTATTTTTTTGATGCACACATGAACATAATCAATAAATAATTAAAAAAACTAGTGAAAAAGAGCAATAAATAAGCTCTCTGAATGCTCGCTAGCGGTTGAATTGAACACGTGCCAAGAACCGCGTACGCACACGCTACGCGTCCCGCCCCTTGCCACGCCTCCCACGCCTTTCAAGTCGGGAAACATTGACTATAAATAGCACACAAATAAAACATCTTCTGCTCTGAAATCGTTCAAAAACTGAGCTTTCGCATACTTTTCCTGCTTCCTGAGTTTTTCCGGGATTCCTAGACACTGACTTTAGGATAAGCTTCCAGGGAACAAAGTTTAAAACCGCGAGGGCTGCTTCAAAATTAACCTGAAACCTTTCAAACTCCTTTTTTTTATCATTCAGAAGGATTAGAAGCAAAAACTGAGGCTTCTCTGATTAGCCGAGATGACTTAATAGCAGCGTAACGACCGTATATGGAAAACAAGATGACAGGCGCGGAGGAATCTCGGCAATCTCGACGGCGTTTTTTGCACACGCCGAAGCCCTTTGGAACAAGCTGACGTTGGCCTGAGACGGCTTACGGATCTCATAACGAGGGGCCGAACTCACCTCTTTTTGCACCAAAAAACTTCTGCCGCTTATAAAGGGCCAGGTGTCGAATCGCACGCTGCCATGCTTTTCTTTTCCCAGCTTCTTCCGTCAATTTCTCTTATTCTTGTGTTGAATATTCATCTCACATTGGCCTCCCGCAATCATAACATTGATTCGCATACGGTGGAGATTCTTCTGCATGAGATTCGGAAAAGGCTGCAGATCGCCCCTGAAACTCCTCTTACTCAAGATGATCCTTCCATCGCCAATAATGAAGTCGAGGAAGGTTCTGGTCAGGAACATCCGATTATGGGAATCACTGGAGTTCCTTTATTAACCACTACAACCGATCGATTCCCCACTCCATCGCCGGATTTGGAAAGTAGCGGGGAAACTATGGAGCGGGAGCAGTTGGAGCAGTTCACGCTCACGAAAATGAAGCAGCTAGCCGATTTGGAACATAAAGGCTAGTTTTTTATCATATTTTCTGATCAAGTAAAGATTTCCAGATCGGTTAATAGTCAACCATCAAGCCACTATAAATATGCTACGGGGACTTGATGTTCAAGGTTTTTATTTTAAATTTATATTGAGTGATTGAGAATGCAAAAAACTCTGCAGAAAAGTAATCAGATCGAAAAAACTTTCACTGACTTTTCCTTTTCCTTTAAAGTTCGAGCGCTAGCAATTCCATGATCAAAGTTGAAATTTCGACATTTTCAAAGCACCATAACTCCAATTGGAACCAAAATACGGGAAAAACATTTAGCGCACCCTTTTTTTCACAAGAATCGACTATTCAAAGACGTTTTTGTATCAAATTATTTTTATCTGTTAGAACCCCTGTATTTCTTCACATTCAATCAACCATATTGGCACCTGACGTAAGAGATAACAAAAAAAAAGTTGCCCTTTTTCGGCGAGAAGGAGCGGTTTAACGAGTTCGTCTTGCAGGATCCAGCGGCGGCTATCACAGGGCACTGTCGGGCGGTTATCTCCCGCCTCACACCTACGATCCTCACAACGTCAACTGGTTCAGCTATGGTGACGACTCGGACCGCAAGAAAAATGCGGCAATCGCTCAGTTCAGAAGAGTAATGAGCAATTAAAAAATTCATCTGGAGAAAATTTGAAATCGAAATCTGAGTAATTATTTAATTTTAATCCAGCTCTCCAATAAATTGAAACCAAAAATTAAATTCAATATAGCAATCGATCCATTGAATGAATAAATTGAGCCTCAAAAATGTTAGAAATAATTTAACCTCGACTTGAAAAGTGTATAGGAGACTATATGGATCTAAAAAAACTCATCTTTCAGAGTTAAGTTATTTATTAATCAGCTTTTAGAAACTGTAAAATGTAGTAAAAAAATTGAACTCTCTCGTTAGAGATTACTGAACCACTATGAAAAATAATTTGTTTTTGATCTTTTTTTTGAAACTCATTGATCGAAATTCAATAGAAATTTTTCAATTATGATGTTTCATTCAAAACTGAAATTTTGGAGAAGCTTTCAAATACCCCAAAAAATCCATTCTGAAACGTTTTTCAACCTTTCACAAACTCGAAAGTCAACCAAATATATTTAAAATCAAAATATGATTTTGTTTTTATTTTTTTAGGAAATTTAAAAAAATTTTTTTATTTTTTTATTTTGGTAGGCCATTCCAATTTTTTTCAATCAATATAATATTATCTTTAACCTCAAAATGCTTCTCTCAAAATGATTCTTGCGATTTTTCTAGAATTCTTCAAATCTTCTTTGTATTTCATTCCCTTTTCCTGGATCTTTCACATCAATCCTAGCTCCTTTTTCTGATTCATTATATCTTCAAAGTATATATGAACTCTCATGATATTTGTGTCCCCTGAAATATATCAACCGGTTGTATTGTACTGATAATCGCCAATTTGAATGGTGTTGTCCTTGTTTCGTTTTTGCCATAGGTTGATTTCAAATTGAATGACATTGCTGTTTCTGGTGGAGTTCATAATGAATCTTCCCTGTTGCCAGTGCGTTTTTTGTTGCAATAAAACTAGAAAAAAGGGAGAGAGGGAAAAGCGGAAAATGCATGATTTTGATTTTATAACTGAAGATGAAGATGAAAAAATGGGTTCTCAAAATTTTTACTTTAGAAAATTGGTTTTTATATCATTTTTCGACCTCATTGCCATTTGATAATATAAGGGCGAATCTGGCGATATTTTACATTTTTTGCTAATATAGCTAGTAGGTTTGTAAAAAAATTCCCACGTTTTTTCCAAGAAAGGCTGAAGCTTCCAACGGCTCATTGGGTACAACAAAATGGCGTGCAAAGCCATAAAAACACAGATTTCTGGGGGTGGCGGTAAACCTTTCTCTCGATTTTTTTGTTCTTGAATCAGACGAATCTGCTGAAAAAGGGGTGCGGAAGGAGAAAGACGGCCTTGAGAACGCTTTGGCATGCCGATGTTAGCGCGATAGGCTGGGCAGGTACGACCAAACAGCAGGAATTCCGATTAAAGCGGTGTCGATAACTCACTTATCGGCAGTTTTTTCTCTCAAGGTTACTGGGGGTAACGGACTGAAATTCTTTTGGTTTGTGAAAAAGTTAGAGAAATGGTTGAAAGAACTGAGAGAGAAGGGAAAAGTGCGGTGATTCGGTAAGGAGAAAAAAGGTTGTAAAAAATTGTTCTACTCCAAAGAAGACTGTTAAACTCGACGTTTACAAGAACTTCAATTGGAATGTGAACCGAAATAGGATTAAAAGTTAATTTCCGATGAAATATTTTTAAATTTAAAGGAGAAAGTTGGAAATCATGTGATATTCAAATTTTTATTTCTTTAGGTTTGCAGAGGAAGTCTCCGAAATTCAAACCGAGCCTTCTTAATTGGATTGAAAAGACAGAAACTTGGCGAAAAAAATTTTTTTATTAAATCTTTCACCTTGGCAAAAAATGAGCATAAAAATAAACTAATTTTTAACTTTGATAAGCTCTGATTATTATTTTTTGAATAACCGCAATCGTTTTTCTGCTTTTTCTATAACCTGACCTTCCAAAATTCTGATTTCTTGTTTTGACCGTTCTGCAACAGACACTTTCACCTATGCAAATAAAAAGGCACTTTGACTAAAAATATTCAGACTACACCGTTATACAACAACAACTATCGCTTGCAAACTGCCCAATAAAAAAGAAAAAAAACTCGTTTTTTTATTCCTATTCACTTTTTCAACTGTTTCAATGTAAAAAAACTATGATAGATTCGAGTGAACAAAAGTTTAGACCTTATTAAAATAGCAAAATCGGGAAAGAAAAGCATAATTGACTTTTTTTGGTGAATTGAAAAACCATGTACAATCAAAACTGAGAACGATAAAATTTTTCTGAAAACTTTCTGAATATTTTTGTTACAACTTTGAAAATCGCAATTCCATATTATCATCAGAATTCTTTAATTTTTTCAAACCGAAAACTTCATTAAAGTCTAAAATATACAAACTACTTCCTCAATCTTATCATCGGTGATCTCCACCACACATCCATCCCTTTCTTTCTGTTTTTTTCATCCTTTCAAGGCTACGGTCTCATGGCCAAAGTGCAGACAACGTTAGCAACACACGCCCACTTGAATAAGGCAGCCGTATAAAAGGCGAAGAGTGGCAGGTAAGGACATCGGCATTCCAACATGTTCGAAGAGAAAGTCATCGTTGGCGTGGCTTCGGCCTTCTCGACCCTCGCTGTCGTCGCCTGCCTCGTCGTCATCCCCTCGTTGTACAACACCATCAACGAGGTCCACGATGAGGTTCTTGATGGCGTCAGCGTCTTCCGCGTCGAGACCGACTCTGCCTGGACCGAGATGATGGACATCCAGATCACCGTCACCCCACCAAGCAAGCCCCGCGTCAACCCCTTCAACAGCATCTTCCGTCAGAAGCGTAATGACTTCTCTGGACTCCCAGCCTTCTGCCAGTGCGAGCCCACCAAGCCAACCTGCCCACCAGGACCCCCAGGACCCCCAGGACAGGCCGGAGCTCCAGGTAAATCTTGCTTTATTATTCGAATTTCGGTTATTTCTCATCATTTTTTAATTTTGAGATACTTCGTAGCGGAGGGATAATTAGTGTCAATGTCCAAGTTATATTTTGAGAACCTCATAATGATTCGAAAAAAACACTTAATATTTTATAGAAAAAGATCTCCGCAGACACAAAAGTTTCAAAATTACAAAATATTTATTACAGGACAGCCAGGAGCCGCCGGAGCCCCAGGAGAGGACAACACCTCCACCTACGCTCCAATCAACTGCCCACAGAAGGCTCCAGGATGCGTCTCCTGCCCAGCCGGAGCTCCAGGACCAGCCGGACCAGCTGGACCAGCTGGACCAGCCGGACCTGACGGACAGCCAGGAGCCCCAGGAAACAACGGACAAGACGGACAGCCAGGACAAGCCGGTCCCGACGGAGATGCCGGAGCTCCAGGAGCCCCAGGATCCGATGGACAGCCAGGAGCCCCAGGAAAAGACGGACAGCGCGGAAGCGGAGCTCCAGGAGCCCCAGGAGCCCCAGGAAAGGCCGGACCAGCCGGAGCTCCAGGAGCCCCAGGAAACAACGGAAGCGACGGAGAACAGGGACCAGCTGGACCAGCTGGACAGGATGGAGCTCCAGGCAGCGCTGGATCCGACGGACACGCAGGAACCAGCGGAGGACCAGGTCTTCCAGGAAACGATGCCGCCTACTGCCCATGCCCACCACGCAGCGCCGTCTTCGTCTCTCGCTTCGCTCACTAAGCGACGTCTTCCAGTGCCGATCGACGCGAAAAGCGTCTTGCATCGAAATCTCAATAAACTCATTGCATATCATATCGTGTACTGTTCAATAATTCAAAGAAACACACCAATCTGGAACGAAGGAAAAAAAGAACAATGAAACTCTCATTTGAAACAAGTCTTCTTTTCTTCTGGCGATCTCCGAGATACTTCTTGTTCAAACTTCATAAGTTATAGGAATAGAAAGAAACTCAGTACTTTCATTTTTTTAGTAGCTTCCTGCTCCAAAAAGTTTCTTGAGATTTTTTCAATTATGTCAGATATGACGCTCGAAACATTGATAACAGAACATTTCCAATTTTTTTTCAGGTACTCACTTCAACAAAAAAGTTTGCAACTTCAAAAAAAAATCCGTCGAAATCTTACAAGACTCCTTATCAACGCGGAAGTGATTTTTTTGTCATCTCACGCGTAAAAGGCAGGTCTAAACTTTCGCAGTACAACAAAATGATTCGCTCAGCAAAAATATGCATTTTTTCGAGGACAAAAATCTTCGGAATGAAGTAAAAGAAACTGAAAAGGCGCGAATTTAGGAAAAAACGAAATTTATGAGAATAAATCACTCTCTGACAAAAATAGAAAGCATTAAAAAAACAATAAAATGTTTCGAATTTATAATTATACTGACCTGCTTCCTTCTTGCAAAAAAAATCCAAGAAGCTCTTTCTCGTCTTTTTCACACCATTTGAAGGATTTTCTGATTTAGAGTTTTCCTGCAACACATATACGCGTAAAAAGTGTAAATTTCAATCGAAAATTTGAAAAACCAACCATGACTGGTCCAAAAAGTCAATATGGGAAAATTCAAAAGATTTATGTTTGTCCTTTAAAAAGTTTTGAAATCAGTTCTTTGTCCAGAATTAGCCACTGAACCCACACTAAGAATAACTGCCGAGATAAACGCGAGACACTGGCGGTACATTGACGAGCTCGCAAACATCTCGCTTTTTTTTCTCGCGCCGGTCTCGCATTTTTCTGGGCGCCAGCTCGCACTTTTCTAGGCGCGAGCTCGCATTTCTCTCGCAATTTAAAAATTTCCGAAATGCAAGATAAATGCGAGATGGCGCCGAGAAAAATGCGGGATCGCGCCTAGAAAAAAGCGACGTTTTTGCGAGTTAGTCAATGTACCGCCACCGAGCTCGCGTTTATCTCGTCAGTTATTCTTAGTGCAAATTACGACTTTCATCAAAAATTCCGCAATACAAACTGAGTTATAACACTTTTCGGACCGAAAAAGAATAGGGCAGAAAGAAATTTTTGAAAAATGAAACATTTCCATTTTTTGAATTTTTTTTGAAGTTTCAAGCTTTTTCTTATGCACAATTCCTCCCTGAGCTCAAAATTTTAACTTTCATTATTCGTATTGCAAAAATAACTTTTTAAAGTTACTTTATGTAAAAAAACTCCTGCTTGCTTAAATACGTTTCTACCGGTTATATTTTTGCGCTGTTTTTGAAATTTACTGCAGTTTTTCTCTAAAAACTGCTTGAAACAAGATCTTTTCAAAAACTTACGCTTTCGGCGGTTCTGAAACTTACGGAGAGCGTTCCGACAGGTTTGGTAGACAGCGCGACACTGCTCCGCCACATCGGCTCCTCTAACATTTTATTTATCACGCTCAAACACGAACATACAAAATATGAAAAAAAGGAAGTATTTGAGTGAAGTGGAACCCGATTTAAAAACGCCCTAACGAGCTATTTACCGGGATGGGAGACCCGTATTGAAAATTGAGAACGAAAATTTCATTTTTTTTTTAGTGAAGAGAAGCCTGTTGGGCAAGTCCATTGATGTCGAGAGAGTTGAGAAAATTCCTGATGCGGGTAGCTGAAGGTTTCCTGTCAAATCTTGAGCACAGTCTGTTCCGAATAGTGATGACAGTGCTGAAAACAGCGTTAAAACGAGTACCTGTCTGTAGGAGTCGTTCTGGAAAGTGAGGTCAATTTGTTCTTTTGGAAAAACTCTCTGCGCTTGGAAGTGGTAGGAGTCCATGACTAACTTTTGAAGTGTTATTAGAGATATTATTATTTTTTTGGCCAGTGAAATCTAGTCTACTTTTAAGTGAAAATAGGTGATTTTATGAATTTGTTTCACTTTAAATTCATGTCAAATCTCAAAAACGTTCGCGGATGTCTGTGAAAAAAAATAAATTCATGCAAAAGTCAGCGAAAATCCCCTTGTTCAGGAAGACATCGAAAAGCCAAATTGTATACTTTTGGAAACAAATAACAGCTTTTCAAAATTTTTAGGTGACCTCTTGTTGTGAGACTTTGTCGACTAAATTTATTATGACTACATTATTTTTCAGGCTTTTTTTAGATTTCAAAACACTGAAAAATTGATGCGATGGGTCTCTCTGTGAAATTGGAGCGTTTCAAAATCCAAACTCCAGAAGTCATTATCAAAGATCAGGAATAGTGGGAATTGAAAAAAAAAAGATTTTGACATTTTTGCACTGATCTCTGCCCGACATCCGATTGAGACTTAATTCACTAGATTCAGTTTTTCGTGCTAATTCCATAACTGGTCTCAAAAAGCTGCGCGTGCGCCTGTGAGAAAATTTGGACACTTCAGGGTTGAGAAATTACCGGAGCTCAATTTCGAAAGGCAATGCGTTCAAAAAAGTTTTGAAAAATCATCGTTTTGGCCACATTTTTCTTGCCATAAATCAAATCTTTTGGAAAAATTTTTTTGATCTGTGTTTATTTTTAAACTGGAATTTTAGCTGAAAGTTACAAATAACGAAAAAAATCGTCAGAATATTTCGAAAGATTGAATTTCTTGCAATAAATTTGTGATCTTAAATCGTTTTTTCGTATTTTCTCGGAAGGAGCTGTAGACCTTCGAAAGGCAAAACAACATTATGTCCAATTTTCCCCTCTATATTATCTTTTATGTGCGGTCTTTAATGGAGAAAAAAAAAACTAAAAATATTTTTAGCACAAGATCCAAAAATAATTTAAATTCAGACGTTTAGCGATTTTTACAGAATTTGTTGAATTGAAGCTTATTAGTTATTAGAGAGGTTTCTCATGCTGTCATATATCATAAATCATTTTTTTATTGTAATGAAAAAAATCGAAGTTTTTTTAAATAAAAAAAGTTTTTTTGAAATTTTTCTTTTTTTGGCAAAAAGCCTAATAGTTGCGCTATCCCGATTCTTTTTTTCTCCTTGGGTCTGTTCGAATGGCAACATCCTAAAACCAGCTTTCTTTTTCTTTCCGCATTTTTCTTCGTAAGAAATCACTGCAAGAACGTCACAACATTTTTGGCTGACCCACAGCCAAACGACGTAAAAAAATAAGTCACCGACGGGTTTTTTTGGCCAGTTACACAGCAAAACGGCGCTCCGTTAGCATGGCCACGCCTTCGCCGATAGCTTCGAGGCGGTATATAAGCTGACAAGGTGGCAGGTAGGATACGGCACTGCCATGTTCGAAGAAAAAGTTATCGTTGGTGTGGCTTCGGCCTTCTCGACCCTCGCTGTCGTCGCCTGCCTCGTCGTCATCCCCTCGTTGTACAACACCATCAACGAGGTCCATGATGAGGTTCTTGATGGCGTCAGCGTCTTCCGCGTCGAGACCGACTCTGCCTGGACCGAGATGATGGACATCCAGATCACCGTCACCCCACCAAGCAAGCCCCGCGTCAACCCCTTCAACAGCATCTTCCGTCAGAAGCGTAACGACTTCTCTGGACTCCCAGCCTTCTGCCAGTGCGAGCCCACCAAGCCAACCTGCCCACCAGGACCCCCAGGACCCCCAGGACAGGCCGGAGCTCCAGGTAAATCTTGCTTTTTTATCCGAATTTCGGCTAATCATTATCATTTCTCAATATTTAGATACTTAGTAACAGTGTAATAATTAGTGTCAACTTGCAAGGTATATTTTGAGAATTTATAGAAAAAGATCTCCGCAGACACAGAAGTTTCAAATTTCCAAAATCTTCGTTACAGGACAGCCAGGAGCCGCCGGAGCCCCAGGAGAGGACAACACCTCGACCTACGCTCCAATCAACTGCCCACAGAAGGCTCCAGGATGCGTCTCCTGCCCAGCCGGAGCTCCAGGACCAGCCGGACCAGCGGGACCAGCTGGACCAGCCGGACCTGACGGACAGCCAGGAGCCCCAGGAAACAACGGACAAGACGGACAGCCAGGACAAGCCGGTCCCGACGGAGATGCCGGAGCTCCAGGAGCCCCAGGATCCGATGGACAGCCAGGAGCCCCAGGAAAAGACGGACAGCGCGGAAGCGGAGCTCCAGGAGCCCCAGGAGCCCCAGGAAACGCTGGACCAGCCGGAGCTCCAGGAGCCCCAGGAGACAACGGAGCCGATGGAGAACAGGGACCAGCTGGACCAGCTGGACAGGACGGAGCCCCAGGAAACTCTGGCTCCGATGGAGCTCCAGGATCCAACGGAGGACCAGGTCTTCCAGGAAACGACGCCGCCTACTGCCCATGCCCACCACGCAGTGCCGTCTTCGTCTCCCGATTCGCTCACTAAGCGTCGCCTACAACCGATCGACGCGAATCGCGTCTTGTATCGAAATCTCAATAAATTTATTGCATTTCACTTTTTGTACTTCTCAAGCATCAAAACTTCAAAGAAAAGTTATGGCATATCATAGTTCAAAACAAAATATATGGTTTACTCTCCAGTTATCCTAAGTTGACCATCTTCTTTGCATTTCAAACAGTTCGCAAAGAGATTGGGAAAGTCTTTTTTGCCAGCTTCAAGTGCCTTTTTTGAAATCTCAGAAGAAGTTTTTGTCGGAGAAAGTGGCTAATCAGGTTTTTGTGACGTGCCAGCCGCTAGCTGCTGATGCGCTTGTAACCTTGAAATTCTCCAAGAAAGAGGAAGTAATTTTCAAAGATCCCCCTGTTCTCATAATGAAACACCAAAAGTTTATTCATAATAAAAAGTTATTTGAAAATTATTTCTGGTTGTTTCCTCCGGTGAAGAATACAACAGGACCGCCGTTTCCGCAGTTTTTGTTGCTGTTTGAGAAGCAACAGACGCAGGCGCCGTTCAGAGATTGGAAACCGACAGAGTTCGTCTAAAAATTGAAATATCAATGAGAGAAGCTCACAGAATATTAGAATTCAGAAAAAAAAATCTAACAGTGCTGATTCCGGCCTGAAGACCCCGAGCCACACAGCAGCCGTTGCATCTGGAGGCTACGTTTCCGTCATTGCATGAAGCTTGAGAGAAGGTGTTGTCAACGTTGGTCGTCAGAGTTGCTCGCGCCGTGCAACCTAAGAAAATCGAAGTTTTCTTCCAGAAAAAAATGAAAAAAAAAAGCTTCTGAGAATTTTCATTTTCCTTCATTTTTAATAAGAAATAAATGAACTTACTGAAACCGCAAGGTAGAATAGTGGAGCCAGAGTTGGAGTTGCCATTATTTCCCGGGAATCCAAACTGGCAAGCAACCAAAGGAAGGAGCACCAAAACCAGGAAAGCACGGAACATTTTGAGGCTGCTTTTTCACTGACTGCTTCTGGTTTTTATACTCTTTTGGAGCCTTTTTCATTTTTTCTCACAACATTTTTGTATGTTTTGTAACAATTTTTTTGATATTCAATGCTTTTTTTCGTTTTATTTTTTTATTGAGAAAACATATTTTTTTATTATTTCTACTTGTTTCCAAAAGGAATAGGGCCTCCGCAGTTTCTTCGGAAGCAGCAAATGCAGTCGCGACCGTCGTTGCTTGGGAATCCGGAAGCAGAGTTCTGGAAAAAGATCGTTTTGCGGCATTTATTGTTTCTAATCCACGAGCTTTCAGGAATCGAGGCTTGACTGGTAAAATCGGAAAAAAATGAGGCCAGGAAACAACTGAATTTGAAACAGCCTTGAGGCATTCGAAAAGCGAACAGAAGGTTTCAAAAAACAAAAAAAGTTATATGAACTTACTGTATCTAAACCGGCTTGAAGAGCTCTGGCCGCACAGCATCCTCCACAGCGACTTGCCACATTTCCATCAGAACACCTGGCTTCAGAAAGTTGACCGTCAACGTTCCCCAAAATCGAAGTTCGTCTGCTACAAGCTGAAAATACCAACATCCTTCAAGAATCGAATTTGAAACTCAACTGAACCCGCAGCCAAGTTGGCTTTGTTGCTGGGAGAAGGCTACCAAAAACAAAGAAACCAGAACGACAGCGGCCTTCATAGTCAATCACTGAAAAAACCTTGAAAATTTTCAAATTTTGTTTAAAATGATCAATTGAGGCATCGTTCCCCTTTTTATATTGTGTCAAGTTGTGATTCATGACAAATGATAGCATCTTTTTTTGAACAATTTTTTTAAACATCTTTAAAAAAACGGAATAGTGAAGCAAAAGTTCGAAAATCGGAACTCCATTTATAAAGAAGAAACGCTTTTGTCAATGAAATCCGCCACTTCTTTGATATGGCGCGCAAGTTGTTTCTGGTCCGTCGCACAAAATTTTTTAGTTTTTTCATTTCAAGTCCACGGCTTCCAAAGCTTCATAACTGGGAAACAAAATGCTATTGAAAATTACCACATGATTTTTCCTTTTTTCTCAATCCTGCATGAGATGCGAAGACGTGTTTATTTTATACTCATTAAGCCTCTTGGCCGTTTTGCGACCGACTATGAAGCGATTTGAGCTTCACGCCTTTAAAAGTGTTTGCTTTCCAAAATATGTTCACCCCCCATTAAAAATTTTACAAGAATCTTCAGATAGAATCTCTCAAACTCCTCTTCAGCTTAATGAAATTTCGTTAGATGACGCCACCATCTGAGTTTCGGAAGATTCGGGGGCAAAGTCGTGCGATCAAGTGTTCGACAGTCAAGTTACAAGGGCGCTTTTTTGCAGCGGCTTGTATCACAAGTGTCTTTCCCGTTTCCCAGTCGGATCATTATCCTCAATTTTCTCTTCAAACTTTTTTTTTTCTTGCTCCGCTTTTCCAAACACTTTGAACAGGTTTGAGGCTTTGTGAGTTTCTGTGAAGACTTTTTTGATATTGGAAAAGAGGAGTTGTTCTTTGAGATTCTAAGCTTTGCTAGAAGCATTGGAATAAGTTACATTGAAAGTGCATTCATGTTGTCCGGAGCTCTTCGAATAAGCTTGGGAAATTCCGAAAAAAAGTTTTTTTTTAATTTATACAAATCTGCAATTAGTTTTCTCGGTTCATTCAACATCCTTCCAAACCTCTGAAGATGTAGCAAAGACCTCAAGAAGTTTATGAACACCGAAAATCTGAAATTGAATCACAAACATTTTTCGAGCTTCCAGAAAGTCCTGCATCCAGTTCACAGCCTAATTTAGTCATTTTTTGACAGGAATTTCATTTTTCTGATTTTTGAAGCTTTATTCTTCTTGACCACCTCCACTGAACTTCTTGTAACTCGAAACCTCTGCCCCCTTGGTCTCAGATCAACTAGCTTCAGTCTAAAAACTTTCTCTCCTTCCTCTTTTTTCACGGGGGTACTGTTAAAATGAAAAAAGAGTTTTATTTGTGAATACACTCGATTCGGAGTGCAATCGGGCCATCCGACCCAATGAAATTTGTTTGATCAGTTTTACATTCTTCTTCAGCAGATTCGCGGCCTTTCGCTACAAGTTTTTCGATTGTAGGGAGAAATTTGTGCACAATTTGGTCATTTGTACTCTTATAGCTTGATTTTCTCTTTCAGCTTCAATTTTAGTAGTCCACAGATTTTAGGAAAGCTTATACTGCGAGTGTTCTTCTTGTTACACCGAGATTCGACCATTTTTCTATAATTCAAATTTGCCACTCTTGTCAACAATAAAATTAGTGTAAAGTGTCAATTTTCACTTCCTTTTCCATTTTCGCATCTCTTTTACTCAAATTTCCGACTAAAACCAACGCGATACATATTTATTGTGAAGAACCCATCTTTTGTTCTGAAGCATGTGCCAATTGCGCAATATATGGACGACGTTCAAAAAAATCTCCGTCAATTTTCTTCAAAATCTCATATTTTATTCTAAAATTTGGTTTTTTGAAAGATTGAGAATGAAAAATGAGCTTTTTCTCTTTGAAAAGCTCTTAATTAAATGGAGTTTTTCCAGTTCGAAAGAACTTTGAAACCGATCCGTTTGTAATTGTTTTGACAGCTGTAGAATATTTGAAAGCATTTTTTTTTTCAAAATTTTTTCGTTTTGCAACGTAATTGCTTTCTGAGCAAAAAACAAGGATAATGAAAAAAAAAAGGATCAAGCCAAAGTTTTGAATTTCGCGTTTTCTCTTGGCATCCTATTTCATGTTTCTTGCTTTTTCCTAGGCTAATTTATACCCCTTCAAGTACCACCTCTACGCGGTGATGGGGAGGCAACGCCATTTATGGCGGCTAACGGTACACCGGTCACGCAGTTCGGCTTGCTTCTGCTAACAGAATGGGCGGTCTTTTTTAGCCCTGGCAAGGCAAAAAGGATAATCAGACCAAAATTATGCTATAACACGTTCAACACCACGGATGGAACTTTTTCGCAAGAATACCAGTCAACCAGGACGATAACACTGGATGAAAAGGCAATAAAAGGTCGAAAGCGAAGATGGACCATCTAAGTATCTAAGTAAGTAAGTAAGTAATTTATAGTTTGATCCTTTTTCGCCATAACTGTAAAAGATGAATAAATCGGTAAATTTCATCGAAAGATTTTTCAAATCGATTTTTTAGTGAAAAAATAAGCTTTTAAAGCTTGCTGCAAAGTAGCATTTCTATATTTGTTTTTAATCTAATGGTATGGAAATTTTGAAATGTTTTCCGCTTCTAATCTCGTCAGATTATTTTTCTTCATGTACTCATGTTTTCCAATCTCTCCGAGAAAAAAGGACAAGGAGCTCTTCAGAGCAGAAAATAGGCGTTTTTCTTTTTTTTTTTCAAATCTGAACGCTTCAAAACAACATTTTCGTATAGAAATCTCGACCTATTAGTCTTCAGCTTTTCTGTTTCAAATTCAGTGAACTAATAGCCGCTTTGAAAAAAGCAACAAAAATTAGAAACACGTGTCGTTTGACTTTTCTCTTGGCAAATTTAGAGAGAACATGAACATGTGTGAGAGGCGAAATTTGAGAAGTTTTTGTGTCGCCGTTCAGGAATCACCGCCAGCTTTTTCCGGTCGCCGGCTCAGGTGACCTTTTGCAAGTTTGTTTATAGTGTATTTTCTTTCATTTTTTGGGCCGTTCCCCCAATTAGGATTCTTCGGAATAGTCGACTAGACTCTACTCGACATTCCTTAGTCTTTGCTCACCCTTTTGAAAGCCTTTTTCATTGCATCAGATCTTGAAACGCTTCGTGTGACATTTGACACAAAAAACCAATTGAAAAAAGGGTTTTGGAATCTCGGAAAAGTAGCAAAAGTCTTGTTCTCGCCTTCAGAAGGGTCCACATATCTTATATAATGAAGATTGGCCTGGTTTGTTTGTTTCAAGAAATTTTAAGCCACCTTAAAACTGTGAGAAAAAATTTGGAATTCATCAAAGATTATTCGATTCTTCTGCTTCTTTGAGAGAAAGCCTTACGCTTTGAACTTCCTAGAGAAAGAAACTTTAATTTTTACCATTTAGCAAGAAAAACGTAGATTGATCTTCTGATCTTGAAATCACATGATTCGGTCGCTTTTTCCTATAGAAAAAGGTTGATGAAAAACCTTCTAAATAGAACGCATTAGCCCTTTTCATAAACTTCAAGGCGCTTTGGATGATTTAATTCCACTTGTCTTGGAATGAACTTTTTGTTGAGCATACTGTTGGAATGACGCAAGTGCACACAACGCCCTTTTGAAGATTCAGAAGAAAGTTTTGCGAGAAGTTTCGTGTAATTTGAGAACTTACGTAGACCCGCACGGTCTACCGTCTATTCGTACAATCCAGACAATTTTTTTCTTTGAAGTCGCTTCTCAAACTTTGTTAGTTCTAACACTTAAACCAAGGTTTATTGCTTTGGCAGTCCAGCCCGTTCAAACTACGATTATTGAGCTGGGTGGATAGATTTTTTGCCGTCTTTATTCCATCATTCCAATCATCAGATCTGAAAACTTCCTCGAGCAGTGAAGCACGCCCTTGAGGGTTTACATCCAGGCGCAAGCCGTTTTAGGGTCGGGCGCGCGAAAATTTATTTATTCCCGCCGATTGAAAAACAAATCAAATAGGAAACGATAGTTACTGTAGAAAAAAAAAATCCCCAATTTTTTCATCATTCCTGCCCCCAGAATTTCACTACCAGACCAATAAAACCAATCCGAATTTAGAAAGCTTTCAAAAAAATGTAAGACAATTCCCATTTCTCCGCCCCATAACATGATTTTCCTTTCATTTCGCTCGTTGCTTCACAATTAAATGATGTGGATTTGGCGGCGGAACAGAGTAACTTTATACAATTATTGACGGCTTTGTAAATGGAGAATATATTTTCTGGATGATGGAGAGCCCTGGACAAAAACAGCACTATGAAGGAAGGAAAGCTGATGCGCGTTTCTGTTTTTTTTTTCTTTTCAAACGACTCCCAGGGGCATATCGGGTCAATTTTGTGGTTTCTGTCGACCTTATTCAAATGTTCATTGGTTCAATTATGATCTTTCTTCTTTTCTCTACTCAGTAATAGGTTCAAACCTTCACTAGACTACGGAAAAGTTCATGAGACCTTCGTCGAAAAAACAAGGAGCAGAAGGTAAAGGTTATTTTTTGCTGATAAGGTTGTAAATTCTGGTTTTATTATAGCATTCTGAGCAAAAAACATTTTTTTTTCATTTATCTAATTTTCTTGAGAGTATGAGCTTTTTAGTAGAAAATATAATACTATCTTTTTAGTTTTTTTCACATTTTTTTGCTGAAAAAAATCAAGGTTGCAAAATAATGTTTTTTTAGAGCTGATCAGAAGTCAAAAAAGCACAAAAATCACATTCCCAAACAGTTTTTTCATTTGTCTTAGCTGCAGGCATTTTGCCCAAGGCCAAAAATGATGTTTCTCGAACTTTTTTCTTCGGTTCTGATGCAATTTTTGCACTGCAGGCTTTTTTTTGGTGAGAAAATGAATTTGCATCTGGGTGGCCCACGTGATTCTCAAGAAAAAAAACTGCCTAAAAAGTCTTTATTCTGGTTTTCATTGACCAAAAAGTCATTCCAAAGATTATTTACCTCTTGCTTTCCATGGAAAATAACCCAAATCTGGTCTAACTGGGGGTTGTAAAGCCATTTTCTCCATGAATGCCGTCATTATCCAACCACTTTGCTCGATTTAACAACTGCAAAACTTCGAAATGTGAAGATTTGAAAGAGAAGATTAGAAAAAAAAAAGATTTTATATCTTTACTTTTTCTTCCAGACGTCGTCCTTTCGGTAACTGGCCCAGTTAGCCAAAAAAAAATCTTCTTCTCAGATGGACGTCAGCCTTAATTGTCTGTCCGAGTAGGCGGAAATGCAAAAATGTCAAAAGTTCATTTGGATTAAGAAAAAAAAATCTAGGGGAGGAGTAAAAGAAGATTGGACTGTAGCAGAAACTGGATTCTTTGAGAATATCCTCCGTAAGTTTACAGTTTGTACAGCATTATTCAGATCATTCATAAACTACTGACTTTCGAAAAATTTATGAAGCTCCTGAAAACCAAAAACAGTTATCGTTTCAATATTTATCAGAACTTATTCTGCCTTTTTTCTGTGTCCAACGTGTTGATCCTCAAATTATAGACCATAAGCTTTTTTTGTACCCTCATGACTATCGTTTTTAGTAAACTTTACTGTTTCAGACTTTCAAAAGAGCTTGAGCAACAACTCAAAAGTTTTCATCGCTTTCCGTTTTTTTTTTTTGCATTTTTCACCTGACTTCGACAAATTCTATGGAACTAGGCATGAGCAAATCGGAAATCTACAATTTTTTGGTGTTCAAAGTTTGAATTTTTTCGGAACGCCCTTTTTAAGTTACGCTCGGTTCATTAGGCAGGGTTATGACTCGAAAAAGTTCCTCTAGAAATGTCAACTCTTGAACTTCTCCCAATTCATTTCAACCTATTCTTTTCTGTTTCAAAAAGGCTCCAATGATTTTCTTGTGGCTAAAGTTGAACTTTCGAACTTATTTCGCGTTCTCGATGGGCTCCAGCTCAAATTGAGCATAAATCTTTGTTTTCACATGTCTCTCTCATTTTCAAAGAACCGCATATGTGTGGTCATTAAGCCTAACTTTGGTCTTTGAAAAAAGCTTTTTTCTCTGAATTGAGAGCATTCTGAGCTGTCAACCAGTCAACTGAGATAGAAACATGATTAGAATTCTCACATTCTCAATATCCAATTTTGGAGTTCAAGTATGGAATTTTTGAGAAACGAAAGAGGGTTGAAGTTATTTTTGAAGAATGCTTCCAAATTTTGAAAGTTGAAGAATATGAAAAATGGACATTTTCTGCAGATAACGATCCAGATTTGGCCTTGATTTATGAGTAATCAACTGGAATTTTGATCGAATGCATATTTTCTTAACTAAAAAGCCATTCCATTTTTGCAAGTTCCATCAAAAAAATGACAAAAAATGACCAATTAAACTCCTAGCTGGCAGAATAATTTCAGAGATGAGTCCATAATTGATTTTTTTTTTCCTCGTTTTGCCACTTTCCTCCGTTCAAACACTTTGGACTGCTTCTAGGGCAGCAACTGTTCGATTCAAGAGTCTCGATGGACTCTGAGAACGACGTTTCCGGCGCCTTTTCCTCCTCCTCAAGTGAATGGAGAACCCGGGGAGGAATTTGAGCGTTTTTAATGCGCTTTTTGTCATCCCTGGACTTCCCATAAATGGACAATCTACGTCAAGACGATAACCTTTGGCCCTTTTCCGAAGCTTCCATCCAGTAAATTCGGCTTAAAGGCGTGGTCACGTGTACGCGCAGTCGCCCATTTTTGGTCTGTTCGTTTTTTCGAAAACTTCGGCTTGTCTGTTCTAATTGGAGAGGTGTTCATTTTTGAGCTTTTCCTACAATTAGCCAAGCTTTTTCTTGAAACGTCTCAGGAGGAATGTTTGTTTTTTTGAAGGCTGTAATAAGCTCGTCAGATTCTCCGATTTTGGCTAATGAGGATGGGAATGAAAATTGTGAAATCTTCAAGTCTCGAGTTCGCTTCATTAATAATCATTTTTTTAATTTCTCTTTAGAAATAAAACCTTTATACCTTCTATGAAACTGGAATACGAGATTAAACAACGTTTTCTCAGCCAAAAATCTTTCAGGTTCAATATTAGAGTACAATTTTTTTTCGAAAATTCGATCAGCCGAATTTTTCAAAACAAAATGGAACACTTCCTTCAAAAACTGTGAACTTTCATGCCTATGACTGGCGTTTCAAAACATTTCGAGAATTTGTTTGAGTACTTGTACCTGACCATTCTTTTGAGGCTATGTGTGTTTTGACTGCACTTTCAACCAAACTAACTCAACTAGCGAACGACAGAAACTCGCCACGCAGTGACTCTTGAAGTTCCCAAAAAAAAAGACCAAGTTTCTTGCCGTTCCCACTCATTTTCGTCTTGTTTTTTGTTTTTTCTTCTCAATGTATTCTTCACATTAACACCCCCAAAAATCTCATCAGCACGCATAATTTTGAAGCTCAACCGGCCAGAATAACTTTGCAAACTGCATAATTCGGATTTATTTTGGCTGGTTAGTGATCTTTATATCAAAATAAATTTTTGAGGCAAAAAAACACTATTTTTTTCAGTTGCTCGCTCAGAATTAATGTGGGAGCTTTTGTTACTTTGAAAATAGATTTTTGCAGAGTTTTGCTCGAAAAACACGGATATCTGCTCCAAAGTTTTCGTTTTTTTCAAGTTTTTTTTTTGAATCATTTTTTTTTGTTTTGGGAGTGAACAAGCGGAGTCGACCCAATCCGATTTTTCTCTAAAATTCGGTCTGGGGAGTTTTTAAGCGTAGACTTCACGATTTAAAAAGGACACTGAGAAAGTCTTTCAATCTTCATGGAATAAGTAAAATTTTCCAAAAAGTCTTGAGAATTCCAACCCATTCATTCCAAGTTCCATTGGACTTCTATTCAGTTTAATTTCTCATTTGAAATTATTCTTTTCATCTTTGAATTCAAGTGCTTATCGCCTCGGGACTACGTCTACTTTCTCTTTCACTTCGGAACCAAAACAACTTTGCCAATATCTATTTTTATTCCAGAATATTATTGCTTCTTCATTGCAATTAAGTGCCACACACGTGCTCCATGACCTCCACGCGAAAGTTCGTCCACATAGACTGGGATATTCCGAGCAACTATTCGAAACATTTGGGAGATGCTCCGGGAGAGGTTGATTTTCTCGAAAATCGGATCATTCAGTTGGAAAAAGAAACATGAATGCCGTTAAAAAAAACGAGGCCAGAAAACACCAAAAAAGGCCCCTTTTGAAAAGTTTGTGTAGTTGTTCATAAAGCTTTGATGGGTTTTGAAGAGTAAAAGAAAAAAACGACCTTGATTTTTAGATTTTTTTTCAAGCTCTGAGAAAAGTCGAACTTTTTCACAATTTTTTTAAAGGATTTATGAGAACTCTATACTTTCAATGTTTTCAGAATGAGTTTGAAACCATCGTCGGACTTTGCGTGGTTTGTTCAGCAGCACTGGGTATTTTTGCAAACATCGCAGTGATGTTACTTTCCTTCGGACACGTCAAAGGGGACTTCAGGTAAATGGTGTGGAAACGTGAAGCTTTAAAGCTGCCGAAAACTTGAATAAATTCATGAGAACGCTTTTGTTGAATAGTCGTTCAAATAAGTTCATCTTTTGTTCTTGGCTATGAAATTTACGAACAAAGGAGAGCGATTTTCAAGCTCAAAGATCGAAAAAAAAGAAAAGTTAGCGTGAAGACAATTATTTTTAACTCATGAAGTTACAATAAAAATTGAGAAAGTTTGTTTTTTTCAAGGTCTGAGCAAAAAAAAAAATAAAAAACATTTTTATCTACTTTTTGAAGGTCCAGAATTCTGAGAATAGTAACCAACTTGCTCTAAAGTTCTTTTTCAAGCAAAATTGGTTCACTTTTTGGGCTTAGTGCTATACTATTAACGTAAATGGTGTGACGTAGAAAAAGGAAAGCGATAAACAATAAATTTCGTACCTTGAAGTGCAGTCAACAAAATTTTTCAAAATCGAAAATAAAGCTTCAAAAGTCCAAGTTCAGTTCTTTCAATAAATTATTTTTCAATTTCAGACACTTTGTCGCAAACTTAGCGTTTGTCGATATTTTATGCGGATTTATATTCGCCATCATGGGATATATCAATATGAATGATGAGCATCGCATTCCGAGCCAGTGAGGCAATTTTCGATCATCAAAGAGCCAAAAAAACTTTTCAGTATTCTTTACTACCTTGCCCTTGCATTTTACGGCTCTTTCGGCGTGATGATCTGCGCTCTGGTGCCAATTTCCATCAGTCGAGTTTTGGCTCTGACTAGGCCAAGTCTCTATACAACGGTGAATTCAAAAAAACAAAGAAAGAAAAAAAAGTAATTTCAGCTTTTTACCGGCCGTAGATCCATGTTCTTCTGCTTGATTTCTGACATGTTGCCGGTATCTTTGTTATATGTAAGTTAATTTTTTTAGATTCTTATTCGAGAGCAAAAGTATTTGAAAAAAACTACGCAATGAGAAAAAAATATCGCTATCATTCAAAAAAACTAAACTTTTCTATCGAAAAAAATTTCGAACATGACTTATCATGTGCGCTCTACTGAGAAAACTTCTTCAAGTTGTCCCTCAAGTGTTTTCTCTTGAGAGCTTGATTTCTTGAGATTACGACGGGGGCGTTCGCTGGAGAATAAAAACAAAAAATAGAAAAAATGACACCAGGACAATTTTCCAGTGTTAATTAAGGGCATTTTTAATTGTTTCTCACTTTGAAGTTTCGAAAATGTTGCGAAGAGAGTATAGTCTGAGCATAATGGCTTTGTAATTCAAATGAAGTTTGATAAACTAGTTGATTACTGAGAAAATAGGGCTAACTGGTGTTTTTGGAAGCTTGGGCGCTGAAAATAATCGTAGCGCCTAGAAAATTTTTTTTCCTGAAAATGAAAGCCAGTTTGACCTCTCAAGTGCTCATTAAAAAGTTGAAGATTACGGTAAAAGTCGATAAAAAGGTAGTGAAATCGGTGAACTTCTAAGCCACTTTTGAGAACTTATTATTGTTGTCCGGTACTTTCTGAAAAAAAACAAGGAGCTCTATTTTGTGGCTCATAATTGCGAAGATTGAGATCCTGGGAATAGATGAGAAAAAGCAAAATGATATCGGAAAAAAAATCTTATCAATCAATAATTCCAGTTAATCTGCCTAGTCGGCCCCGATCTGGCCCGACTTCTTTTCTACATGTTTGCCACCATCACAGTTGCGGCATATATTGTGGCGTTCGCCACAAATTACATCGTTTTCAGAATTGTCGGTCAGTTGAAAATTTATTGAAGATTTGGAAAAGGTATAATGTTTCAGCTAGACACATCCGAGTCGTTCAAAACCTGCGCGACCAGGCCCGGTTATTGGAAACGCGCCAAATTGCAATAGCAACGCTGGGGCAGGCATTTATTCCATTGGTTTGTCAGGTGAAATATGTCTTTTTTTTCTTACACCTAAAAAAATCGAGAAAACTATAAAAAAATTGCTTTGAAGTTTACGGAAAAAGTTTATCATTGGCCTGAAGATTAAAAAAATATATAGAATATCTACATAGCGTTTTTGGAATGCTCAACAGCGCAAAAGGTCATCAAACTCGTTCTGCAAAAAGTGGCGTCTTTATTTGAGTCCTTAGGAACTCCAGAGTGATCCCTATAGGGGTTTAGTTTGTGATCCCTTTAAGGGGCATTTTAATCAATAAACTGTATGCGCTCTATGAGAAAAAGCATTTTCATGCGAAAAGTTAAATAAATAAGCGTTTTTTGAATGGAGTTGAAAACCCCTTATAGGGACCACTTCAGCTATAGGGACTAAGGGGTCAGAATCTAAACCAAAAAATTTTTTTTTATCAATAAATATTTTTAAAATGTTAATCAAACCTTTGTTTTTTTTTAGGTACCCGCCTTCCTGACCTTGTCCTCAGTACTTCTTCTCTCCGAGCCGATCACCAACGGTCATGTCAGTTCAATTATCCAACTTTGGCTGGCCAATAGTCCTCTCCTGGACGCCATCATCACCATTCTCGTCATCAAACAATACAGGTACCTATAAAATAAACCACAGACTGCTTTCTTCCACAAAAACCGGCTGAAATTAAATTTATCAAATGATTTTCCAGGAAGGAATGCCTTTCCTGCGCCTCGGCAGTTGGAAAACGGATGTGGAAGTCGCGAAAGACGACAATCATTTACACGGATGAGAAAGAAGCTTTTGAAACACGGCTATAAATTTATACCGTTTCATGATTTCCCTTTGAATCTTCATATCATTTTTCCTTGGTTGTTAGTTCCTCGATCTCTTTCTTTTTGAAAAAGTGACCAAAAAGTGTATTTTTCCAAAACTTTGTTAGTTTTTCTTGTGCATGGCAGACGAGTATCATTTACTTGTACTTTGTAATAAAGATGTGAAAAGTTATTCGAAGGATGGAACAGGAAAGTTTGCTTCACCGCTTTAGAAAATTTAAAAATTATAACTTTTTAAACTTTTCAAGGCCTGAACCGAGAATTTCAGAAAAAAAATCTGTATTAATATCGAAAATTCAGTTGAATTTGTGGACGGATTTTCCTTCTTTCATTTCTTTTTCCAACCCTCAAAAATTGATTAGGAAATGAACAGGCCGCCGAAAAAACTTGATGGTATCAAACCAGTGAGGAAAAAAAACAAATTGACGGACAAATATTTATAAGGGTTCAAAAAAATTAAAATTTGGTTGCTATCAAAAGGATCAAAACGAATATTATAGCTATTGTTAAGAGACAAATACAATGCATTTTCTTGTCTTGTCTTTGGTGTTTCTCGGCCTTCTGGACGTCTCCGACTGCCCTACCGACTCGGATCGAAGATTGTTCAACGTTGAAATCGATCCTGAAAACTCATAACGCTTATCTTTTTTTTTCCTGATCTTGTTACCTGTCCACGATGGTTCCCTGGTCAATTATCATATTTGAGACTTCCTTGAAAATTGTGTTGAGCTCGCCAATTGATGCGTTGACCGCCAGAACCTGAAAAAAGGCATTGAATTGTCTAGAAAAATATTCTTTACTTTTTTCTCCCGTTCGCGAACTTCTTTGTCGGTATTCATGAATAATTCTAGTTCTGCCATTGTGTATTCGGCAGACGTCGAGGCTTCTAAGAGGTCGGTCCAATTTGTTTCATCGCAATCGGCGTCGTGAGTAACAAGATAGTTACTTACATTCCGTGATCGATGCTGAAAATCATAAAAATTTATTCAAACTTCTAGAAAAGCTACCTCAATGTCTTTTAAATATTTGACCTGGTCGGACCGGAAACTGTTTGTTAATTGCGACAACGTTAAATTTAACGTTTGTGCTGCATTATCTCTAATTTTGCGTTCTGCATTTTTCTCTCCTTTTACAGTTTGAGTGGAGAGCATTCTGAAAAAAGAGCCCGGCTTTTTTTCATTTTATGAAAGTTATACCTTATCATCCTTTGACAATGGGACAGCATTTGAGTTATCTGCTCACTGCTCAGCTGCATCTCTCTCTGTTCCTCATCGAATAAGTCGTCCCCCAAATTAGGGCGCGACAATTGTTTTCTTTGACGCACAGAGAGTTCTTCCATTTTTGCACGCACTCTGAATCAGTATTTTCATTTTCAAAAAGTGAAAAAAGTCAAACTTTTCGAACTCAAAATCAACCTCGTCTACCGTATGAATCCAGTACGGCTGCTCTGCTGGAGAGCTATTCGCTCCACTTTCCAATTCAATCAATGTCATCTTCTCTTCTGCAATATCAAATATTAGAAAACAAGGAAACGATACCAGAAGACTAACCATCTTGACCTCCTCGGTAAGCTATCGAGCTATCATCGTTGCGAAGTATGTAACGGCTTTGTTGAGCGTTAGAACGTAGCAGTGCGAAAACGTCCGTGATGTTTCTTGTAATGCTCGCGCCACTTCTCATGGCCATCTGCATAAAAAGAAACATCCACTATTTCCATCCTTCCAACAAAAAGTGAAATAACAACGAAAGTAGTTCAAATATGAGGAAATTTCACAAAATACCCAAGAAAGTAAGATTGCCAGAGAATATCAAAAAATAGCTTTCAAGGAAAAGATTCACAATATTTCAACAAAAGATTGAGAGTTGAGCAAAAGGTAGGTCATCAGAATTAAGTTAGAACTTCCCGAAAAAGGAGATCCCGAAAACGTTGGATATTTTTTATTGGACTAATGGTTGAAGGTCAAGAAAGATGACAATCAAATTCGAAGTCATCAGAATTAAGAGAAGAAGCAGAAAATCATTTTTGATGAAAGGAAATGCAGAAAGAATCAAAGAAACTATACAAATAAGTCGATCGAGGAAGTTTTTAGAGGGGCTCAAGGCTGAACAGTTGCCGGCTCTGAAAAGACCCCTGCGTTCTATATTGATAAATTGCCTTAAGTCAGGGGTTATCGACTAAGCTACTTTGCCATGAATTACATGGAAAATTTCAATTGGCAGTTTTCAGAGTGTAGGACAATGCAATTTTTCAAAAATCAATTTTTTTCGAAATGAGAATCGAGTTTTCAAGGGGCTTGCAGAATAGAGAGTTGATCTTGATCTGAAAAGGGAAGGCGTTTTAGAAAAACTCCATAGTGTCGCTGAAAATTTCAAAAGGAACAATGTTCCAAATTTCTCAAAGAATAGACCAAAAATTTCCTCGCAGAAGTCGTTGAAGAGAGAATCGGAGCAAGGTTCTTCAAAGATCCCAGTAAATCTGAATTTCAGGTTCACATTACCTATAAAATCCGTTATTATTCGCTGGTTGAAAAAACATTTTTTCTCGTTTAATACAAAATCACAAGACCCCTCACTACTTTGCACGAAATCGAGAATTTCCCTGACTTTCCCTTCATATTAAAATCCAATCTTGGCTTCTTATTACCGTGGGAAAGCGGCCCGCACGGAGTCTTTCTGTTCAGTTGAAATACTACGAATGTCGATTGAAATTTTCTATTTTTTGATAAAAGGTTTTTCAGTTTATATCTTTCGAAGACTCGTGTTTTTCTTTATTATCAAAGTATGACAAAAGAATATTTAATTCCTTTTTACGTCGAAGCATCATTTTTATATCAAATGTTCAATTTTTTCAATTTATGTCCTCAACAAGACGTATATCAGATTTTTTTGAATCATTCGCAATCAAAAACTTAAGAAGATTCTCAAGCTTTTCAGATATTCCAAAGCTTAAAATTGATAAAATATTTGTAATAATGTCAATAACAGCATTTTTTTGAGCAAATAGGAGCGCCTGAGAAACTTAAAATAAAAAAACTATACGTTGATATTTACGTTTTTTTCAGGCTATTATGGAAGTAATGAAGACAAAACATTTCGAAATCAAAAATTAAAAAAATTAAAAAAAGCGATAAAAAAATGGAAAACTCCGTAAAAAAATCGATTTCAATTACCGTACACCATTTCTTTTCGCGGCAAGACCCGTTGTTGCCAAGTTCGAATCTCGCGCCTCTTTTTCGAAAACTTAGCTTGCTCAGATCAGCGTGCTCGATGTTTTTTCTTCCTGATATTGTTTTGATCTTTGATTTTCGAGAGATATACATCGATTTCCTCGATGCGTCATCGTTGTTTTTGACAAGAAATGTCTCACAGTTATTATAAACCTTTTAGATCCATTTTTTTTTCTGTATAAAACGGCTTCGCTTGCCGCTTTCTTTCATTTCTCCTTTCCTATTTTTCTTCTTCGTTTTTTCTAGATTTTTTTTTTGATTTGCACCAATTTAAAGACATGAAACTCCAGATGTCGAGCTTTTCGTTTGGGTGTTTCCCCGCTACGACCGAGCTTTCTTTCAAGGTAAATTCCCAACTTTTTTTTCTTTTTTTGATGATAATTATTTTTTCAATTTTCAGCCGGATACTGCAATTGTTAACGTCATCGCGGCTCCTGGGGCCGAGTTGATTGTGAACCAATTGGACTGCAAGAACTGCAGCGCTTCGCTCACCTGTGCTTTCGGAGAAAATCATGCGATCAAGGTGATTTTGTAATAGGCATAATTGAGAAATAATTATTGAGCTTCAGGCCTTGTTTAACACCACTGGAGATAGCGCTTACCGTGTCATCAGCAAGAATGGTTCTGAACTGGCTCACGGGTAAACTTTATACGATTTCATCGAAATTTGACCTAATGGTTCAGAAAACGGAATGAAAACATATAAAATGGAATAATTGGTTGTAAAATAGAATATTTTCAGGACCGCTTCCCTCTCTCACATGGGCACTTACGAAATCAGCCAGACTGGGCTGAAGGTCCTTGAGAACGGCGATTACACTCGCTACTTCTGTAAGTTCGCCAGGGAATAGGAGAAACATGATACTATCAGAAAGCTTCGAGAAGCGCCGCTAAAAACTGTATTCATTTTAAAAACGACTTTATTGGTCATTCCAAATGCGACCAACGGAGAAGCAAATAAAATTGTTTCAGCGTATCCTTTGGTCATCCTGTTCTTCCTGGCTTTCTTCTACCCTTACCTTCGCCAACGCATCGGCCTTGCTGCTCGCCGCTATTTGTAATTTTTATCATTGATCTCAAGATGCGCTTTTAAAATTAACACACTATGACAAGAAAATTGTTTGAAAACTTGTAGGGCCCGCCGGGACGAGAACTACTCCAGAATAGAAGATTCCGAGATCATCTACAATGAGGAATTCCCCAACCACATGCAGAACAAGACCTACGTCCTCGTTCACGTCTTGCGCGGGTAATAATTTCCAGAATAGTTCGATCACTTTCCCATCAAATCTTTGCGAAAATCAGAGCGGTTGGATTGAAATATCATTTTTTCAGAGTCGCTCTCCTGCTGATGATGTTCGTGAACGCTGGGGGCGCTGGAATGGGCATTTTCCAGCACTCGATTTGGGACGGTCTGACGGTCGCCGATTGGGTCTTCCCATTGTTAGTGTAGATTATTTATTCTCAGATGCATCCGCAAAAAAAAAAATAAAAATATTAAAACTTACGTATCTTCACTCACGTTGCAGTAAATCTATGAACTCGACGTTTTTCACCTCATGATTCCCTTTTTTTCAAAAACTTACTCTAAGAATTAAACTTCAAGGCTGAAACTGAAACCAGGCGATAAAAAAAAACTTCTTGTTTTCAGCTTCCTGTTCCTCTTCGGAGCCTCCATGTCCATCTCCTGGAACGTCATTTACGGAAGGTTTCTCAGTTGGGATTTTAGGTAAATCAAGTATTATTACTCTCAATGAAAGACTTCGAAATTACAGACCGCATGCCAGACACGTGTTCCGAATGACCGAGCTGTTCTTCATCGGATTCCTGATCGTCAATACTACCGACGAACCAAAGTAATTCGAAATTCTCTCATGGAAAGACTTATTCATACCAATTTCAGCAACTGGGGGAACGTCCGCATTTTCGGAGTCCTTCAGCGTTTCGCTCTGTGCGGATTGATCGTCCACTTTGCTCATGTTGCTCTGTATCGCTCTTCATACGAAGGACACAAGGGAAATACGGAGGTATGCTCGCTTTTCCTCCATTCGGAATGGCGAAGCGTCGCGGTTGCGCAGCGTTTCACCGCTGAAAAAACAAAACATCCTATTTGTAGCGGGCTATTAATCGCTGTGTAATATGCTATCCTACAGTCAGAAGGACTTTTTGGGATGACTTGTTTTGTGTCCCGGATAGCAACCTCGTACCGAACGATGTACCGTGATAAAATATTTTTATTTTATCTATTTTCCCTGTTTCAGGAGAACGCAAACAAGAACTGGGTTCGATTGATCCAATTCCGTATGGTGGCCTTTTTCCTGGTGTTGGGCATCATTGCTACGGTACTCCAGAAAACTCTCACGGTGCCTGGTTGTCCAATGTTTGCCAATCTGCATAAGTCATTATTTATTCATTGAATATTCAAGGGGTTACATGGGACCCGGAGGACTCATTGAACAAGGAGAATTCTTCAATTGTACTGGCGGAATCACGAGCTTCATCGACAGCTTCGTTCTCGGACAGAACCACATGTACAGCAACCCGACATGCAAGGTCTCAAAAGGAGAAAAAAAACAGGGATGTCAAAGGGGAATTGAAAGAGATGGGCATTATACAGGAACCATAACTCTTGATAAGGTTTGCAAATCCAAGAAAGGGCGCTAGAGGAGCCTCTATAGGGTTTTGCAGAACCCATCTTAGAAAAATTTCACAGAAAGACTGAGAATTTTTCAAAAAAGGCATCATTTACTCGACGCTTAGAAGTTTCTTTTATTATTTTTTTTGCAGACCCTCTATCAATGCCCCGGTTCTTTCGACCCCGAAGGACTCTTCACCACGTTGCTCGCCGCTTACAATGTCTTCATGGGCTATCAGGTTACCATCCAAAAAAAATATTTCTCATCAAAAAAGCATTCAGGCCGCTATCTTCCTCATGTTTTCCTCGAACAGCATGGAATTCCTGCAGTCTTCCTCCTTATTCACCATTTCGAACGCGGTTCTTGGAATCGTTCTCCACTTCACCATCCTTCCCGCCAACAAGAACCTCTGGTTAGTACAGAAAACGCTTGAAAAGTTTTTGGCCTTGGACTTTCAATCTTTTTCCAGAAAGCTATGACTATTTTTCAGGACTCTCTCCTTTGCTCTCTTGACGACTGGAATCTCGATGGGCGTCTTCAGTACCATTTCTTACGTGATCTACAATCACCCACAGCAGGAGTACAGATACTACCCGAAGAGCTTGCACTACATGGGTACGCTCAAACTATTAAAAATGATTATTTTTGGAGTAATTTGGGAAAAAGGATAAAAACTAATGAACTATGAATATTTCTCCAAATTTCCTAATTTCAGGGCTCTACTCCCTGGAGATCTACGTCTTCTCGACGTTCTTGGAAGGCCGCGTCCCGGTCGTCGTCAGCTACCTCAAGCCGTACTTCATCCAGCAAGCCCTCAGCTCCATTCTCCTTTGCTTGTTCTTCATGTTCTACGCCTTCTACCGTCACTACAGAGCCGCTCTTTTCATTGTCCCCCGCCGCGGTGAATACACCCGTGATTGGTAAATCAATGCGCATAATACTTATTTAATGGGTTCACAATAGCTCACAAAGAAGGTTTTTTCAATTTGTGGTGGGGAAAGTTTTGAAAAATGGCTCAGAGGTTCATTGATTCATCCAAAATTACTAAAAATCAACTTTTCATAACTCTTCCGTTTTTGATGAAAATATTTCAAAGTTTCAAATTGCCATTTTTTCCAACTTTCGCAATTTTTTTTCACTTAGATAAATCTGGCCAATTTTCAAAAAAAGTCCCAATCACAGAGCGAAATTGCCTTCCTTGTTAGATGATTTTATTCGAGACTTCAAAATATTTTTTTAATCATTATCGCTGGAGGGTTTTGAAACTGAACTTTAACAATTTTTACTTGCTTGAGAACAAAAACTTCAAAAAAATTTCTTGACGTTATCAAGAAAAAGCTTTCAATCTCGGAGAGTAAGAATTTTTCGCAAGTTTTTCATTCTAAACCTCCGCCCAATGAATCTATAAAAATGTATTCCTGAATTTTTGAAGCTTCGAATAAAATGACCTTTTTGCGGTGTTCAAAAAGAGAAGTTTTATCAAAATTCTTAAAATCAAAAGTTTTTTTTTCAAATTATTTTTGCTCCTTTGAATACTTCAACCAGCTATTGTGAAAGGAACTTCTTCCCTCTCTCATCTTTCATAATACATTTTGGTGCAACTATCCCCCTACCCTTTTCTTTCCTGTTCTTCAAAGATCTTTTCGGCTTTCCCCGTTTCTTGTCGATTTCAATTGTATCTGCATAATGCTATTTCTCTTGTCGATTTCAATTGTATCTGCACATTGCTATTGCTCTGAATGACATGCGCTTGATTGCTCGAATTCGATAAACTGTTAACTCCTCCAGTGTTGTGAGAATATTTTAAACGGAAAGAAGAGTGGTTTAACATGCTGAAAAAAATGATTCATCAGCTAGTAATATTCGATATGATGATGTGAAGAGGATTTACAGACTTCCAGATAATCCGGTAGCCTCAATGGACACGTTAAAACTTATTAAGCATACAGGCTATGAGATCAATCAAACAACCACCGTTTACTCCGTTCATCACCGCAAAAAAAAAAACCACATAAAGCTCTTCTTATTCTCTCAAGGCTTTTTAAGGTTACATTTTTCGAATTCCAGGTATTTGGACAAGATTTTAAGATTCAAACCAGGTCATAGAATCAATCATTTACCGCTGAAAAATGTAAGTCGTGGTCACAAATACAAATAAAAGTAAGCAATTGCTTTATCGAACAATATAAAGATACAATTAATTATATAATTACCGAAAAGCTTCATAATTTTTTTTACAATGAATTTATTTTCCAATTTCTACAATTTCACTGCTTGCTCTGTTGATTATCCCGAACCAGCGCTTCTTGCGCGGTTGATACGGCAAGTCTTCCGTCTTTGGTCCACAGTTTCCCCTCTATAAATGCCCGGCTTCCATCTGAACAATTTTCATAACTTTCAAACATTTCCGAGGAATCTTACTGGCTTTAGTGCTGACTGTTTCGTAAAGCATCCAATCGTCCATCCGGAAGTTGTCTTCATGAATCCAAATGCAGTGGTCCAAGGAGAAAGACATTGACGGAACGAACCCTTTTCTAGAATGTATTGTAAAATTATGACAAAAGTGGAAAATTACCGCATGTGAGGACGAATCGCGGTATTCAACATGGTCAGATCTGTGAGGTACGCGGCGACGCATTGATGGAGCCTGTTGTCGTCGCCTGGAATAATTTAATCATATATTTGCAACAGAGAAATCAAGTATATCACACTAATAAAAGCTTTTTAGAGATTAGGAACGTGGAAAGTTGATTGGAAACTATTTGGTTGCTTTTTTTAAACAGCGCATGAAAACTTATGGAATTTCCAAAAATTTTCGAGAATTCAAAACTCCCATTCCCACTTACCAATATTCTCCTTAGCCCTGATCCAAATTGATGCCTTTGGCTCGGAATCTTCTTTCAGAAGATATTTGGCCGGATCTACTGGTCTCACCTAAATTTTTATTTGCATTTTTATATAAAATAAATGGTGAATACATCAAAAAAACGCGGTCGAAAGCGTTTGGGATCTCCTTGATCGCGTGATTCAGAACTTTCTGTGTGATTGAGTCACCAACATTGTCTTTCAGGTACTCTTCGGCTGTGATTCTGGCGGGCTAAAAAATTAAAAATTAACAGAATGAAGGTATTTTCTAGCATAAAATCGATAGTTCAAAAAATAACAAAGAAGTGTGAAAAAGCAGAATTTTAAACAGGCCAGGAAAGATTTATTTTATAAACCTGTAGAGTTTCCGGATCGGGAACGACGGGCATTTCTTGCTGGTGTACTATAGCGTCGCGTTCTTTCTGAAAACAAAAACTTTTTTAAACTATAAATTGAAATTCATACGTTCTTGGAAGATTTTTCAAAAATATAAATAGCAGAAATACCTTATGGAATGAGATCTGGCATGAGAAGATGGCTTCTCCGTCTTGTACAGCTTTAACGAGGCGAGTACAGAAGCTTCTACCATCGCGGATTCGGTCAATCATGTACAAAATCGGCTTCTCGACGCTTCCTGAACTTCTAAAGGTCATTGAGTAATTAAAACAATCATTATATTTCATTATTCTGCGAAATTTTTCGCTTTGAAATTATTGAAAAAAATTGTTGAAATCTCACTTGAATCAGGCCAAATGTGATAATCTTATACTTAACCAGTTTTTTTCAAGCCTTTTTTTAAAAAAAACTAACTTTCTTTCAAAACGTTTCTTTATTTGCCTTACAAATAGCATCAAACATGTCGATTTTGTTTTATTAACGATTCGTCCAGTTCAAAAACGAAAAAAAGAATAGTTGCTTTGCAAAAATTTTCAAACTCTTTTGCCTCATTTACACATCATTTTTCTTGACGCCTTTATGACTAAGTTCCTTTCAATAAAGTCATAAATCAATAATATTACTCCCAATCTCACCAGTTTTGATGAAGTAACTGTGAAGCGAATGTGGGACGAATGTGTCATCGACTGTTGCTGCGGCAGCAGCGAGAGACTGTCCAACTACCTGGAAATTCGGTTTTGCCGAGATTTTTGAGAGAAGAGAAGTTTTATGAATCGATTTTTTATATAGACTTTGTAAGAATTCAAGGAAAAAATGAACAGAAATGGACTATTTTAAGCAATTCCTGATAAAAATGATTGAAATTTCATTATAAATGGCCAATTTCTGCTTTGAATTTGAGTAGTTTCTCAAAACAAAAATGTGTTAATCATTTTTTAAGTTTTTCTCTTCCCCTGAAGCCGAGAAATAATGTAAAAACTTGCCTGTCCCCCGTAAACAGCATTGTATGATCTCCGTCCTTTAAGCAAATGTCGTGCTCTAAAAATTGATAAGATAACAGAACAAAGACAGAAGCCAAAAATTACAAATAAAGATTGGTGTCGATGCGCTGAAGGTTGAGGAATGTGTCGATAAGGCCGGCCTTGATGTCTTCAGCTCTAGAAGTGAATTCGATGTGCGTGACGTTGGTTAACGGTTTTCCCTGGAAGAAAGGAAGGAGTAATTCATTTTGATACTGGCTTCGCAATCAAACTTCCATTATGATACCGATAAAAAAGAAGCAATAGAGGCTCAACCATTTATTTCATCCCCTTTTTTTCTAGCTAAAATCAGAAAACCCAATAAGGCTTTGGATTAAGTATTTGATCGTTTATGTATGAGAAATATTCTACGCTGGTCAGCGAAATATGACATTTGTGCTGATTGAAAGGCAAGTATTAATAAATTTTGAGCCGACGATAGATAAAACAGTTGTTTCGAAACGCATTTGTATTGCCGTGTTCAATTTGAATCCGCAAAATGCGAAATGATCTCTGACTCTCCAAAATTTAGTGATCTTTTCCTTTCTCTAACGGATATTTTGCGTTTCGCGGAATCAAATTGAACACGGCATAAAGATCCGAGTAACATTCAACAGCTTTCCAATGAGATGTTGAACTTCTCATATAGTTTTTGTATTGCTCTTTCAAGTTTTGAGAGCCTTTGCTCACAAATTGTTCACCGTGAAGATTGATACTTTGAAAAACTTTTAACGGGGGCATCGAATAATGGTTAAGAAGTTCTCAAGTGAAATGACCCTTCAGTTTTGACAAATTTTTGCATTCCTCGAGGAAAATTCTTCCAAAAAACATTTGTTTCATATATCTGATTCATCATGGGAACTTTTGCAAAGACGGCAATAATGCAACTAGATTCAAACCTCTTTCGGTGGAGCAGTTTTGGCCATGACGAGCGATGGGAAGCGATGAGCGGAATGGTTCTTAGGTCGGTTTTTGTGATGTGATGCGAGCACCCAGTGTGATACACTACGTTGTTGCCGCTCGCGCCACGTGTAAACAACGCGAAAAGATCAAACTTTTTTTTTATTAAAACAGTGCGGTTGACCGGAATCACAATTGAAACGGGAATCATTCATAGGAGGGCAGTAGATTAGCTCGATTGGCAGAAACTTCGATTCAAATGAAAACTAAAAGAGTTCAAAAGAAAGAAAACAACAAAATTAAAAAAGTTCACGACGGGGTGAATGATTGACTCATTTCCCTAGAGGCCAAAAAGCAGGGAAATCTGTACAATTAATCAGAATTTTAGTGGTTGTAGGTGTGATGAGCGTACCAAGCGACTTCCTGAAAAATTTTTTTCTTGTTTTTTTTTTGGAATACATTTACTTTTCTTTCCTGTTAAGGCTAAAAAAAGATAGCACCTTTTTTGTAAAGTGAAAAAAATTATCAACCTATCTTTTTAGGAAAATCCAAACTAAACTTGAAAACATTGAGAAATAGTAGAAAAAAATGCTATCTTCACTGATTTCAATTGCTTTTATCGTTTTTTTAAGTGATTCGAAGAACCAAAGATCTGATATTTTTGAGAGTCGAGCCTTTTTGTGAAACTACAAAGCCGAAAAAAATTGATAACCTAATAATTATATATGCTTTTTCCAATCGTAATCCCCCTAATACCTTAAAAATCTACTCATTTTCCAACCTTTCGCATTCCTGAGATTAAAATACCAAAGATAAGAGCCCACCTCATAGGCAGAATTGTAAAGTGACGTCTTGGCATCACTTCCAAACGTGAACTCGGCCACATCGTTGCAGACGAACGTCGTGGCGCTGTATGGTTTGCCCTGGCCTCTGGCGTACACCTGAAGAGAGAAAAATAATGACTACTTTGGATTTCAAGTTACCTTGAAGGCTTGATCCGGTTGAATGTGGGTGGAAACTGGGAAAGTGAAGGATGCGACTTCGGCTCCCTTCACATAATGGACGAGCCTCCAGTTGGACAAATCGTGGGATCGGATCGTGCTGAGGTTGACTACCGTGATCGACTTGCCGTCAGGAGAGTGCTCCTTAAAAATCGTAAACCTCATGAACCTTCAAAATAACATTTATTCTAAGATGACAGTCCACATATAAGTTTAAGATCTCATTTTTTCGGGTTTTGCAGGAAGATTTCTTCTATTCAGAGCTATTTGGAGCACCCACATAGACAAATTGATCGTCCGTTATGGATGCAAAAGGTTTACATTAGTTGTTCCTGAGCGGGTGGCAACGGCATCCTTTTACTGCATTTTTTCGTTTTTTAATCGGCCCTTCTTCCGCCCTTTTGCTTCTTTTTGAATAAAAAAAAATTTTTTAATTCAGAATAACCTCTACCAGTGATCGTGTATGAACCGGGATGTGCTACAATAATGAAATCGGTAATCATCAATGATCGAGGCTTTCAGCACCCTCTTTGCTCCCTCACTCTTTCTTAACTCTTTTTGGGCTCTCACTCTTTTTTCACCCTTTTTGAAGTTTTTCAGCCCACAAAAAATGAAAGGCTCAATAAAGGCCGCAAAACGGAACCCTCTGAACGGCCAGTTTTGCAGTCACTACCTTTTTCCATCCGTTTTCCGCGCCTCCGATTTCGGCAGTGTAGGCCTCTTTGTTTGAGTTCGATCAAAAAAAGAGCTTTAAAAAGTTTTCTAACCCCTGATGATTGTAAAACAGGAAGTGCAGAAACGTCAAATATTTTCTAGTGGCGAAAAACGATATTTCATCTAATTTCACTCGAAAGCTGTTTAAACCTTATTACACTTTTTTTCATTTAACGTAAACTAACCGAGATATAAATGTCGCCCTGATGGGAGCGCTGGAAATCGGTGGAGGTGTGGGCCGAACGAATTTCCGTGATGAAGTTATCAGCTTCTAAAAGTTCAAAGATTTCATTTCTATGAAAATGTATCGTTTTCCTACTCTGCAGAAGAGAACTAACGCCAATGCCACTTCCAATTCCTAGAAATTTCGATTTGTTGTATGTTCATCATGATAATTTAATATTACTGTGAAGAGAGCCAACGCTGACGCCAGTTCCAATGTCATGAGAGCGAGTAAGAGAGGAATCGAAGGTGATTTCCTGGGTTTTGAGACGAAGGTGTTCGGCTTGTTCCATGAGTTTGCGGTAGGTCGTGATTTCCAGTTTGAGGGACTGAAAAAAATAGTTTATATTCGTTTTTGTTTTTTTTGGGTATCCAGGTTACGCTAAACGAAGCAAAGCGGTCATTTACACTTTGCGCCTGACCAAAAACTACTTACGCGTTGCAGAAAAAAAATGTAAAAAAAAGCAAATTGTGAACTTCAATTGAGTTCACTGGTTTTCAATGTCTTTTTTTTTAGTTAGAAGCATATTGCGCCTCGGTCAAATTATGAAGAAAATGATTATTACAGTGTTATTATCGCAGAGAATGTCGACTTGAACAGTAAGAGCCGTGCATTCGGCACGCATTTTCTGCACAGCAGCTTCTTTCTCGGTGAGTGAGGTTTCGAAAAGTCGCAGGTCTTCTTCTTCTTGGAATCGAAGGTCTGCCAGCTTCTTGATGAGCTGTTGGTTCTGAAAAAAATCCCATGAATGATCTGTTGGTCTTAAATGACTAACCCGAGCTTCCAAGTCGGAGAGTCTCTCGCGCATTTCGGAGAGGGTTGTTCGGATCCTGATAACTTCTTCCTAAAGATAAAACTTGGAATCTCTTCAGATCTGTTTTTATCTAAACCCTTGAAGCTGAATACTGTTTGGTGTGAGATTCCGACTCAAGCTTGATCTCGACAAGCTTCTTCTTGTACCACTCCTCCCATTCAGCTCGGGAGGCTCGAGAAATCTGGAAAAGGGTTAAAAATCCTATCAAATAAACTCAAGATGTATTACCTTCTCATAACGATCACGAATTTCTCTAAGAGCGGCATGAAGTTCCCTGTGGAAATATTCACGATTGGCTGGAGTTGTGTCCTTGCGCAAACTTGCGATTTCTTCGCGGATTTTCTGAACCCATGATTACCGTTTCAACTCTCAGTAATGTTTTTCACCAGCTCATGTTGAGCGGTGGACGCTTTGATTCTTGCCAGAAGGTCATTTGCTTTCCCGCTGAAGCCTCCGAGGCCGCTTCTCTCCTTATCGCGGAGCTAAAAATATTCGTAGAGAACACTTAAAAAAACTGGAACTTACCGCCTTGACTCTAGCGATTTCGGCTCGAACTCTGGAATTTAGAGATTTTATTCGAGTGACTTCTCCTTCAGCCTCTGCTCTCTGTCGTTTCATGAAAGCGACCTGAAGTAAATTTTTATAATTTTTGAACTATTCTCAATGAGGATAAGAAGTTTAGAGAAAAAAACTAAGTGTGCTTCCAGAAACATTAAAAACCACCAAATTATTCATCGATTATTTTCGAGACTTATTAAATTTTTACACTTTTTCCGAAATCTGTCTTTTAAGTTCGCTTTGTTCTGTTCTACAATATTCTGAACTTTTTCAGAACGTTTCCTAACTCTGAACTTTCGCCCCTGCCACAGTTGCCTTTTTTTTTCAAATTCTCGGTATCAATTCATCACCTCAGCTTCTAGTTGAGAAAGTTGTCTCATCTGCTCCCGATCAGCCTCCCGGCGTCTTTGGTGCTGATCCATGGACTCGGCATACCTAAAAAGATCTGTGAAACTCAACTATATTTTTGAAATATTCAACCTCCTTTTCTCAACTTCAATCTCTCCAAGAGTGGTGTTGACATTTTTCTGATGGACGGTTCTTTTTGAATCAACTTCTCTGATCAAAGTGTGAATGGACTAAAAATCCACGTTATATGATTAACATGAAGTCATTAACTTTTTCCTCAGCTTCAAAAACCACAGACATTCGTTGGGCGTGTAGAGCAGCTCCATTGCGGAAAAGATCAATGTCGGCTTGGAGGATTCGATTTTGTGCTTGAAGGAATCGTGACTGAATATTTGATTTTGTTTTTTTATCAAAAGTCTGGAAAGTACTTTTTCAATGTATCTGGCCAATCTGTTGTTCAACTCCGTAAGTTCTCGCTTTTCCTGCTCACGGTTGTCGCGAATGTTAAGAGTGCAGAACTGGCCATAACTAGCCAATCCAGAATTGAAGTTTCCAGTGGTGAAAACTCGAGTTCCGCCGCTGTTCATAACTGAAACTTGTCGGGAAAAGTTTGGAATCACAAAGAAACTAACTTGTGCCTCCAGAAGGTCTCTCCAGGATACGGGCCACACTTGGATGTGGGTGAAGCGATCGAACCGACATTACCTGAAATTTTTTACTTTTGGTTTTTTTCAAAAGAAAAGGAAAAGCACGAGAAAGTCGAATGAGCAAAATTGCAAGTAGTTTCAGGTCGGATGCGCTTTCAAAGCAACCGCTTTTTGGGCATCCTATAACCTCAATTTAGGCATGCAAAGAAAAGCGATATAAGAGAAATAATAAGCTTGAATAACACGGCGTTTAAAAAAAAAAACAAAAAATATAATTGACCAGGAAATGTTCAAAAAAAGTATAGAAATTATGGGTTGAAGCCAAGATAAAACCAAAAGTAAATACTCTTGATGAAGAGGGCTGACTAATAATCCACATACAAAGGCAAATGTTACATGGAGCTTGGAATTTATCGATGCCGGTGCGGGAGTTTCTGACTGGCGTTATCGGAGTCCTTATCAGCGGCCCACGGAATGACGAGCCTTTCATTGTCAAGAAGTGTTTAAGAAAGACCCGACATTTACACGTTGCACCTAGTGAGCTTTCACTTTCTATCGAGCACTTTTTTGGAGGAGAGCAGGAAAATCAAAGAGCAACATTTTATTGGCCTTTTGGCGCCTAGAACTCGCAAAATACATATTTTGTTGTAAAATTCTTAATATCAAATTTTTAGTGTCTTGAATACATTTAAAAAAAGTTTCAAAAAGCATTAAAAAAATTCACAAAATTTGATACTTCATAGTTCGAAAAAGGAAACAAAGTGATACATAATTTCTTCAATTCAAGACGAAAAAAATTTAAGTAACTATCAATTTCCGTTGAGTTATCATGTCACAAAAAAACTTTTCAATTAAAAAAACTTATAGAATTATTTTTCCATTTGAAAATTCACATCGGCTCTTTTTTTGGAGGCTCAAACTGAGAAATTGGCGATTCAGCATTTTTGGATACGAAAAAGGCTCTTTTACAATTTTTTTGACTTAAAAATCTTCCTTGACCCAATGAACTTGATCCCGAAGCGAGTACATTTTTCTCAATTCTTTTGATGAAAAAGCTTCCCAAAGGTTTTTTTCTGATTAAAACTCTTTGAAAAAAACAAATCGAACATCGGTTGAAAAGGAATAAACTAGAAATATCCAGATAAAAAAAGTCCCCATGGCTTTGAATTTATGCTTTGAAAGAATAAAAAAAGTGAAAATGATCTATAAAGTAAACAAAAAAATTAAGCTCCATTGTCTTGCATTAAGCTGTCAATGTCTTTTTCGATAAGAAGTTTGACATTTGAAACAGTGATTCACATTTAGATTCTCAATTCATATCAATAGAAAACCTTCCAGTTTTTATCCGAGCTGATAAATGATTCATTGATGATTCTTATGAGTAACTTGGTGTTTCGGACTTTTTCAACGTCAATCGAACCCATTGCTCACAAAAAAACTTTATTATAAAATTCCGAAAAAATGCAAAATGTTTATCCCAGACGAGAAGAAGAGCTCTTGTAGCTGTAAGAAGAGTAGCTGGAGCCTGAACTTCCGCCAATATTGCCTCCGATGTTTGTGAATCCCACAGGATGCGTCTCAATAAATCCAACTCTTCCGACGCCGCCACCAATGCCTCCAGAAGCAGAGGAGGATGAGCTGCTGGAGTAGGAGTAGCTGGAGGAACCACCGACGTGACCTCCAACAACTGGAGCTCCAACTGTCCTGGTAGTGACGGAATAGCCGCCGTGAAGGCCACCGACTTCAGGGAAGCCGTGTCGGATACCCAATGGGACGTTTCCGCCGACAGTTCTGGTGTGAACCGAGTAGCTGTCGCCGACACCGCCGCCAATTAGATGTCCTCCAGTCGATCCGTGAGTTGAAGAAGAGGAGTACGAGGAGTAGCTGGACGAGCCTCCGATTGGAACTCCGTTGCTGTACTCGACGGTTCGGACAGTCGTCGTTCCTGGCGTCACCGTCGTGAAACCGACTCCTCCGCCAACTCCGACACCAGTTCCGACTGAAAAAAAAATTAATAAACTGCTAGACAAGTTTACCAGGTTTAGTTTGTGAGAAGCTTTATCTTCACGTAGAAATTTAACTTCAGTTTTTTTGATGACTTTCAAAGATTATTAGATTCTGAATATTTCCATCCATCGCGAACTCTTTTCAAAAAACCAGTGAAACTGTGATGTAATTTTTTTCTGCTCGACTTTTCTCTGAGCACCTCGGAGTTTTTTTCCGAATTTTTTTGAGATTACTTCAACTTTTTTTCAATAATTTAAAAAAAAAATATAACGAAAAAATATAATGACAAAGACCGTTTTTGAATTGCTCCTTTTTCAATGAGGTTCTTCAAACATTTTTCTCCATTCCACTAAAAATTAGGATAAAAAGAATTATCTCACTTGTGTGTCTAACACCGTTGTTGCGTGAGTACGGGCACGACATCTTCTGAAAAATTTCCAAGTTAAGTAATATTATCAAAGAAAAAGGAAAAAAGAGCATTTTATCACAAGCGCGAAGCTCTTTTATTCTTGGTTTACAATAAGATAAGGTGAAATGCTGACACCAGTTTAAATGGCACGTGAACAGATAGGGAGCCCCATCTTCTTAAACAGGAAGAAATCCGACATTTTGATAAGAAAAAATTAACTTTACCTTGAAATTAACTCATGAAGGGTGAAATGAAACAAAAATTGGACTTTGTAAAAAATCCTCGGATCCTATTTTTCACAAATCCGGCTCTATTACTTCAAAATCTCCGGATGATTAATATCAAATTTATTTTTTCTAGGGACCACAAAATTTGATTTTTAGCTCCTGCTGATTTCGTTCTCAAAACGATGGAATGAGTTTTTGATTCTGCAAATCCGTATCATTTTTCTTCCCTATCCAATCATCCTGGCCCAAAACAAAGGCAATATTTCAGGTACGGCAGTTTATGTCAGAGAACGGCACGCCTTTTGCAGCTGTGTGATGGTTTTTGGGCTATCAAAAGGGTCTCGAAAGGACGAGTCCTCGCTGATCGAATGACGATATCTGGTATCCTGCGGCCGACGGCTGCCTTACGCAGTTTTCGACGCCTTGGCTGGCCCTTCCTGCGCCTTTTTCCTGTTTTTCCATGCTTTTTCTCTTATCAGCTTCTTTTTTCATGATAATAAACTTTTTTTCGGGGTATTTTTGTCGAGATTAAGCGCTAGTGATTTGTTATTTTTGAAGAAAAATGCAGTTTGAAAAAATCTCGGATCCTTACAGGTTGTTTTTCCTTGTCGAAAACGTTTGGCGACTTAATTTATTTTTTTCGGAAAACTCACATTTTTTTAATTGAATAACCCTCAGTCGTTTTTTTCCTCTTTTTTTCTATTTGATTTTTCAGTTACGTCCACTTTTTTTGTGGAAATCAGCTTTAAAATGCATCGAAAATCATGAATTTCCATGAAAAATGACTTCGAAAGAAATTCATGATCATAACATCAGTGATAATTTTGTCCCGCCTTTGGATTTTTCATCACTTTTTGAAAAAAAACATCCAATTCGATTTTTGCCTTAGTATCAAAACAGTAAGAAAAAAGGTTTTCAGAGATCTCGATCTCATCTTTTCAACAAGCTATGAAAAATAACTGACCCATCACTTCCTATATCTCACTTTTCGGCGGTAACTTATCAATCCGCGCGAAACCGCACTTTTTGAACATCACCGACATGTGACAGACAATCCGGGCGGCCAATCGCTCAGATCCGAATCTAAAACTTCCCTGTCTAATGGGCTTCAAATGGACAACCGTTTTTCAACATGCCTCTTTTGGCGGCTTTCTCTTGAAGCTTCGACACGAAGTTTTATGGAAAATGAAGAAAAAACGACAGGAAAAAAAAGTTACGAGGCTGGACTGTTGGCTACGTTCACGCCTATTAACTCGGTCAGCCTTTTGCGGAACAGTTCCTCGTTCTCGCTCTTTCCATAATTACTTGCTGAACTTGCTGAAGTTCACTTCTTTTATGTGTAGCTTTGGACGAGGTTAGCTTCCTGTTTCCATGTTTTTACTGGACGTTAAAATGGTCAAATTATTCGGATCCAGTATACAAAAAATGTTTTTTTTTCATTTCTGCAAATAATGAATGTTTTTATCAAAGTGGTGGGAAATTTGTTCAGGAATCCTGTTCAACCTTGAACAACTTTGTTTGTAAAACATATTACTGTTTCACATTCAAACATCCTTCCATTCAAGAAGCTTCCTTCCTGATTAATATAAAAGCAAGCGTGTTTCACTCAAATTGGCCTCCCCCGGAAAAATTAGTGCATCCGATGCGTATCGCTGTACAGTTTCAAGTTTGACCCATCCGCATTTGCGTCTCTTTGGATTGCAACTTACCGCCGGCGCCTGAGGGAGGAACACGTTTTTGGTAAACAGACGTCTTTCTCTGGATCCATTGTACATAGGTCAAAAAGCCGGCATGTTTGAGGTTCTTTTTTCGTTTGATTTGATTTTAAAAGCTTTTGATTGCCTTTTGTAGAAGCTAACAAATTTGAAAGATTTTTCAAACGATGGAAACATTTGTGATCCAATTAACGATTGATGTTTGAAAAAAAGCAATAAGAAAAATTGAAAAACTTTTTGGAGCAAATTTGACTGTTTCGTTAGTTTGAAAATGCTTCGATTCACTGAAGAAGATGCATATTTTTTTGCCATTTTTTTGAAGAATTTTTTTCTCATAGTTCTCAAAAAAACTACAACTTGATTCATTCTCAAGATTTTTAAAGGACGTTATTTTCATATAAAGAAAGTAGGGAAAAATTGAAAGTTGATTGTTCAATCCGTTCCATCCTTCAATGAAACCATCTCCCAATCCCATTTATCTACGCCCATCAATCAAATCCAATCATAATACAAAGTTTCTTTTCTAATCACGACTAAAAAGAAAGAAGATCAGAAAAACGAAGGGCGCGATTCGCTTTTTGTTTGGTTGGCCTCCAAGGAACGCGGCAATGGGTCTTTAGGGGAGGGATTTGAAACACGCCAATATCGGCATCCACTTTTTTCTTCCTCTTTTGCAATCAACCGGTATCTTCTTGTATTCTGTTGTTCGTCGGCTATAAGTTCTGAGGTCTAACTTTCATTATTGGTCGTGTTGAATAGAATTGATATCATTATTAGTATGGGATTCTTAATCGAGAAGTCTCCAATTTCATGAGCTCTGCTCTAATTTTTCTTGAAACTGTTTCGATTTCTCAAACAATATCTTATTTTTACAGTTTTTTTGCACGATTCCTTCTCCCCAGGCTGTGTACTGTTTCAGGTCAAGATAATCTTCTAGCTGTTACCGGCTCATAATCAACCTATATCTAGCCATTTTCCGTCTCAAGTCTTTTTGTACATGTTGAATTGTTTTTCTCGTGTTTACAAAACTTTATATTCTTTAAAAAAATAGTTTTTCAGCCTCATGGACCGGCTCGGTCCAAAGGAAGAAAGCGGCTTTGAGGGCCGAGGCCGACCGGCTGAGAAAACTCGCTGTGATCGGTTGGTTATTTCATCGAATATTCCAAATTTAAACTGTTTTTCATATAAGATATGTTTTAAAAATGCTTTTCGATCTTTTAAAATGGTCAGTATACAACACTTACTTTTATGTGCTTATAAGAATTTATTATTTCTTTATGCAATGTGAAAAAACAAAATGCTGAAAATGGATAGTGATGAACGAACTTTCTGGACTTCAGCAAGAATCTTGGGAAGATTTTTGAAAAATCAAAGAAACATTGAACTTTTTTGAGGTGTCGCAATGTCCATCGGCGCCGCTGTGATTTGCGTTCTGACAGTTCCTCTCGTCTACAATTACGTTCAACACATGGAAACTCTCCTCCAAGATGAAGCCGACTTTTGCCGGGTTTGCTTTGCCTCCTCAGAAGCGGTCCATAAATCTCTTCCGGCTGAGTATGCGCAAACAAGCTTGGAAAGTGGTTGGGTCTAAATCTTAATTGATAAGATAAAGCGTGGATTTGGCGTTTTTTTCTGCCAAAGCTGTTCGTGCGCAAAAAAACTGGATTTTTTTGTCTGGGATAACGACCGTAGCGAACTTTTTTTTTTAGGTGCAATGTGAATGGCAAAAAAAGGAATGGTTTTTTTCATGTAAGAAATTTCATTAGACACCTGTAACTTGGAATAAAAAAATCATCTTTTTTTCAATATTATGGCTTCTTTTCTCTAATTATTCATGATAAAACCTTAGATTTCAGTCTCAATGTTAAATAAAAAAGTTTTAACTCATACAGCTGTACAGATTTCTTCATTTGGCCACTGATAAATTCAATCAGTTATTTTTTTCAAAGTACAGCAACTTTTCCCTAAGATTCTTGAAGTGCGAGGAACGAAAAAAGTTCATCAGAGGAGGAAGAACGACCACCCGCAGATATCTTAATATCTTTTTTGGACGGGTTTTTCTCGGGCATAGACATACGCAATCCATGCGTACAATGGCAGCAAAAAAATTACCCATCTTACGTCAAATTCCTGCTTTTTTGACTTGTGAATAGGAGAGAAACTTTTTGCTAGGCTTCTCAAGAGTTTAGACAAATTTTAAGAAGATTTTTTGTGGAAAAAACCCTTTCTTTGACTTTTTGAGAATGTTTGCGCTGAATATATTGATCACACAAGTTAGGAAAGAACTTCCAGATGCGCAGCAACAAAGTCTGGGACGAAGTCTCGAAAGCTCGAATAGAACGCGGCGTTGGACAAAGAGACAGGAGACACGCCTACGACGGCTACTCGGCTAGTTACGGTACCTACGAAACAGTTCCGCTGAAAGTCTACAAGTCAGCTGAACTCACCGAGCATCGAGAAGAACGCGACGACAGCGCTCAGAGAGCTCAATCTCAATGTGAGTTGTAGAACCAAAATAATTCTTCCCAGTTGGAATTCGATCATTTTTGAATATTTGAGGAGACATCGAGTTTGGAAATGGAAAAATATTATGAAAAAATAAGTTTTCAGGCTGTGGGTGCGGTTTTGGAGCTCCTGGTCCTTCCGGAGAAAACGGAAAGGACGGTCGAGACGGTGAAGATGGAGAGCAAGGACCTGACGGCACACCTGGGCCTGATTCAAACGAACAAACCTATAACCCACTCGACGAGTTTTGTTTCGAATGTCCGCCTGGAGCTCCAGGTCCAGTTGGCCCTCCAGGACCGAAAGGAATGCCCGGGCTGCAAGGCCGAAACGGAAGAGACGCTGACGGAGGCCCACGAGGACAACCAGGCCCGCCAGGACCTCCAGGACCGAGGGTGATTAGGACCATTTGGAGATATTTTATCATCATTGTGTTGTTTTTTTTTAAAAGACAGCCAAGGGATTCACTGATTGACTTCATGGTTCCAGCTGATCGTTTTTTTGGTTCAGATTAATAAGTTGAATGTTAATTCATGATTTTGACTTCGCTAGAGTTGACTGAAACTTGATTATTCGAAACACTTCTAAAATTGTTCGGTTGTTTCGAGTTGTTTCGTAGTAATGAGCTTATGAATGGCGGGCAGGAAGTATGCGAAAAAAAAATCCGTCAAGGAAAGTCAGTTTATTTTGAATCAAACCGAGAGTTGTTAAGGGAGAGCCCGGACCGAAAGGCTATGAAGGAGAAGGCGGACCAGATGGAGCTCTTACCATGGAGCAAGTTGGGCCACCAGGACCACGCGGACCTCCAGGTTTAAAAATAAAACGGAAATCCACGAAATCTGTACTCTAGGACCGGCCGGACCGGAAGGACCGCCTGGAAAAGAGGGACCGGCCGGAAAGCAAGGACCAGAAGGCCCAATCGGAGAAGAAGGACCGCCAGGAATGCCAGGAGCGCCAGGAAGACCTGGACCGCCTGGAAGGCCAGGAATTCTTGGAGAACGTGGTCCTTCCGGCCCATGTACTCACTGTCCTAATCCTAGAACAGCTCCTGGCTATTGATAGAAACAATTCACGAGAAGATTTATCGCCATTTCTGGTGCTATTCACAACTTCCATTTCTTGTCTGTACAATTTGAATGAAATTTATTTATTGCTTTTTTGCGTAAAAAAAACAATCTTGGCGAGGAGTCAGATGTTTCGCGCTTCTCCGAAACTGATCAACTGGACTTGCGCTCCAAAAAACTTGTTCACTGAAAAAGATTTTCAGTCGTTTCAAGTTGAAAAAAATGTCATACTTTTGAGACAGAAGTTGAACACTCTTGAGACACGAAGTTACCTCCAAATACACCAATTTTCCAGGATTCGCCTAAAATTTTCTCAATAATCAAAGTTGAAGATCAAATTTGAAACTGACGTCCATAGTTTCGAAACGTAGATGTCGTGGACTGTCTCCGCACGGGCTCACACACAATAAGGATCCATTCCGCGTGGAGGCTGTAGTCGGGAACCCAACAGCTCTTCAAAGCTTCATCTGAAATTTATCTCAATAAGAAAAGTTGAAACTGACGTCCATAGTTTCGAGAAACACAAACAGTACAAAAAATTCATTCTGAGCTATTCTCGATGAAAACGCGGCACTAAAACAATTAATTTGAAAATTATTTAGAACGCTTTGTAAAAAGAGAAACAATGAGAACTACATGGTCCACAATGAGGTTCTGATTTTTCTTTTTCTATTCCAAGGGATGAAATGAATTTTTTGATTCAAAGTTGGCTGTATTCTATTAGGTATGAGAGCACGAACCAAAGACCAACCTTTTATTCAGGGTAGTATTGAAAGAACTCCTGGAGCCCTCTATCCCTGCGCGGGCTCTCCCGCCACGAAGGCCGATCTCTGGAGAGGGGGGCTGCAGCCGGGAACCCAACAACTCTTCCAAGGAGCTTCAGTCAGGCACCCGTCTGCTCTTCAAGGCTTGACCTGAAATTCATCTCAATATTAGGTATGAAAGCCCGAACCAAAGACCAACCTTCTCTCCAGGGTAGTATTGGAAAAAAATTGCTGGAGCCCTCCATCCCTGCACGGGCTCTCCCGCCACGAAGGCCGATCTCTGGGAGGGGGCTGCAGCCGGGAACCCAACAACTCTTCCAAGGAGCTTTAGTCAGGCACCCGTCTGCTCTTCAAGGCTTGACCTGAAATTCATCTCAATATTAGGTATGAAAGCCCGAACCAAAGACCAACCTTCTCTCCAGGGTAGTATTGGAAAAATTGCTGGAGCCCTCCATCCCTGCACGGGCTCTCCCGCCACGAAGGCCGATCTCTGGGGAGGGGGGCTGCAGCCGGGAACCCAACAACTCTTCCAAGGAGCTTTAGTCAGGCACCCGTCTGCTCTTCAAGGCTTGACCTGAAATTCATCTCAATATTAGGTATGAAAGCCCGAACCAAAGACCAACCTTCTCTCCAGGGTAGTATTGATAAAAGTCCTGGAGCCCTCTATCCCTGCGCGGGCTGACCGGCAAACTGGGCCGATCCCTGGGGAGGTGGGCTGCAGCCGGGAACCCAACAACTCTTCCAAGGAGCTTTAGTCAGGCACCCGTCTGCTCTTCAAGGCTTGACCTGAAATTCATCTCAATATTAGGTATGAAAGCCCGAACCAAAGACCAACCTTCTCTCCAGGGTAGTATTGGAAAAATTGCTGGAGCCCTCCATCCCTGCACGGGCTCTCCCGCCACGAAGGCCGATCTCTGGGGAGGGGGGCTGCAGCCGGGAACCCAACAACTCTTCCAAGGAGCTTTAGTCAGGCACCCGTCTGCTCTTCAAGGCTTGACCTGAAATTCATCTCAATATTAGGTATGAAAGCCCGAACCAAAGACCAACCTTCTCTCCAGGGTAGTATTGGAAAAATTGCTGGAGCCCTCCATCCCTGCACGGGCTCTCCCGCCACGAAGGCCGATCTCTGGGGAGGGGCTGCAGCCGGGAACCCAACAACTCTTCCAAGGAGCTTCAGTCAGGCACCCGTCTGCTCTTCAAGGCTTGACCTGAAATTCATCTCAATATTAGGTATGAAAGCCCGAACCAAAGACCAACCTTTTCTCCAAGGTAGTATTGATAAAAGTCCTGGAGCCCTTCGCGGGCTGACCCGCAAACTGGGCCGATCTCCATGGTGCGGAGAAGACTGAAAAAAAATCGCAATTAAACATTGTAAAATATTCATTTTTCTATAGCGTTTTCGAATGGCGCACAATTTCTTAACTTTTTTTTCGTTGCGCAGAAACTAGAAAAATTCACGATTGAATATTGAAAAACGTTGAAAAATATTCATTTTTTCTGTAGAGGTTTTTGAAAGGCGCTCAATCTCCTATATTTTTTTCTATTTCAAGTGATGGAATGAGTTTTTTTGAATTGACAAAAAAATATCTCATTCCAGAAGCTACTTTCGGTAAAATTGAGACTCTGTAACAGCTGAATTCATTTCAGACTAGAAACATTTTATAAACAGTGAGATGAGATGGTTCCAGTTTAGGTATCAACTCTTTTTTTAATGATGACTAACCTTATTTCCAAAGTGGCGCTCGACGTCTTTGCAGTCCTTATTCCCTCCGATTGCTGATGCGCATGGACGGCCGATCTCCGTGGTTGCGCAGAGACTGGAAAAAAATTCACGATTGATTATTGAAAACCATTGGAAAATCTTCATTTTTTTCTATAGAGGTTTTTGAAAGGTGATCAATTTCTTAGTTTTTCTATTTCAAGGAATGAAATAAGTTTTTTTGATATAAAAATTTTTCTATATTCTATTAGGTATGAGACCCTGAACCAGAGACCAACCTTTTCTCCAGAGTAGTTCTGGAAAAATTCTTGGATCCCTTTATCCCTGCATGGGCTGGTCCGCAAACAGGGACGATCTCCGTGGTGCCGGAGAGAACTGCAGATGTCTTTGACATCCTGCATTGCCCTACGTTCTCTTCTTCTCCGGATTTGTTGGCTGGGCGAACACGCATCCGCCTATCTCCTTTCAAAGAGCCAAGCCTATAGGAGAGCTGAAAAGTTTCTCTTATATTACACAACGCGATAAAATTCTCACCCCTACAAAACGGAAGCTGTTCCGGTCGGTGTTCGTGAAGTTGTTCACCTTCTTCAAGGCCCACGAACATTGTTATTTCTCTCTGTAGGCTCTAGAAGCTGAAAATTTCGAAAGATTACATTTCAAAAGAGTTTTCAAAACACTTCGCGAAGTCATGTCACGGCCACAACGCTGCTTTTCTCGGGATCGACTTCGCGACCCAGAGACCGCCGACAGCATGAAGGCGATGTTGCCCCGCCGCATGCTACACTTAGCTTACGGAGATAACTCTGCAAATACTGAATTCAAGAACAAAATAAGATAAAGAAATGAAAAAACCAAAGCTTCGAACGGTTTCACCCGTACTAAGCCTCACATCGCCAACGTATGAACTTTAAAATTCTGAAACGTTTTCAGCTTTTCAATTGCGCATTCGTCCTCAAAACATAGATGCTCATTGGAAACAAAAAAATTTTTGAGAAAAAAACGAAACTTCTTGTTTTGTAAGAAAAAAGAAATTTCGAAGTGTCGAAATAAATAAAAAAATAGAGACTCAAAGTTGAGGCGGCTACAAAAATAAGGAAGTTCTTTTTTTCATTGGATTAAAAAGAATTCATAGGGTTTTACAAAATTTCGAGGTGTTTGGAATGAACTAATTTTTGTTCTTGCAAAAAAACGGATCTGTTAATGTTTTTTCTCATCTACACGTTTTTCATATTCTCTCGAAAAAACTTTCAAAAACTTCTCTTTTGCTTTCTGTCAAAACAAGAAGATTCTGAATTTGTTTCTGATATGAAAAAAACTTCAAAATTCTGAAACTTATGATCAGAAAAATCTCAAAAAAACTACATAAAAACTTTTTTCACTCTGTTAGGGCCCAAAATGACAATTTTCAAAAGTTATGAGGAGAAAAAAACTGTAAAAGATGTAGAAAAGTTTGCGAAAGAATGAATACAAATGGACCGATATGCATAAAAGAAGAAGCGAAGAAAAACCCAGATAATAACTGGTAAAGAAAAAAAAAAGGGAAAGATTCGAAAATAAACTCGTTGCCGCGAAACTGCGAGAGTTCTTACTGGTAGCAATTTTGACGCAATTAATGGCGCAGTATGCATTTTTATTTGAAATTGAAATAACGAGTCAGAAAAAAGTCTTATTAGATTCAGTTTTGTCTGATCTGTTCAGTGTTGTACTTCTGAATCCACGAAAAGAAATTTTGACAATCGAAAAAATCAAGTTTTATAGTGTTGGGATATAAGAACCAAATTCTGAATTTCTATCGAAAAAATAATCGTAAGAAACGGAACAGACTTGATAATCGAAATACTTTGGACTTGTTCTGTTTAGGTCTTTTTTCGGCTCTTGGGTGTCATTTTTTCCATAGGCACGCAGACTGACCCAGCTCATGGTGCCACAGTGAGTTACAACCGCTTGTAAATTAAGACGAAGGCGAGAAAAGACCCAGATATACGGACTCACCAAACAACGATCTTTGGACTCGCAAAAACTAGAAATACTGTGGTTTTGAATCATTTCAATTATCATAATTGACTTATTTTTCAAAATTTCCGGCTTGCTCGAAAAATATTTCCTAAACTTGTATGATGTATACTTTAACAAAAAAAAGTTGAAATCTTTTTTGTTGATAACATGAATTTCAACCAAAATCGAACTTCGTAAACACAAATTTCGCCGGAAAATCTAGCATAAACTATAGGAAATGAATCGAAAATAACCAAAAGGGAAAATTCAAGCTTTTGCTTCGAAAGCTACTTAGGAAAAAAACCTTGTGAAAAGTTGGACCAAAAAATAATTTTGATCAGTTTTTTGGGTTGATCATTTGATCGCACTATATATATTCAAACAAATAAAATTGAAATCTTTTTTTCTGTTGATAAGATGAATTTCAACCAAAATCGAGCTTCGTAAACACGAAAAATTCCGAAAATGCATATAAAGTTTTTTTATACTGAACTTCTAAAAAGGCAAAGAATTTTTGAAAAGATAAACTCGAAGGAACTGACATAAATAGAAGAAGAAGAAAAAGCGAAAAAAAAACACGGGTTTTAAAAAAAAACAACAACAATGGGAAAGATTCGAAAACAAACTCGTTGCCCGTGAAACTGGGAGAGTTTTCACTGGTAGCAATTTTGATGGATTTAAAGGCGCATAAAGTATGCCCTTTGCTCAAAAATTGAAGTTAAAAAATCAAAAAAGTCTGGTTATATTCAGCTTTGACTGATCGTTCTGATAGTGTGTCTCTGCCACCATGAAAAGAAATTTTGAAAATCGAAAAAATCAAAAATCGTATTTTTAAAATAGAAGAAGTTGAATGATTTACAAATTCAGACTTGTTTCAAAAAAAATTGACAAAAACAGAGACATGCCTAATAGTTGAAAAGTTACAGACTTGTTTTGTTAAGGTCTTTTTTGGCTCCTTGGTGACATTATTCCTATAGGCACGCAGACTGACCCAGCTCATGGTGCCACAGTGAATTACAACCGCTTGTAAAATAAGAGGAAGGCGAGAAAGAACCCAGAGATGCGGACTCAACAAAAAACGATCTTTGGACTCGCAAAAAACCAGAAGTACAGTTTTTCGTAGATAGAAAATTTTTAAATAGGTTTGTAGAGATTGAATAGATTAAGAAGTATAGATCATCAAAAAACACTGTTTTCAAGCCGAATTTGTCCAAAAACGGAGTTTTTCAGCTGATGTGTTAATTAGAATCCTGTACTTCCGGTTTCCAACAACCTTTAGAAAATGTGGAAGCGTGATAAAACACTATGGGACAACAAAAAACGGTGATAGTCCTCTCAAAAAAGGCATAGAACCTCAAAAATCTCAACTTTCAGGCGAAAATCGACTTCAAAGTGAACTATCTGGCCATAAAGTGGGCTGAACTATGTGAAAACGACTTCCACCAGAAGTTTATGGATTGTAGTATCAAGCAAAAAAGTTTTCATCAAAAGTTCAGGCAATAAAAGATGGTCAGAGACCATCATCCAAGGCGAGTCTAAACGCTGAGACCCCGAGTTGCGCGTGTTCGGCGCAATTTTGCGACATGATGGGTAGGACAAAAGTTTTTCAATGTGGTACGTATTTGTAGCTAATGACCTGACACATCTTTTAGAGAGTTAACTTCGAAGGCAAGTAACTATTGTGAGTAGGGTGACCAAAAAACCCAAAATCGCGAACACAAAAATACCGTGTCTCGATAATTTCCAGAGTGACCCATGATGATATGTACTGAAAAAAATTCTGAAATTGCATTACCTATCGACTGATATACAACTTGCCTAAAGAAAACTCGTCATTTCTTAGATACGCAGGTGACGACCTGCTTACCGTAACCCGGTTACGGTTGGAGCAAATGGCTCAAAAAATCGCTTCCTATTTTTAGAAGTACAGAGACAGCGCGTTAAATTTTGGGAAAAACGATTCAAAACAAGATCAGCAATTGGACAGCAGAAAATGGTCATATTAGGGTATTCAGACGGAGAATCCATATTTCGATGAGTGATGGGAGGGCCAACCCAGTTATCCAGTTTTGAAAAAGTTCTAAACTCGGAGTGAACAAAGCGGAAGAAACGAGAAAACGGTATTTATACGGTTTTCGCCCGTCAAATTTCCTTGAGCTCTAAAACACCCAAACAAGAGATAATCCAATAATCCAAATTGCCAAATGTTTTCAAAAGTATGTAGTTACAGAATGGCTGTCCAAGGATTTCTGATTAAGAAAATATCGAAATTTGAATGAATTGCAGAAAGACTTTTGGAACAGGGATTTTGAGAAGGGCGAAAACTGTTGAAAACCGAAATCTCCCGAAAATGCTAATCTATCCACTCCGGTGATGGTTCTCGCTGCTGTTTAGATTCATGTCAAAAATTATTTCAGAGTAGAAAGTAGAGTACTGGGGTAACACTTCAGTGAACATGTTCCAATCACTTCAAAATCCCAGAGCAATGGAAACATTCTATAGACTTACCTTCATTTATTCGGAATTGAACGGTAAAAAACGTTTTCTTTGAATCTCGGCCTCTTGCAACCGAAACCTAAAAATTGTTCATTATCAAGTATAAAAAAATTAACTTCAGAGATCGGTAAGTAAAAAAATGGAAAGATGGAGCCATAAAAATTACAAAATACGAATATTCATCAAAAAAATTTATTACAAAAATTTTTCTTAGAAAAAAATGTTCATTATATCAATAGTTACATCAAAGAAAAAGTTTGAAATAAATACAATTTCATGGGAGAGTGGGAGATGGAGGGACATTTCTAAGTACCGAAAAAAATAGTTCAGAGGTGATTTCGTAAACGAAAACGCTTTCACATCAGTCTCTAGTTTGTAAAAAAACCGTTGGAAACTCATTTCAAGTTACAAGTCATATTCCGAGTTTATATCCGCTTCTGCAATCGGCGTGCTTCTTCGAAAAAAAATTCCACCGGCTTCTCGAAGATCCCGGACGATGAACTGAAAAAATTATGATACTCAATTTTCAATCTTTTTTTTTATTTCAAGCGATGAAGAAAAATGGTGAAATATAATGCAAAGTTCATCAGTTCTTGTTTGTCTTAATACAAATGGAAAAAAGAAACCAACTTACTGTTCAACTTTCTTTGCTACCAAAATGGAGCTCAGGTTCCGTAGTAGTTCATTCTGCAATTTTTGGATTTAGGAACAAATTCGAGAAAAAATGAAGAAACCGATGCGTCAAAGACGTCCGCCCGATCCAATTTGCAAGCGAATAAACTTGGATGTTTTGAAAAATCTTCAGTCTCTCAGCAACGCCTAAATCGCAAAAGTTTTTCACAGCTATTTTTTATTACTTACGAGAGACGAGTTGATCTTGACCAGCTCCGAAGTACAAAACCAAAAATATTTTTCGACGTCTCCTATGGGTTCCTATCGAGAAAAGAATGTGAATTTTCTCGAGATCCGCACTGATGCCAGTCGCCTCGATTTTCTGGCGGATTTCATCGGCGAGACTTCTGAAAATTTTGCAGTTGCGAAAAAGTTTTGAAAAGTTGGACGTGGTTAAGTTCATTTCAACTTTCCCAATTTTTGATGAAAGAAAAAGATGTGGAGACTAAAAACTAAGTCAAATTCATCATCACATTTCTTTTGTTATAAAATATAAAATCGTTTTTGTAAAGATTATCAAAACAAAACACTCACCAATACTTGTCAACAATTTAAAGAAAAAATTTTCCGCTCGCTCAGAAAAAAAGGCTCACTGAAAAAGATTTTCAGTCGTTTTAAGTTGATGAAAAAGTCATACCATTGAGACGTGAAATTCCCTCCGAATACATCAATTTTCGAGGTTTCACCTGAAATTTATCTCATTAATCAAAGTTGAACATGAAAGATGAAACTGACGTCCATAGTTTCGTAGAAGTCCTTCTGGGCGAGCGGCTGGTCCTCAGGGAACATCATTCGCTGAAAATAGATTCAATAGAAATTGAACATGAAGATCAGGGAAAAAAGTATACTCTAATTGGCGAAACTTGGAAAAAAGGCGGCGCGTTTAATGTCCTTTCAAATTTTCTCACTTTCTTATAAGGCCCACGATCATTGTTTCTGCTCACTGTAGGCTCTGCAACGGTCAACTTCCTCGAGTCATCTAGTTCCCCAGGGGCTCATCACCTAAATAGGAAAAGTTTTCACAGCATTTTTATTATTTCTTACAAGAGATGACGGAAAAGTTGACTCCGCCGCATGCGACGTTATGTCTTCAAATCCAAACTCTGCTATCTCTGTTTTCTGGAACAAACTTGGTATAAAATGAAGACCAATCCAAGCCCAATGGACTTACTATTCCTCAAAGACCAATAAAGTCATCATGTTCTTTTTCGTTTTTCTCGGCAGGCGTTTCTTCCTTCGGGCTTGTCTAATTATCCTGCTTTCTTAACTCTTGCATAGAGCCCGAATCTTCAGTGGGAGGAGGAGTTTGCATGGAACCCTTCGAAAAAGCATCAGAATCCGCCGTATAGCCCAAACCACTAGACGACTGCTCCTTTTCTTTCTTCCTAGATCGTGGAGGTATAGATTCCTCTGCGTTAAGATCGATCCAGCACTTTTCCGGCGTTTGAGCCATAGAGTTTTCAGCGTCCGTACCAAAAGTGCCATGTGTTCTGTTTTCGAGCGTTTGTTTGGGATTGGTGACCCTCAAAGTTTTTCAAGGTTTTGTTCGAGGCTTTCCTGAGCCACTATCCACTATCCATTTTGCAGTGAGGCCGGCCGCCGCCGCTATTTTCTGGCGGATTTCCTCGGCGAAACTTCTGAAAATTTTGCACTTGTGAAAACTTTCGATATGTTTTACGTGTCTATTTTCAGTCGTTTCGAGTAGAAAAAAAAAGTCACACCCTTGAGACGTGACGTTTTATCTAATCACACCGATTTTCGAAGCTTCACCTTGAATTCATCTCAACTTTCAAAGTGAAAAAATTTTGAAAAGTTTTGACGTGTCTATGTTCATTTCAATTTTTTCACTTGTCGATGAAAGAAAAGGGTGTGGAGACAAAAAACTAAGTCAAACTTACCATAAATTTCTTTTAATATAAAAAATGAATATTCATTTTTGGGAAGATTATCAAAACAAAATACTCACCAATACTTGTCAACTTCTTGAAGAAAAAAAATTATCCGTTCGCTCAGAAAAAAAGGCTCCCTGAAAATGATTTTTCAGTCGTTTCAAGTTGAATAAAAAAAGTCATTTTTCGTTTTTTTATTTTTTTATCAACTAGAAAAGGAATTTTATCACTGACGTTATTAACTTTGTGGAAGAGGGTGTTGAAATTGTTTCGAAGCTTCTAAGCTCAATGAACTTACCATTTCTCGACCAATCGAAATCATCATTTTTTTTTTCATTTTTCTCGGCAGGCGTTTTTTCCTTCGGGCTCGTCAAATTATCCTGTTTGCTTTTGATTAAAATCAGAACTGAAGATTTGCTTCGCTCGGTTTTCGACGTCGGGGACGGCCTTTTTCCAATGTTTTGCTGACGTCGCATCGCTCATCTTCTCAGCAAGACAGAGGTGGTCTGACATACACGTGTTAAGAGTCAGGAATCTGCCAAAGTCCTTGGAGCGAATCCTTCGATTGGCAAGTTTTTCGAAAACTTTAGCGTCGTCCTCTGCCTCCCTTTGCAAAGTTGATATGAATTTCCAAGAATTTTTCGGTGTCGTTGAGAGTTTTCGCGCAGGTTTTGGCTTGTGGATGGAGTCGCTTCTAAGCCCAATGAATATACTATTCCTCGAAGACCAAAGAAGTCTTCATGTTTTTTTCGTTTCTCTCGGCAGACGTTTCTTCCTTCGGGCTAGTCGAGTTATCCTGCTCGCTAGACTCTTGCATAGAGCCCGAATCTTCAGTGGGAGGAGGAGTTTGCATGGAACCCTTCGAAAAAGCATCAGAATCTGCCGTTTAGTACAAACCACTAGACGACTGCTTCTTTTCTTCTTCTTGGGTCCTGAAGGTATAAATTCCTCTGCGTTGAGATCGATCCAGCACTTTTCCGGCGTTTGAGCCATACAGTTCTCAGCGCCCGTACGACCATATGTGAAATGTTTTCTGTTTTTGAGCGTTTGTTTGGGGGTTGGTGACCCTCGAAGTCTTTTTGATGGATGGCGGCTCGATCCTCAGAATTTTCTTGACTTTTTGCTCGCAAGGCGGCCTTTTTTGTCATCGCTGTTGAAACATTGAGAAGATGCATGAAGGCATCCTATCCGGTCGATAAAAGTACATAGGGCGCATCGGACGAAAAAAAGGAGGCGGTGGTGGGAAAAAGGCGTTTTGCGGAGGATAAGCCATTGGAAACGGTAGTGGCGGCAAGACTCAAACTTGGGTAATTAAACCAAGGTTTTGTTCCAAGTTTTCCTGAGTCTTTATCCATTCCGCCGTGAGAGACAAACCCGCGGTTGGGAAGGCAAAGACCTTCTTGTTGACCGATTTCGGTTCCCTCGGCTGAGCCAAGAAACCTAAAAGTGTTTGTTTCAAATAGCTTTTTGAAAAAAAGATATCAAGTTTTCTAATTAGTTCTTTATCCAAAACATCAAAAAAACTTACTTCTTTCAGCTTCTAAATCTCGCGGTACTTCGTGACGACTCAGATAGAATTTCAATCGGGTTCGGAAAAAGTTCGTCGTACTGATTGGAAACTCTCAATTTCGAGTTTCCTGTGGTCATTTGTCACCGCGAGCTGAAAAATTCTGACAAATTTCTCTCAAAAGCCAAAGCTCAGAGATTTGATAAGTATAAATGGAACGATATACCGCAATAAAAAAATTAGCAGAATACGAAGATTCATCGAAACATTTATTATTGGCCTTTTTTTCTTTTTCAAAAAGTAACATCAGTTTTAAATTTTAAATAATTCGAGTACAATACAATTGTTTGGGACGGGGAAAAAAAGTTAGAATTTTTTTGAAAAATATATTTTTTTTCTCCATCGAAGGAGTCGTCTTTCTGCTGTAGATCCCAAAACGTGTAGCAGAACTGAAAATGTTTTTCTCAGATCAAACAACTTGATAAGATTCTCACTACTATTAGGTTGTCAAGAAACGGATTTCGTTTTTCAATGATTGACTGCAAACAGTCATAACTCGTTTTAGATGGCGTTTTTTTGACTGACTTTGTTCGAAAGAGAGGAGCTTCAGTTCGAAAGATTTGTGACAGCGGAGAAATTTTAATTCATTTAGAGAATAAAGTGATATGAAAACAGATATTTCGGGCTGGTTCAAAACCTCCTGTTGCAAGTTTCCGGTGCTACTTTCTCACGTCGCCTCTAAAAATTCAGTCGAATTAATCGAACGCCAAAATAGGAACAGTAATTAGTAGGTAAAAATGGAAAGATGAATCCATATGAAAAAAAAAAACTACGAAGTTCCAACAGAAAAAAATATTTATTATTGGCATTTTTTTATTCTCAACAGCAACATGTAAATATGTTTGAACAATACAATCGCATGGGAAGCGGCCTCAAAATTGACAGGGTCATTTTTCGGCTTTGTCGTTGTTTTTCTTATCCGTCGGCCGAGTCGCATATCTTCTCCAAATTCCCAAGCATTTGGGAGAACTGAAATTTTCTTTTCAGATTACACAACTTGATAAGAATCTCACTTATACATTGGCGGAAGCTGCTGTAGTCGATACTCGTGGACTTGTAGGCCTTCTACAAAGTCCACAACTAACGTTTCTCTTTTCTGTAGGATCTTGGCCTTGAAAAATTTCGAAAGATTAACTTTTGGAAGATTTTTTCAAACACTTCGCAAAGTCATATCACTGCACCAGCGTCGATCTTCTTCTCGGGCTTGCCAAGGGGGCCATGATACTGGCCTTGATGCCAAAGTTGCCCGGGCGCATGCTATGTTCAGGTTTCGTAGTAGTTCCCTCTGCAATTTCTGAATTTAGGAACGAATTCGAGAAAAAATGAAGAAACCGATGCGTCAAATGTGTCCGCCCGATCCAATTTGCAAGCGAATAAACTTGGATGTTTTGAAAAATCTTCAGCCTCTTTGCTACGCCTAAATCGCAAAAGTTTTTCTCAGCTTTTTTATTTTTACTTACGAGAGACAAGTTGATCTTGACCAGCTCCGAAGTACAAAACCAAAAATATTTTTTGACGTCTCCTCTAGGTTTTCTCGAAAAAGAGAATGTGAATTTTCCTCGAGATCCGCACTGATGCCAGTCGCCTCGATTTCCTGGCGGATCTTATCGGCGAGACTTCCGAAAATTTTGCACCTGTGACAAAATTGTAACATCAATTTGCTTTTGTTAGAATAAATGACTCTTCGTTTATTGATGATGAAAATTGAATAATCACCTATGTTTTCTTCGAAAAAAAAGATACTGGAAACAAGAAACTAAAACAAATAAGTCGTCGACTTTTTTTATTTTTAAAAAAAGAATATTTTTTTATTTTTTTGAAGGTTATTAAAATATTTTACTGAGCAATGACTGTCCTCTTCAAGCAGGAAAAAAACGCTCCAAAAAAGTTGCTCACTGAAAATACGTGAGCAATTCACAACAATTTTTAAGGCTTCGCCTAAAATTCAGCTCAATATTTAAAGTTGAAGATTGAAGTTGAAACTGACTTCCACAGTCTCACACACAATAAAAGCCGACCTCCATGGTGCAGAAGAGATCTACACGTGGCCTCGGCTTTTGGCTTTCGCCTGCCTGCTCTTCTCCGGATTTGTTGGTTGAGCGAACACGAATCCGCTTTTCTTCTCAAGAAGGCCAAGCGTGTAAGAGAGCTGAGAAATGTCTCTTATCATACACAACTCGATAAAATCCTTACTCCTACGAAGCGGAAGCTGTTCGGGTCGGTACTCGGGAACTTTTTCATTTTTCTAAGACCCACGACCCTCGTTCCACCTTTCTGTAGGCTCTGTAACGGTCGACGTCCTGGAGTTATCTAGTTCCCCACGGGCTCATGCGCGTGGAAAAAAGATTTTCAAGGTTTCACAGAAACTGAATATTGAAAAAAGTTCCTTGTTTCTATGCAGGTTTCAGAAGGCTCTCTTTTTTCAGAATTCCGAAAAAGAAAAATTTTCGTCTTCTGATTGCCTCTAACTGGAAAACTCTGTGAGAATCATTGCAGTTGGCGCCCTTTCTCGAAAAAATTCCGCCGACTTCATAAAGATCTAAGCCTAGAAAAACCTCCCCCAATCGGAATTGGAAAGAAGAAAAGATTTAAAGAAAGTTTCTCGGTTTCAGTTTGTCTCACTAAAATTAGGAAGAAGAAAAAACGACTCACTGGTCAATTTCCTTTGCAACCCGAAAAAGTCTGTAATCCGGAACCCATTTGCTGCTCTGGGCGGCGTATTCGTGTACTATTTCGCTTTCCTCGAGGCCCACGACGGCCGTTTCTCTTTTTTGTGAACTCTGGGGTCTGGAGAATTCCGAAAGATTTTTTCAAACACTTCGCAAAGTCATATCACTGCACCAGCGTCGATCTTCTCCTCAGGCTTGCCTAGGGGGACCATGATACTGGCCTTGATGCCAAAGTTGTCCGGGCGCATTAGATGTTTAGGTTCCGTAGTAGTTCACACTGCAATTTCTGGATTTAGGAACAATTCCGAGGAAAAACGAAGAAACCGATGGGTCAAAGGTGTTCGCCCGATCCAATTTGCAAGCGAATAAACTTGGATGTTTTGAAAAATCTTCAGCCTCTTTGCTACGCCTAAATCGCAAAAGTTTTTCTCACCTTTTTTATTTTTACTTACGAGAGACAAGCTGATCTTCACCTGCTCCGAAGTGCAAGACCATTCCTCTGCAACTCAGATAGAGCTGTAGTCTGAAACGCATCGGCTCAGGCCGGTCGCCTCGATTTTCTGGCGGATTTCATCGGCGAGACTTCTGAAAATTTTGCAGTTGCGAAAAAGTTTTTAAAAGTTTGGACGTGGTTATGTTTATTATGAATTTCTCAATTTTTGATGAAAGAAAAATATGTGGAGACAAAAAAACTAAGTCAAATTTACCATAAAAATCTTTTGTTATAAAAAATAAATATCCATTTTTGGAAAGATTATCAAAACAAAATGCTCACCAATACTTGTCAACTTCTTGAAGAAAAAATTATTCGTTCGCTCAAAAAAAAGGCTCCCTGAAAATGATTTACTATCGTTTCAAGTTGAGAAAAAAGTCACACCTTTGAGACAGAAGTTGAATTTCCTTGTGACACGACTCTGCTTCGTAGTCGTTTTAAATGGTATCGTTTCCTCTTCAGCTCATCCTACAAGAAAATATCTCATTCCAGAAGCTACTTCCGGTAAAATTAAGACACTGTAACAGCAGAATTTGTCATTTCTGACTAGCAACATTTCGAAAATAAGAAACAATGAGATAAGATGTTTCTTTTTTTTTTTCTACATGAAATTTTAACTTTTTTGTATTGCAGTTTTCAATCGATAAAATGAGTTCTCTATGTTAAAATTCTCCCCGATCAATTATAAGACTCCGAAACATGAACCAACCTCCTTTCTAGATTGTCGGCGTCTTAAAGTCCTTTTTCCTTCCAGATGCCGATGCGCATTAAAAGTAGATCTCCGTGGTTGCACAGAGACTGGAAAAATTCACGATTGAATATTGGTAAACGATCATTTTTCCATGGAGGCTTTAAAACGTGCCTTTTTTTTCTGAATTGCGAGAAAAAATAATTTTTGACTTTTGACCACTTCTGATTTAAAAAGTTTGTTAAAACGCTTTTTATAACGCTATAAAAAAATAAATAAAACGATACCTCAAATCTTACTACGAATAGGGAAAAGCAGAAATCGAAATCTTTTTTATGTTCACTGTGCTTATTTTTTTCAGAGAGAGCCTGAAAGTTCAGTTATATATATTTTTCAAAAACCCTGAATAAGCTCAGACATTGGTAAGTAAAAAAATGGAATAATGAATCCAATATAAAAAAATACGAAATTTCAACAGAAAAAAACATTTATTATTGGCATTATTTTTTTATAACATTGCTAAGTACCGAAAAAAACTAACTAATGATGGTTTCGTTCGTTACAGAGCTGACACTCGATTCTGCAATAGGCGTGCTCCCTCGAGAAAGAGCTGTCACCGACTTCACGGAAATCCCGCACGAAGAACTGAAAATATTATAATACTTTTAAATTCAAGTCTAGCGGATATCTGTATTGACGTTCTGACTAAGATCTTTTGGTTCCACTTCTTCACTTTGACTGAGAAAGCAGTCGAAATTCTGACTTCAGTTCTTAGTCTTACGATGTAGTTTACATCGATCGCGAAATTCGAGTTGATACTTGAAATTGGAAAGATTCAAAAAACAGATCAAATATTTATTGTAGCCTTTTTTTTCTATTTCAAGCAATGGTGAGGTTTTTTGAGTTGCGATCCCCATAAATCCGTTGGATGATTTCGAAGTGACTGAAGAAAACTTCGATTTTATTCACAAAAAAAACAGATATTATAAAAAAAAGTTTTTCAGTATTTTTTAGTCTCACTACGGATAGTAAAAAGAAAACCAACTTACTGGTCAACTTCTTTCGCTACAAAAATGGAGCTGTAGTCTGGAACTCTTCGGCTCGAGGCCATATGGCGACGGCCTTTTCTCATTTTTTTGCTGACGTTGCATCGCTCATCTTCTTAGCAGGACAGAGCTGGTCTGACATACATGTGTGAAGAGTCAGGAATCTGCCAAAGTCCTTGGAGCGAATCCTTTGATTGGCAAGTTTTCGAAAACTTTAGCGTCGTCCTCTGCCTCCCTTTGCAAAGTTGATATGGATTTCCAAGAATTTTTCGGTGTCGTTGAGAGTTTTCGCGCAGGTCTTGGCTTGTGGATGGAGTCGCTTCTAAGCCCAATAAATATACTATTCCTCGAAGACCAATGAAGTCTTCATGTTTTTTTTGTTTGTCTCGGCAGGCGTTTCTTCCTTCGGGCTAGTCAAATTATCCTGCTCGCTAGACTCTTGCAAAGGGCCCGAATCTTCAGTGGGAGGAGGAGTTTGCATGGAACCCTTCGAAAAAGCATCAGAATCTGCCGTTTAGTACAAACCACTAGACGACTGCTTCTTTTCTTCTTCTTGGATCCTGAAGGTATAAATTCCTCTGCGTTGAGATCGATCCAGCACTTTTCCCGCGTTTGAGCCATAGAGTTTTCAGCGTCCGTACGACCAAATGTGAATTGTTTTTTGTTTTGGAGCGTTTGTTTGCGGTTGGTGACGCTAGAAGTCTTTTTGATGGATGGCGGCTCGATCCTCAGAATTTTCTTGACTTTTTGCTCGTAATGCGGCCTTATCCCATTGCTGTAGAAATATTGTGAAGATGCATGTGGATGAGGCATCCTATCCGGTCGATAGAAGTACATAGGGCGCATCGGATAAAAGAGGAGGCGGTGGATGGAAAAAGGCGTTTTGCGGAGGATAAGCCATTGGAAACGGTAGTGGCGGTAGGGCTCAAACTTGGGTAATTAAACCAAGGTTTTGTTCGAGGCTTTCCTGAGCCACTATCCACTATCCGGTCTGCAGGGAGGCAGGCCGCCTCGGTTTTCTGGCGAATTTCCTCGGCGAAACTTCTGAAAGTTTTGCACTTGTGGAAAAACTTTGATACATTTTGACGTATCTCTGTTTACATAAACTTTCTCAATTGTCGATGAAAGAAAAGGATGTGAAGACAAGAAACGAAGTCAAAAGTGTCATCAATTTTCTTTTAAAAAAAATATATATTCATTTTTGTGCAGAATATCAAAAAAAAATACCAATACTTCTTGCAGAAACTTTTTGCAGAAATAATATATCCGATCGCTCCGAGAAAATGGCTCACTGAAAATGATTTACTATCGTTTCAAGTTGAGAAAAAAGTCACACCTTTGAGACAGAAGTTGAAACTCTTTGAGACACGATTTTGCTTCGTAGTCGTTTTTAACGACAACGTCTCCTCTACAGCACTACCTACAAGAAAATATCACATTCCAGAAGCTACTCCCGGTATAAGTGAGATACTGTAACAGCAGAAATTGTCATTTCAGACTAGAAACATTTTGAAAAAAAGAAACAATGAGATAAGATGTTTCTACATGAAATTTTTAACTTTTTTTGTATTGCAGTTTTTCAATCGATAAAATGAGTTCTCTATGTTAAAATTCTCCCCAATTTATTGGGTATAACACTCCGAACCATTAACCAACCTCCTTTCTAGATTGGTAATCGACGTCTTGAAGTCCTTTTTCCTTCCAGATGCTGATGCGCATTGAAAGTAGATCTCCGTGGTTGCGCAGAGACTGGAAAACTTCCCGATTGAATATTGGTAAACGTTCATTCTTCCATGGAGGTTTTTAAGAGGTGCCCATTTTTTTCTAAACTTCGAGAAAAAAAGCATTTCTGATTTTTTTGACCACTTCTGATTTAAAAAAAGTTTGTTAAAACGCTTCCTGAAAAAAATTTTTCTCTATAAAAAAACTGAATAAAAGATTTGGAGAGGTTTTTTTAAAAAAATTTTCTTGCAAACAGTCAACTGAAATTTTTTTACTCTTATTTCTTCGCAATTTCGGACACAATGCGTTTAAAAAAAGCTGCAGAGTTTTTAAATTATAAAGAAAACCTGGAAGTCTCCGCATTTTTGGAAAGAAATTCATGATCAGCCCTCTCGATAATCTCTGGACAAGCAAAAATATTCAGGAACCGTTTTGGCACTCGAAAATTTTTTTTTCCTGAAAAACTCACATTTGAAAGACGTCTTTTCAAGATTGTGAACGGGGTTAGGACTACTCGAAACTTTTGGCCATTATTTGTAGCAAAATTATTCATCAAAAACTGAGTTTCACCTTTTAAATGGGCATATTCCTTTTGCAGAACCGAATTCGTGTGACGTCTTTGAAATTGAACGCCTGAAAAAGAAAGTTACAGAAATTAGTGGGAAAATTGAGCTACTGAGAAAAACGATTCGAAAGTAAAAGTTCGAAGGAAATGACAACGGGAAGATTAATTTCATTTTGACAATAAAGGAATATGAGAACAGATAAAAGTTCAAGAGGGAGATGAAATTAGGAAATTACACTTTGAGTTGTTACTCTTCACATACTCGTATCTCTAAAGTTCGGATCGAACAACCAATCACTATTTATTGGGTTTTTCCTCCTGTTTGCTTACTTCCAAATTTTCAAGAGTTTCCAAACTATTTTCTAAACTTTCAATCGACTTTTTTAAACGCCAAAATATGCAGAGAAATTAGTAGGTAAAAATGGAAAGATAAATCCATATGAAAAAAACAAAGCTACGAAGTTTCAACAGAAAAAAAATATTTATTATTGGCATTTTTTATTCTCAACAGCAACATGTACATTTGTTTGCACCAGCGTTTATCTTCTTCTCGCGCTTGCCTAGGGGGACCATGATACTGGCCTTGATGCCAAAGTTGCCCGAGCGCATGTAATGTTCAGGTTTCGTAGTAGTTCGCTCTGCAATTTCTGAATTCAGGAACAAATTCAAGAACAAATAAAGAAACCGATGCGTCAAAGGTGTTCGCCCGATCCAATTTGCAAGCGAATAAACTTGGATGTTTTGAAAAATCTTCAGTCTCTCAGCTACGCCTAAATCGCAAAAGTTTTTCACAGCTTTTTTATTTTTACTTACGAGAGACAAGTTGATCTTGACCAGCTCCGAAGTACAAAACCAAAGATATTTTTTGACGTCTCCTCTAGGTTTTCTCGAAAAAAAGAATGTGAATTTTCCTCGAGATCCGCACTGATGCCAGTCGCCTCGATTTTCTGGCGGATTTCATCGGCGAGACTTCTGAAAATTTTGCAGTTGCGAAAAAGTTTTGAAAAGTTTGGACGTGGTTATGTTTATTATGAATTTCTCAATTTTTGATGAAAGAAAAATATGTGGAGACAAAAAAACTAAGTCAAATTTACCATAAAAAAATCTTTTTGTTATAAAAAAAATAAATATCCATTTTTTTGGAAAGATTATCAAAACAAAATACTCAGCAATACTTGTCAACTTTTTAAAGAAAAAATTTTCCGCTCGCTCAGAAAAAAAGGCTCACTGAAAAAGATTTTCAGTCGTTTCAAGTTGATGAAAAAGTCATACCATTGAGACGTGAAATTCCCTCCGAATACATCAATTTTCGAGGTTTCACCTGAAATTTATCTCATTAATCAAAGTTGAACATGAAAGATGAAACTGACGTCCATAGTTTCGTAGAAGTCCTTCTGGGCAAGCGCCTGGTCCTCAGTAAACATCATTCGCTGAAAATAGATTCAATAGAAATTGAACATGAAGATCAGGAAAAAAAAGTATACTCTAATTGGCGAAACTTGGAAAAAAGGCGGCGCGTTTAATGTCCTTTCAAATTTTCTCACTTTCTTATAAAGCCCATGATCATTGTTTCTGCTCACTGTAGGCTCTGCAACGGTCAACTTCCTCGAGTCATCTAGTTCCCCAGGGGCTCATCACCTAAATAGGAAAATTTTTCACAGCATTTTTATTATTTCTTACAAGAGATAACGGAAAAGTTGACTTCGCCGCATGCGACGTTGTGTCTTCAAATCCAAACTCTGCAATCTCTGTGTTCTGGAACAAACTTGGTATAAAATGAAGACCAAACTAAGCCCAATGAACTTACTATTCCTCGAAGACGTATAAAGTCATCATGTTTTTTTCGTTTTTCTTGGCAGGCGTTTCTTCCTTCGGGCTAGTCAAATTATCCTGCTTTCTTAACTCTTGCATAGAGCCCGAATCTTCAGTGGGAGGAGGAGTTTGCATGGAACCCTTCGAAAAAGCATCAGAATCTGCCGTATAGCCCAAACCACTAGACGAGTGCTTCTTTTTCTTCTTCTTAGATCGTGAAGGTATAGATTCCTCTGCTTTGAGATCGATCCAGCACTTTTCCGGCGTTTGAGCCATAGAGTTTTCAGCGTCCGTACGACCAAATGTGAAATGTTTTCTGTTTCCGAGCGTTTGTTTGGGGTTGGTGACCCCCAAAGTTTTTTTGATGGACGGCGGCTCGAACTTTAGAAGTTTCTTGACTTTTTGCTCGCAAGGCGGCCTGTTCTCATCGCTGTCGAAACATTGAAAAGATGCATGGAGGCATCCTATCCGGTCGATAAAAGTACATAGGGCGCATCGGATAAAAGAGGAGGCGGTGGATGGAAAAAGGCGTTTTGCGGAGGGTAAGCCATTGGAAACGGTAGTGGCGGTAGGGGTCAAACTTGGGTAATCAAACCAAGGTTTTGTTCGAGGCTTTCCTGAGCCACTATCCACTATCCATTTTGCAGTGAGGCCGGCCGCCGCGATTTTCTGGCCGATTTCCTCGGCGAAACTTCTGAAAATTTTGCACTTGTGAAAACTTTCGATACGTTTTACGTGTCTATTTTCAGTCGTTTCGAGTTGAAAAAAAAAGTCACACCCTTGAGACGTGACGTTTTATCTAATCACACCAATTTTCGAAGCTTCACCTTGAATTCATCTCAATTTTCAAAGTGCAAAAATTTTGAAAAGTTTTGACGTGTCTATGTTCATTTCAACTTTTTCACTTGTCGATGAAAGAAAAGGATGTGGAGACAAAAAACTAAGTCAAATGTATCACCAATTTTTTTGATTCTAAAAAATATGTATTCATTTTTGCGAAGATTATCAAAAAAAAAAATTACTCATCAATACCCAAAAAGAGCGACCCAGAAAGAGTTGAAATCGGGAACCACTCAGCTCAAGGCCATTTGGCCTTTGGGTGCTGGAGACCTGAAATCGTGGCAGTCTCTTTTTTTCAAATGAGAGTAAGGTTGGTTATGACTCGCGACCTCAAAAAGAAGTATCGCAGCGCACGCGCTGCGCCAAGCTCTTATTTGAAAGATTTTCTGCGCCAAGCTGTTAGGACCAGTGGGAAGTTTGCATCCGCCATAGCCTTGAAACGTTCGACTAGCGCAGATTGTCTATTTCAAAAGAGAAATTATCAAGTAAATTAGCTTTTTTTTTGCAACGTGTTCACAAATTTTGCTTTGCTCAAATTTTCCATGGAAATACTCTTACGATTGCTGCATTAAAAACGTTCCCGTAAATGTTTCGCTATGATTAATTCAAGGAAAAATTTTTTTCTAATAATAAATCTATATGATCTTTCAAAAAAACCTGCAATGAATGATGATAAAACGTTTAAGAGAAAAAAAAAATAAAGTGTGCACGACCGAAAACAAAGTAAAAAACAACCAACTTACTGGGTATGTCCCTCGGCGACACGAAAGTTGCTGAAGTCGGGAACCAATCTGCTCCAGGCCTTCAGGCCTTCGGTTGTTGAAGTCCGGAGTGAGGCCGGTCGCCTCGATTTTCTGGCGGATTTCCCGGCGAAACTTCTGAAAATTCTGCACGTGAAAAAATTTTGATACGTTTTGACGTGTCTATGTTTACATCATCTTTCTCAATTGTCGATGAATGAAAAGGATGTGGAAACAAAAAACTAAGTCAAATTCATCATCAATTTTATTCTGTGATAAAAATTACATATTATTTTTTTAATATATGAAAAAAATAAATAATTGCCTATGAAATTTCTTCTTTTTCCAACATTAACTGAAAGAATAGCTTTAAAGAGGTCTTCAAAATCATCATCTTGCACATAATTGCTTTTTGAACATTTTTGAGTTCAACTTGAATTTTCGCTTTTTTCGCGCAGTTTGAAACAAAAAGCTATTAGAAAGCTGTTAAATCAGAAATCACAGCAGGGGAGGAGCCGCAATCTCTTTTTTTTCTGAAAAGAAACCTCATGAAAAAACGACTTTTCGAGATTGTGGACCAAAAAAAAAGTTACTCGAAACTATAGACTAATTTTCAGCGGAATTATTCATCAATATTTAGTGGAATTATTCATCATCAAAAACTATATTTTACCTTTTCGCATCGAATTACCAATTTTCCGCTTTGAACTTTTTCCTCTTATTTTCTTACTTGAAAATTTACGGGAACTTCAAATCTGTTCATTTCATTGAACTATTGCTTGAAAGCTGATTTGAGAGTCATTTCTTTATAAAAAAACATGGGAATAAACGCAGTTTTAAGGCGTCCCATTTCCCACGAACGCTTGTGACTCAGAGCGAGCCCAGGAGCAACCGCTCTCGGCGATCACAGACTTTGAAAATGAGGGAACGGCGAGAGCGAAAGGAAGAGCGCGCAGACAAGCAGACAGAAAAGGACTTCTCAATCAGTTAATGACGCCGGCGCATTGCTTGGAACAAAAACCTCATTGAATAAAACAGAAGTTTGGCAGAGAAAGTCATTTTAAAGAGTTTTCAAACAAGATTTCTCTATAACTTTAAAAACAACGAGTACAAAAAATGTCATTTTATTAATCGATGAAACTTCTCCCATTGATAATATATCATCAAAAATGCGGACAAAACTTTTTGAACCACTCCTCTTACCGTATTCGGGTTACGATAGGCAGGTCACCCCTGCGTTTCCATGTTGGGAATAGTTATTACAGGTGGTATGAAAAAAACACCAGCGAAAATTCAAACGGCGACTTTTCCGAGTTTTTCATATCGCTAGGGAACTTTCCGACGGTCACCTTTCCGATGAAACTTTTTCCGAATTTTTTTCTCGATACAATCTTCGTTTTAAATCTACCTATATAAAGTAGGTAGTTGGTTCATGATGAAAACACAAAGAAATAGAAAAAAAAAATTTTTTATAGATATTTATAAACCGAAAACCATAAGGGAAAAAAGTCGGAAAAAGATCCGTCGGAAAGGTGGCCGTCGGAAAGTTCCCTAGCGAGATGAAAAAATCGGAAAAGTCGCCGTTTGAATTTTCGCTGGTGTTTTTTTCATACCACCTTATTACAAGGCAAGTGATACATCAATCAATACGTAATCCAATTTTGTGAATTATTTCAGTACATACCATTTCGGAGTACTGTAGAAGTTTTCGAGTTCCGATGATTTTTGTGTTTAGAAAGTTGGTTTTTTCGGTTACTCTGGCTGTCAGCATAGAATCGCATCGTACTTGCTTTTTATGGAATATGTCTTTCAGCATCTTTTGAAAATAACAAAAAAATATAAAGTCCAATTTAATGAGTCCGTCATCTGACATTTACTCCTAACGCGCGCAACTTGACAATTTTCGGCCAAGGTTGACGATTTTTTTTTTTGTTTTTTTCGATTTTATCAATTTTTCAGATGTTCAGATTTTCATGTAAAATCATTTCAGAAAGTCACTAAAATGTGTCGTGTTTCCTTCAAATGGGTTTGGAAAGACTGTAAGGCTACTGGACCAACCGAAAACTTGCTCTATTTTTGGCTTTTAAAAGAGAATTCCTTTTGAAAAGACACGTCTTTAAAACCACTAACTATCCGGCTGTTTTCTAAACTATCGAAAATGTCACTGACATGGTAGCAATTTATACGACTTCGTTCCTCTTTCACGGAACCCGGCTAGCCAAGGGGTTACCACACCGGCTGAAGCTTAATCAAAATTAAACAAATACATTTTAATTACCCGCTGTTTTCAAACTTTTAGCAAATTACGGAGATTGCTTTAAATCTTCTGATTCATTGATAGTTTCTCACTTTGAGTTTTTCACAGTGACTTAAAGCGGATATGGTTCCGATACACTACAATAACACTCACGAACAAAGAACATGGGAGACATACCTGTTAGATCGGTTTCATGTGGCTTTTTTCTAGCGGTGCGGAGGTAAACCTTCTTGGCGACCAACTCCAGTTTCATCGACTGAGCCACGAAACCTGAAAAGTGTTTATTTTCAAATATATTTCTGAATATCCAATTAAACGAAATTTTTTAAACGCCAGAATAGGAACTGAAATGGATAGATAAAAATGGAATGATGAATCCATATAAAAAAAAATTAAACTACAAAGTTTCAACAGAAAATATTTATTATTGACATTTTATTTCCCAACAGTAAAAATCATGTAAATTTCTGAGAACAATATAATTGCATGGGAAGGCGGGAATGGTGATACATTGCTAGGGACAGAAGAATCAATGACAGGCAGACTTCTTGAAGAACCATGTCTTTGCGAGAACTGAGCCGCATCGAAGATCGGTCCCCGTGGTTGAGAAAGCTCCTAAAGAAAAATTCGAATTTTCACGGTCAGATCCTGATAAAAAAAATAGCCTTTGAAAAAAATTGTGAAAAAAATAATTATAGAGAATGGAACAAAGTTTTCAAAAAACATTATCAAGCAGAAAATCCTCTTTTTGTCCCTCGCCTTTTTCAAAGTTTCAAATGAATTAATATTTCAAAACTGTGAAACCAAAATTACAAGAAATAACCTGGAAGTTGCCGCACTATAAGCGGAGATTGCAGTCCTTCTTTCTTGTCGACAGCGCAAGACGCAAATAAATGGCGTTGAAACCTGTGCCCGCACAATCTTGCTGTAATCGGGAACTCATCTGCTCTCTCAAGGAGCTCAAGGCTGGAACCCTTCTGCTTTCCGAGGTTTCACCTGAAATTTATCTCATTAATCAAAGTTGAACATGAAAGTTGAAACTGACGTCCATAGTTTCGTAGAAGTTTTTCTGGGCGAGCGGCTGGTCAGTGAACATCATAGGCTGAAAAAAGTCTTGGATGCTCCTGTTTCTGCCCGGACTCACCCGCCATGAGGGCCTATCTCCGTGAGCGGAGGTTGTTGTCGGGAACTCATCTGCTCTCTCAAGGAGCTCAAGTCTGGAACCCTTCTGCTTTTCGAGGTTTCACCTGAAATTTATCTCATTAATCAAAGTTGAACACTAAAGTTGAAACTGACGTCCATAGTTTCGTAGAAGTCCTTCTGGGCAAGCGGCTGGTCAGTGAACATCATTCGCCTAAAATAGATTCAATAGAAGTTGAAAATGAAGATTAGGAAAAAAAAATGTGTCCGACAAAACTTGGAAAATAGGCGGCGCGTCTAATCTCATTTCAACATTTTAAAAACTTTTCTCGTGTATTTTTTCACTTTCTCAAAAGACCCTCGTTTCTTCCTAACGTAGGCTCTGTGCCGGTCGACGTCCTGGAGTCATCTAATTTCACAGGGCCTCATGCGCATGAAAAGTCGATCTCCGTAGTTCCGCAGTGACTAAACAAATTTAAGATTTAATATTGAAAAAAAGTTCATTGTTCTCTCTACGAGGTTTCAACAGGCGCTTATTTTTTTGAATCCAGCCAAAAAGACATTCATGACTTCAAATTACTTCTAATTTGAAGACTCCGTAGGATTTATCTTATTTTTCTTCGCTTCAAAAATAATTTTTTCTTCGCCTTTTTCTTGTGCTGTTTTTAAACAAGACGGTTTTTCTTTTTCAAAAAAATATTATTAAAAATTAAGAAATTTTGCGAAATTGTGAACAAAAAGGTAGATCGAAATTACTAGCTAGTTCTTCGCAAAAAAAATCCATCAAAAACCAAATCTCACTCTCTACAATGACATCCTACTTTTGCAGAACCAAATCCGTGCGACAGAGATGACGCGAAAAAAAATTAACCGAAATAAGTGAGAAAACTAGGTTTCTGAAAAAAAACGAATCCAAAGTTCAACCAGTTCAAAGAGTAAATGACAGCCGCAAAATTGAAATTCATCTCTTGAAAAAAAAAGATGATGAGATTAGGTAGAAGTTCAAAAGGGAGACATTATGAACGTTGAACGATTTGTTTTTCTAAAGTTTCATTGAAATACATGGATACCACCTTAGACTGTTGTACTTTTTCACCCACTCACCAAATTAAAAACTATTTTTGTTATTGAACTACTGCTTGAAAGCTGATTTGAAAGCCGTTCGTTTAAAGAAATCATGAAACTATTCGCAATTCAAAGACGTCCCTTTTCCCACGAACGCTTGTATTTCAGAGCGAGCTCAGGAGCAACCGCTCTCGGCGATCGCAGACTTTGAAAATGAGGGAACGGCGAGAGCGAGAGGAAGAGCGCGCAGAAAAGCAGACAGAAAAGGACTCCTCAATCAGTAAATGACGCCGGCGCATTGTTTGGAACAAAAACCTCATTGAATAAAACAGAAGTTTGGCAGATGGATCCATTTCAACGAAATTTCCAAATTGTTTTCATTCGTTAATAGTTTCTCACTTTTGCTTTCCAGAGTGAGTTAAAGTGAACACGGCTCCAGAATACTGAGTAATTACGCAGGAATGAAAACAAAAAAGCAAAAATACCTCGAAATTACTTACTTTTATATAATTTTCTTTTTTTGCAATCCCTTCATAACGACACAGAAGAGGATTTCGCACTGATTCCGAACTTCCAATTACAGGTTCTCGTGCTCCTTTTCTTTACGGCTAATCTAAAACTTCTGTCGAATTTTTTTGAACGTCAAAGTAAGCTCAAAAATTGGTGAGTAACAATGGAACGAATAACCGTATCAACAAAAAGAACAACTTATAAATCAATTTATTATTAATAATTCATAGTTCGGGAACAACACAAAATTGGAAAATTGCGAGGGTCGAAACGAGTTAATGATGAATATAAAAGGACTGAACAAAATAATTTCTAGATTCAGAAAAAAAGCCTGAAATCACAATTAAACTTCCACATAAAATTTTTTATGTGTGCAGGGGAATTCGTTTGGCTTCATTTGGCTCGGCTCTTTTTTGTTCCGATTCCACTGAAAATGAAAGAAAGTTGAAAGATAATAAAATGAACTTTCGGTTCATGGAAACTAAAATTAGAAAAATTTGAAAGTATCACAGATATACAATGTATGATGGGAACAATCAATTTTTTTTTTGTTCTAGGAAGTTTCTGTTCAGATTTATTTTTCGTTTTCCACATACATCTTTTCGTGGTGACAAAACGAAAACCATTCCTTGGCGATGCTTCGATACTTCGAGTCTCTGCAAAACTATAGGGCTGACTATTTAACAACCAAAACTCTTCGAAATGAAATCTTACTTTGTACATAGTCCTCAAATTTGGCGGGGTCGTGTCCCTTATACAGCGTCGCTATTCTTCTCCGTCGACGTAGTCTCCCATCTTCTACCCTCTTTTGTCCCAAGCGTGTAGGAGTGCTGAAAAGTCTCATTCAGATTACCTAACTTGATAAGAATCTCACCCCTACAAAGCGAAAGCTGCTTGGGTCGGCGTACTCTAGAAGGGGTTCATTTCAAAGGCCCACGACCGTTTTTTCTCTTCTTCGTGGGTTCTCGACAAACGAATTCGCCCATCTTCCATTCTCCTATGTCCGAAGCGTGTAGGAGAGCTGAAAAATTTCTTTCAGATTACCTAACTTGATAAGAATCTCACCCCTACAAAGCGAAAGCTGCTTGTGTCGGCGTACTCGTGAAATTTTTCATTTCAAAAGCCCACGACCGTTGTTTCTCTTCTTCGTGGGTTCTCGACAAACGAATTCGCCCATCTTAGATCCTCCTTCGTCCAAAAAGTGTAGGAGTGCTGAAAAGTCTCATTCAAATTACCTAACTTGATAAGAATCTCACCCCTACAAAGCGAAAGCTGCTTGAGTCGGCGTACTCGTGAACTACCCTTCAATCGGTCCACCACCAACGTTTCTCCCTTTTGTAGGATCTCGTAAAATGTAGTCGCTCATCTCCTATCCTCCTCCGCCCAAAAAGTGTAGGAGTGCTGAAAAGTTTCATTCAGATTACCTAACTTCAAAAGAATCTCACCCCTACAAAGCGAAAGCTGCTTGGGTCGGCGTACTTTAGAAGGGGTTCATTTCAAAAGCCCACGACCATAGTTTCTCTTCTTCGTGGGTTCTCGACAAACGAAGTCGCCCATCTTCCATTCTCCTATGTCCGAAGCGTGTAGGAGAGCTGAAAAATTTCTTTCCGATTACCTAACTTGATAAGAATCTCACCCCTACAAAGCGAAAGCTGCTTGTGTCGGCGTACTCGTGAAATTTTTCATATCAAAGGCCCACGACCATAGTTTCTCTTCTTCGTGGGTTCTCGACAAAACGAATGTCGCCCTCATCTTCGATCCTCCTCTGTCGCAAAGCGTGTAGGGAGTGCTGAAAAGTTTCATTCAGATTACCTGACTTGATAAGAATCTCACCCCTACAAAGCGAAAGCTGCTTTAGTCGGCGTACTCGTGAACTGGTACATTTCAAAGGCCCACGACCATAGTTTCTCTTCTTCGTGGGTTCTCGACAAACGAATTCGCCCATCTTAGATCCTCCTCAGTCCAAAAAGTGTAGGAGAGCTGGAAAATTTCATTCAGATTACCTAGCTTAATAAGAATCTCACCCCTACAAAGCGAAAGCTGCTTGAGTCGGCGTACTCGTGAGCCTGTTCATTTTCTTCGAGGCCCACGTCCATAGTTTCTCTTCTTCGTGGGCGCTCGACAAACGAAGTCGCTCATCTTCCATCCTCCTATGTCCCAAGCGTGTAGGAGATCTGAAAAATTCCCTTCAGATTACCTAACTTAATAAGAATCTCACCCCTACAAAGCGAAAGCTGCTTGAGTCGGCGTACTCGTGAGCCTGTTCATTTTCTTCGAGGCCCACGTCCATAGTTTCTCTTCTTCGTGGGCGCTCGACAAACGAAGTCGCTCATCTTCCATCCTCCTATGTCCCAAGCGTGTAGGAGATCTGAAAAATTTCCTTCAGATTACCTAACTTAATAAGAATCTCACCCCTACAAAGCGAAAGCTGCTTGAGTCGGCGTACTCGTGAGCCTGTTCATTTTCTTCGAGGCCCACTTCCATAGTTTCTCTTCTTCGTGGGCGCTCGACAAACAAAGTCGCCCATCTTCCATCCTCCTATGTCCCAAGCGTGTAGGAGAGCTGGAAAATTTCATTCAGATTACCTAGCTTGATAAGAATCTCACCCCTACAAAGCGAAAGCTGCTTGAGTCGGCGTACTCGTGAGCCTGTTCATTTTCTTCGAGGCCCACTTCCATAGTTTCTCTTCTTCGTGGGCGCTCGACAAACGAAGTCGCTCATCTTCCATCCTCCTATGTCCCAAGCGTGTAGGAGATCTGAAAAATTCCCTTCAGATTACCTAACTTAATAAGAATCTCACCCCTACAAAGCGAAAGCTGCTTGAGTCGGCGTACTCGTGAGCCTGTTCATTTTCTTCGAGGCCCACTTCCATAGTTTCTCTTCTTCGTGGGCGCTCGACAAACGAAGTCGCTCATCTTCCATCCTCCTATGTCCCAAGCGTGTAGGAGATCTGAAAAATTCCCTTCAGATTACCTAACTTAATAAGAATCTCACCCCTACAAAGCGAAAGCTGCTTGAGTCGGCGTACTCGTGAGCCTGTTCATTTTTCTTCGAGGCCCACTTCCATAGTTTTCTCTTCTTCGTGGGCGCTCGACAAACAAAGTCGCCCATCTTCCATCCTCCTATGTCCCAAGCGTGTAGGAGATCTGAAAAAAATTTCCCTTCAGATTACCTAACTTAATAAGAATCTCACCCCTACAAAGCGAAAGCTGCTTGAGTCGGCGTACTCGTGAGCCTGTTCATTTTCTTCGAGGCCCACTTCCATAGTTTCTCTTCTTCGTGGGCGCTCGACAAACAAAGTCGCCCATCTTCCATCCTCCTATGTCCCAAGCGTGTAGGAGATCTGAAAAATTCCCTTCAGATTACCTAACTTAATAAGAATCTCACCCCTACAAAGCGAAAGCTGCTTGAGTCGGCGTACTCGTGAGCCTGTTCATTTTCTTCGAGGCCCACTTCCATAGTTTCTCTTCTTCGTGGGCGCTCGACAAACAAAGTCGCCCATCTTCCATCCTCCTATGTCCCAAGCGTGTAGGAGATCTGAAAAATTCCCTTCAGATTACCTAACTTAATAAGAATCTCACCCCTACAAAGCGAAAGCTGCTTGAGTCGGCGTACTCGTGAAATTTTTCATATCAAAGGCCCACGACCATAGTTTCTCTTCTTCGTGGGCTCTCGCAAAATGTAGTCCCTCATCTTCTAGCCTCCTCTGTCGCAGGCGTGTGGGAGTGCTGAAAAGTTTCATTCAGATTACCTGACTTGATAAGAATCTCACCCCTACAAAGCGAAAGCTGCTTTAGTCGGCGTACTCGTGAACTGGTACACTTCAAAGGCCCACGACCGTTGTTTCTCTTCTTCGTGGGTTCTCGACAAACGAATTCGCCCATCTTAGATCCTCCTCAGTCCAAAAAGTGTAGGAGATCTGAAAAGCTTCATTCAGATTACCTAACTTGATAAGAATCTCACCCCTACAAAGCGAAAGCTGCTTGAGTCGGCGTACTCGTGAGCCTGTTCATTTTCTTCGAGGCCCACGTCCATAGTTTCTCTTCTTCGTGGGCGCTCGACAAACGAAGTCGCTCATCTTCCATCCTCCTATGTCCCAAGCGTGTAGGAGATCTGAAAAATTTCCTTCAGATTACCTAACTTAATAAGAATCTCACCCCTACAAAGCGAAAGCTGCTTGAGTCGGCGTACTCGTGAGCCTGTTCATTTTCTTCGAGGCCCACGTCCATAGTTTCTCTTCTTCGTGGGCGCTCGACAAACGAAGTCGCTCATCTTCCATCCTCCTATGTCCCAAGCGTGTAGGAGATCTGAAAAATTTCCTTCAGATTACCTAACTTAATAAGAATCTCACCCCTACAAAGCGAAAGCTGCTTGAGTCGGCGTACTCGTGAGCCTGTTCATTTTCTTCGAGGCCCACGTCCATAGTTTCTCTTCTTCGTGGGCGCTCGACAAACGAAGTCGCTCATCTTCCATCCTCCTATGTCCCAAGCGTGTAGGAGATCTGAAAAATTTCCCTTCAGATTACCTAACTTAATAAGAATCTCACCCCTACAAAGCGAAAGCTGCTTGAGTCGGCGTACTCGTGAGCCTGTTCATTTTTCTTCGAGGCCCACTTCCATAGTTTCTCTTCTTCGTGGGCGCTCGACAAACAAAAGTCGCCCATCTTCCATCCTCCTATGTCCCCAAGCGTGTAGGAGATCTGGAAAAATTTCCTTCAGATTACCTAACTTAATAAGAATCTCACCCCTACAAAGCGAAAGCTGCTTGAGTCGGCGTACTCGTGAGCCTGTTCATTTTTCTTCGAGGCCCACTTCCATAGTTTCTCTTCTTCGTGGGCGCTCGACAAACGAAAGTCGCTCATCTTCCATCCTCCTATGTCCCAAGCGTGTAGGAGATCTGAAAAATTCCCTTCAGATTACCTAACTTAATAAGAATCTCACCCCTACAAAGCGAAAGCTGCTTGAGTCGGCGTACTCGTGAGCCTGTTCATTTTCTTCGAGGCCCACTTCCATAGTTTCTCTTCTTCGTGGGCGCTCGACAAACGAAGTCGCTCATCTTCCATCCTCCTATGTCCCAAGCGTGTAGGAGATCTGAAAAATTCCCTTCAGATTACCTAACTTAATAAGAATCTCACCCCTACAAAGCGAAAGCTGCTTGAGTCGGCGTACTCGTGAGCCTGTTCATTTTTCTTCGAGGCCCACTTCCATAGTTTCTCTTCTTCGTGGGCGCTCGACAAACAAAAGTCGCCCATCTTCCATCCTCCTATGTCCCAAGCGTGTAGGAGATCTGAAAAAAATTTCCCTTCAGATTACCTAACTTAATAAGAATCTCACCCCTACAAAGCGAAAGCTGCTTGAGTCGGCGTACTCGTGAGCCTGTTCATTTTCTTCGAGGCCCACGTCCATAGTTTCTCTTCTTCGTGGGCGCTCGACAAACAGAAAGTCGCTCATCTTCCATCCTCCTATGTCCCAAGCGTGTAGGAGATCTGAAAAATTTCCCTTCAGATTACCTAACTTAATAAGAATCTCACCCCTACAAAGCGAAAGCTGCTTGAGTCGGCGTACTCGTGAGCCTGTTCATTTTTCTTCGAGGCCCACTTCCATAGTTTCTCTTCTTCGTGGGCGCTCGACAAACAAAAGTCGCCCATCTTCCATCCTCCTATGTCCCAAGCGTGTAGGAGAGCTGGAAAATTTCATTCAGATTACCTAGCTTGATAAGAATCTCACCCCTACAAAGCGAAAGCTGCTTGAGTCGGCGTACTCGTGAGCCTGTTCATTTTCTTCGAGGCCCACTTCCATAGTTTCTCTTCTTCGTGGGCGCTCGACAAACAAAGTCGCCCATCTTCCATCCTCCTATGTCCCAAGCGTGTAGGAGATCTGAAAAATTTCCTTCAGATTACCTAACTTAATAAGAATCTCACCCCTACAAAGCGAAAGCTGCTTGAGTCGGCGTACTCGTGAGCCTGTTCATTTTCTTCGAGGCCCACTTCCATAGTTTCTCTTCTTCGTGGGCGCTCGACAACCAAAGTCGCCCATCTTCCATCCTCCTATGTCCCAAGCGTGTAGGAGAACTGGAAAATTTCATTCAGATTACCTAGCTTGATAAGAATCTCACCCCTACAAAGCGAAAGCTGCTTGAGTCGGCGTACTCGTGAACTGGGACATTTCAAAGGCTCACCGTTTCTTTCTTTTTGGCGCCTTAGATGCTGGAAAATTTCAAAACATTAATTTTCAAAAGAGTTCTGTAAAAAATGACACAGGCTCATGTCTTTTCTGTGGCACTGATCCTTCTCTCGATATCGGCTGCGAGGCCATGAGACCCCCGAGGCAATACGGAAAAGCTGCCCCGTCGCATGAATTGGGTAGCTTCCGTAGTGATATTCTCTGCAAATTCTGTGTATTGGTAAAGAGTTGGAAAAGAAATAATGTGACAGGAGCTTCAAAAAGGTAAACGTGTACTGTACGTTTCCCTACCTTGTGCTTAATAAAACTAAAGAATATATTTCAGACCTGGACAATTTTTGAAAGCTAGCATTGCGGTTTATTTCATGAAAACTCAAGGCATGACGGTAAAATTTAATTTGCCGCATGTGACCTTTCAGCGTACCTTGTTTCAGGGTTTCAAGAACTCCTTCCGTCCATGGGCCCAATTCTAGTAACACGAATAGTGTACATAGTTCTTCAAACACGGAGCCGATGACCATCTTGAAGATTAAAGTCTTACATTTATCATCGGTTTCCAGGATTCCATCGTTTTGAAAGATATCGTTTTGATAGTCTTCTTTATATTCACCGAGGTTTACCTCAACTTCAACGCGGAGTTCCTCACTGGAACTTTTGGAATTTTCACAATTTCAAGCTTTCGAAACGGTTTTATTAGTTTTATTTTTTTTTGAGCTTTTTTCAACGTTATCTCTAGATATTATCGTTGAAACTGAAAACTGAAATTTTGATTTTCTTCGTTTTCGCCTACCTCTCTTATGTCTACATGATGTCGAGCCGTTTGAAGTTGTCGTCTTATCCTGAAAAGAGATAGTTAAATCATGATAATATATATTCCGCGAACAATTTAAAACGAGCCATGGAGCAGAAAAAAAAAATCAAAAAACGAGAAAGTCAGAAAACGTCAATTTGCAGAAAGTAGAACAACTTGATTGGAAATTTTAGTGAAAATGAGAATAAGAAAACTCTTTTTACCTTATTATTTATTTACTTCATAATGTTTTGGAACTTTTTTTGCAAGTAATGGAATGAATTCGGATCTCCAATACTCCGGCAGTCGTTTTATTTTGTGATAATTTGAGATAATATTGATGTATGAGTCAGTTTTTACCTTCTAGTGATTAATTCATCTTGTAGTTGAATCTTTAAAAAAAGTTTCTGTACGGATTCGCGAAAAAAGAGTCTTTCAAGGTGATGATAATTACTAAATGATATGAAAATAGGAAGATTTCAAATCAAAACATGTCGGGTGTAAGGTAAGGTCGCCTTTTTTTAAAATATTAAGCTATTTAGAGTCAAATGAAAAAAAATTAGGCTAAAAAAAATTTAAAAACCCATGAGAAATGAAAAAAATTTAAGGGTGGCGCTATGATCATGGGAATCTAAAAATCACAATCTTCTCCAAAAAATTTTTCGTGGTGCCAGTTTGAAGAGAAAGTTTCTGAATAGGTAAAATTCATACGTTTCCTAAGGGAACTGACTTACATCGCGCAAAAAAAGTGTCACTAAAATGTTTTTGAAAGATTTTCGTCAATACGGTTTCCGGTCATAGGTTTTTGAGTATTATAAAATGGAAAAGAAGCTCAAAAAACAGAATCAGTTAACGTCTACGAACATGTGACTTACAGTAATTTTCAGGCTATCGCCAAGTTCAAACGGAGCTTTTTAATCGGCGGCCTTGGCCTTCATCATTCTAACCGTCATCATTAGCTGTTTTCAAAACTTTCTTGTTTTCTGTATGCTATTTTTAATGATGTTAATTTATTATATAAAAAAATGAAAAAAAGATAAATGCATGTGTTTCCAAATGGCAATGCGAATGAAACTGGATGCCTAAGTGAAAATCCAAACAAAACAAGGAAAATTGATCAAAAAAAGCTTTATTGCAATCTCAGAAGAAGGGTGCAAATCATTAATACAACAAAACCGTAAACTAGCAACGGCTATGAACTTTTCCATTCATTCAATAAACAATTTAAAGCACGATTGATTGTAAACATGAACAATTACGAAATGGCACAGGGATTGATGGATCACCTGAGAATTGAAGAAAAATTCCCAGTGCTTCGAAAAATTGAGAAACAAGCATCTTTTACACGTAGTGTGCAAATCGATTGCGATCCGGATATTCATTAGAGGTTTTTTGAGATGATAGATATGCAGATGGGGAAATTACCAGAAAACGAGAGTCAAGATCAAAATGACAAAGCTGCAAAGGGCCGATCTGGCCGAGGATTTACGCTCAGCTGCGAGTTCGTCGAGAGTTGAGGCTCGCAGGACCATGGCGTCGCCTGGAAAACATCAAATCTTTATCCTATGGAATCAAATTGTACAATACCGTATCCAGCTTCGCTGATTTGGCGGAACCTCCAAACGTATCCAGAAGCGTGGCGCAGGCCATGCACTTCATAAATTCCGTCAGTTTCTTAAGTTGATTATTTTATGAACTTTTTCGGAACAAAAAATAAAAAAAGACGTACACTGCGTTCAATAAGGATAGGACCCCCTCGATTTTGGACTTTCTGGCAAAATACAGAAAGATATCAAAAATCTGTGAGTGTCATTCGATTCAGAGTACAAAATAACCCCCAGAGCCAAACTTTCATTATCCTAGCGTTCTTCCTACGAAAATGCCATCGAAAAAACGGTTTTTCGACCGTTCAATATGGATAGGACCACCTGGAAATTTTGACTTTCATTGGTGGTTTTTGGTCAATTTCTCTTTTCGATCAGTGGTTTTTTTGTTCTCATATTATTTGTTTTCAATTTTTCTACGGTTTTCTTTTTATATCTTCCAGGTTTAAAGCATATTTAATATCGAAAATAGGGAAAAATGACGTTTCTTGAGTTTGAATCAAAATATTTGAGCGAGTGATTTTTTTCAGTACTTTGAATGAACTAAGTCAAAAATCAAGGGGAGTACAATCCTTATTGAACGCAGTGTATTAATCCGATATCCAAGGTCTGGTTTCGGATTTGTACAAAAATCTGATGTTTGTTCACTTTATTACTCGTCTCACTTTTTTAAAAAAGGAAGCTGTAGATCTTAATTCAAAGTTAAGTTATTCTATAACTTGTTTGACATGTTTCCAATATTTATATGTTATAAAACGCTTGAAAATATCAATCTTACCGACTTTAAAACCATTTATTTTGAGAAAAAGTTTTACTGAAGCCAAAACTTTAAACTTGGAACATATATTTCCAACTTTTCATAGTTGATAGTCAAGAACTAAAGACATAAAGTTTCTTTTTTTTTGAGCGAGATCATTAATTCGCATTTCAAAAATTTTTTTCAATGACCTTCAGCGTTCTAATGTTTCTAGTTCATCCAAAAATATTCACTCTTATCTCGAAGCGACCTTCCACCGTGAGCACGCCAGAAAGCGTCGTCAATGTTGGAGTCCTCATGTTCAGCCTTGAAAATTTAAGAAATAGAAAAAATATTGAACGAAGTTTTTTGTACCCCGAGACGATCTTCAACAACGGCGTCACGGATGAATCGAATCTCAATCTTCGAGACTGGAATCGGGGAGTCGACGTCGTCGTCAGCTTCGATTTTCCAGACGATTGACGTCTTCTTGGCCTCGAGAAGCGTTACTTTTGGCTCGGAAGGCGGATCTTTAATATGAATAATCTTTTTTTCAAAAAGAGAACCATCGAAGAAACTTAATCAAAAGACAAAAAAAATGCAAAAATTCGAAGAAGAAAAACATAAGACTCAAATTTGGTTTAGGCTTGCTTAAAACAATATTATCACAATTTTCGCTGACGCTGAGAGATAGTTTGTGAGGTATTTTCACTAGTTTTTCGGCTGAATATGAATTAAAAATTCTGTGCAGGTTCAAAAGAATGATAAAAAAATTCATGCAATTCTTGCATTTAATGAACTTTAATAAAAAAAGAAGAATTGATTTTTTTACTCATCAAGACTTTTTCAGCAATGTTTCCAGTTGGATCAAAATCGAAAAAAAATTATCACAACTTTTTGAGCCTCAAAAAGCATTGATACCGATAAGAAGTCAGTTTTTTTCTAATATTAACAGGTCCCGAAAAAAAGTGTAGAAATATTGAATCTAACTAATTTTTTTCTTCTTTCAAAAAGCTTCAAACTACTTTTATCAGCTGATAAGAAACTCACTCGCTTCCCGAAGATGAATATCGAGGCTCGACTTTGTCTTTCCGTTGCTCGCCTCACATCGGTAAGTGTGCAAATCGTCTACATTTACGTTGAAAATCTGAAACATTATTTTTTTTAATTCATTGAGGTAGAATTTACCGTCAAATGAGCGCCCTGATGCTGTCCGACCTCCTTCACGACGCTGTACTTGGCAGGATCGTTCAGTTCTTGGTTTCCGTCCAAGAAAAAGGCGAAATGCCTTGCTGGCGGGTTAGATGACGTCACATTGCAGTGAATTGTGGCCTGAACTTTTTTTGTAATTAACTTATGAAAATTTTCCCAATTTTTAGGAATGCGCTTAAATTCTACACATGATTAAAAAAGCTCACTCGGGCCACCGAGCAAGTAGTTTTGCGTTCAAAGTTCAAAAACTCACATCTCTGATTTTATCGTCAATGATGGCGTACTGGACGGAGGACTCTGATTCGAACTCCGGCTTGTCTGCAAGTAAAGGTATTTTTTGGGCCTTTAGTAAACTTTGAACAACTTTTTTTAACCTTTTTGTTTCAGGATCTTTAATGTAAAAAAATTTGAGAAAAAAATGTGTGAAAAATTAAAAAAATTTATTTTTCGGTCATATTTATCAGAAAAAGAATTATGATGTAAATTTTTTTGTTTTCAGGTTACTGCCTTTTTTTGAGAAAACCCAAGAGTTACCTGTTGGCAAACAAATTTTTCTGAACCAAAAAATGTTAAAAACAAGGTGGACTGAATTGGATTGAAAAAAATGAATAGAAGGGAAAAAAACTTTTTTTCGAGCCAATATTTCTCTTAAAATGTACCTCAAGCATTGCTGAAAAATTACAAAAAGTTTGAAATAATTCAAAAACTCACGCCAAACATCAATTTGAACATCGCGACGGTCGACCACTGGAAAGTCTTCGATATTTTCAGTGTTCGCCATTTCAATGTGTACGCAGGACACAACCTGAAAAAATCAAAATCTTCTTGAAAACAAATAATTTGCCTAACCACTCCGTTCAACTCTTTGGTGAGCTCCTGAACTGTCGCTTCATTTCCGGCGATCGTGAAAACTTGATCTTAATTTGTTTTTTCCATGATAAATGTTATTTTTTCAACTAACCATCGAGAGGTTCTCCATTGCCATCAGTAATTTCAATTTGTGGGTCTTTTTCGCGATCCTTTCCAGCATTTCTGATACCACAATCAATGGTCAATGGTTCTCCAACCAAGGCACCCGCATTGAAAGTCGGATCTTTCCATTGAATTTCTTCTGAAACGGTAATTTCATATAAAATGGAAAAAATGGTAAAACGTACCAAGAACTTTGATTTGGACGGTTTTGTGGAGATCTTGTCCTCCCAAAGTTCTCGCGTGGCATTCGTAGGATCCTTCGTCTCTTTGATGGATGTTGGTGAAATGCAGAGATGTTTTCTTGTGATGGGTGTGGTGCTCGAGAACTTCGACTGTGAACACGCTGGAAATTGAAAAAAATTAAAAAAATTCCTTTTTACTTCGGAAAATCTATCGGAGTTCGTGCACTCTATCAACCGAAAAAGCTATTTTTACGTTTGAAAAACTTCTTCCCCTGCTATAATCTAACAGAATGTCTTTTTTTAAATATTAGGAGATCGTTAAAAAAATTGTCATTTCAGTTATCCCAAATGGAACATATCCAAAACTTAAAGAAAAAGGCTTGAATATTGTTGAAGTTTCGTTTTCGGCTTTTTTGGAAGTGAAGAGTGATAATTTCGGTGTCATTTTTTCAACTTTCTAGGTTAACTTGGCAAGAGATTTTGACCAAAATATGTAGGAAAAATCTGCGTTTCACAATCTAATAATCTGGTAAGAAATCCAAAGATTCTTGCGTTTTTTGGTCATAAAGAAACTTTACTGTTTCAAAGACTGAAAAAACCACCTTCATTCCTAAGTTTCGAATTTCGAACATCGTCCCTCTTTTCACTCGTAATTGTTTCACTTGCCACATTCTTCTCTATTACTATCCTTTTTTTGTGAGCTAATGATTCCTCGGGCTATCACGTTGCCGGTGTGTGGGAGAAAAATTGCGCCGTCTGTGGCATTTGGCCTCCAACTATATATTCTGCAAAGAAACACAACACTCGGCAAACAAAACTACTGGATACGTCGAGTCGGTGACGGATGCCACCGACACATGTCCCGAATCTCTCCAAAAATGGCTGTTTTTCTGGCAAGCCGTTACGAAAATAAATTCTAATTTGGTGAAAAGGCAGACTACGGTTGTTTTTGTTTCCTCGACAGACCCTTGGATCAAAATACCAAAAAAAAGGATAAAAAAAGTTGGAAATTTTGCGGTTTCATATCGGCTATTACTGTTACTGACTTTTAGGATTTAGTGTTTCAAACTGAATCCAAAGCTTTCAAATTCTTGACCTTACTTAGTCAAAAAACAAAAGTTTCTCAACTCGGCTGTTTTGTAGCTTTTTGAGTTCCTAGCAAGTTTCATATTACCAGAATAAAAGAAAGACAAAATCTAGCTCCAAAACTCTAAAAATCCCCTTTTCTTTGATTTCAGAGCCTTCCAGAGCTGATCATCAATCAAAAAATCCCACTAGAAAAAAAGGAATTTTTTTAGGATCACAGACTGCCGGGATTTGTTTGAATATCTGCGTGCGTGTGTGTTCTGGGGCACACACACGTACGTCCGGAGCAAACAATTTTCGACCAATCGTTAAAAAAAAGGAGAAGCCAAACCAATTTTTTTTCAGCGTAAGATAAAAGGCCTTGAAACGCATTGGAGAAAATCAATAAGTTTCACTTTTTGTGAATTTATTGCGAGAGCTCGATTACTTAGGAGTAATGAACACAATACAATTCTTGAAAAATCTAGGAAAAAAATTTTTAAAAAAACCTTATTTCAAGGATCAGCTGAATCGAAAAATAATATCCGTTCTATTTATTTTTTCCTAAAACTACTCGATTCACTGCACTCCTCATGCAACAGATGACAGGCCCTTTTTTCCACTACTAAAAAGGGAAGAAGTCTAACAACACTCGCGGTCCCAGAAACTGAAAAAGAGTTATAGCCAAAGGGCGCACACAAACTCGAACAGATTAGAAAGGAATTAGTAGGAAGAAGCATGCCGCACCCTTTGACGGACCTAGGCGAGGATTCGCCGTCGATGATCCTGTTTCCGTCTTTCTTGCGCCATTGGAGGTCAGACTTATCGGCAATGTCCTCCCGGGCGAACACGCAGGAGATCATCAACTTCTTCCCTGGAAAAATTCGCCTTCTTGATATAAACATTCAGTTTGTTTCGAAAACTTCTTTACAAAAAGGCCGAATCATTTCAAAAATGCATCGAAAGGGAAATCGACTTTAAGTGATGCGGTTTTGAGATAATAACTGTAAACTGATTTTGTAACGCTTGTTGAAGATTTTCCAAAGTTTCAGGACTTTCAAACGATTTTTGAGTAAAACTCGGAAAAAATCTTGTAAAAGTTCTGCTTTTAAAACAAATTAAGCCATTCTAAATGCGAACCTGAAACTTTTTATAGCCCTTCTCTTTGCCAAAAATTGACACATCTTGCGATTTCGAAGGATTTTTTTTCATATAAAGCTTAAATTTAGGCAAAAAAAGTAAAAAAAAAACTTTTCAAAAACCCCAAACTTCCAACCTTGTCGGATCAAAATCGTGTTGCTGTCGTAATCCATATGGTCCGCCGAGATCGTGAGCGGATTCTGGCCCTCATCTTCCGTGGGTTCGTCTGAAACTTTTTCAGTTGAATATTTTTTTCTTTTTGCTCTAGGTGTCCAATCCAAAATATTTTCAACCAGTCCCTCACCACCTGCACTCTTTTTTCCTTCGTTTTTTTTTGGTTCGTTGAGAACTGCAGTTTTTTCAACGTGTTGCCTGTGCATCAGGCGACAGCAATGTTAGCTCAGACATGGTGAACAAGCGGTATTGTTTCACCGTTTCTTTGTAGAAAGGAGAGGAGGAAAAAAGGCTCAGTATGCCTACCCCAAAAATTTTCAAACAAAAGGGCTAGATTTCGACATGTTGAACAAATTTGGGTTAGTGAGTGCAATAAAAAGAAAATATGGTTCTGCAATTGAAACAATAATGTCATCAACAAACTTAAATTCGAAGTTATTGATGGAAGAAAGTTTCCGTTAAAAAGTAAACCATTAAAAACTGATAGAAATTCAGATTTTTTTTTGTTCTTCTGGTTTGAGTATCTTCTTTATGAATTGTCATAGAAACTCTAATTTTTTCTGGTCCTATTTTCCCACTTTCATTTTGCAGGAAAACGTCGTGTGCGTCCTCCATGTGGTAAAAATTAGCTTCAGAACGGCGGTTTATTTTTTGGGACTAGAACTTTCGCGCCAAAACAAAGTTTTCCAGCTTAATCCTGCCTGTCACTCTTCACGAAAAACAAGCGTATCTTTTGCGCAAGTGATGGAAAGTTTGTTGAACACACTTTTCTTGAAATATTCAGCAAAAAACGGTTTTTTTTTGAATGAATTTTTTTTCGGTGCCTCGGGAAATTCAGTGTTGGCTTTGGAGCATTTCGATTTTTCTTCTAACTTCCTGATGAACAATTTCTCTAGGCTCCCTTGTAAAACTGTCCTTAGATAGTATATATTTGCCGGCTGGACCAACCAAATCGTACGCAAGACGTAATATTTGCATAAAAGGTGTCGAAGCCACTTGAGTGGCCTCCTCCTTCCACACGTCGTCTTTCAACAGATAGATAGCACACGAAGCCGCCAAATTGACACCGGATACGGAGCGACGCAAAAATTTGCATAACATGCGGAAGGAGGCGACAGCTTGTATGTATCTCCTGTTTTCGCTCGTTTACTCCTTGGAGATCGTTTTGGTTTCTACTTGAAGCCTCTGGTCGAGCTTTGATTTACTGAGAATTTAAAAAAATAAAGAATTAAAAAGAAGAGAGACATTTGAGGTTGTATTTTTCATCAAATCTAAATGGAAAAAAATTTTTAAAACGAAAGTTCATTAAATTGAAAAAAAGATGCTCTCAGAAAAATTTTTCTCAAAAAAATTCAAAACAAGATCAAATCATTGATATTTGAATGAAAAAGCCCGAAAGATCGACAATTAACTTCATTAAAAAAACTCCCAGAAATTACTCAAAAAAAGTTTAAAATGAGCTCAAATAATAAAATTGACTTTTTTTCTCGGATTTTTTTCAATATAAAAGAATGGAATAATCTTGAGGTGAGATCTGAAAGAACAAAAAAATGATCATATTCAATATAAAAAAAAATTTCAGTAAGATAGCTGAAATCTATTATAACACGTATTTCTTGAAAAAACTTTTTCCGAAGTTCCAAAAAAAACATTTACGACATTTCTTGTCGGAATTGTCCTATTTTCTCCCGAAATCCTCAGTCTTCAACACTTGTATACACTAAATCAGTTCTTCCCAAGAATCAGAAGCCAACAGCTAATTAGGGGAACAATGTTGCCGAAACCGGCTCAAAGCCATCTGTCTTTTCCCCGTCCTCATTTTGCGCGAAATCCAAGTGTCATTGTCAAAAATTCAAATTTCACTCAATGTTTCCCTTTCGAAAAGGTGACTCTTAAAAATCGCGTGACTTTTAGCCGCTCAGCCGAGTTTCTGCTGCCAAAACGTCCTTGATTGCGTTAATTTGAGTCAAATCCGAGCCCTCCATGCATTCTTCATGCGACGGCAACACGCCAACCCCGATTATGCGTTCCTTTTGGGCTTGCTTCGAAACAAATTCGCCTCAAAATAAACTACTAGAGCCCCGTTTTTTCCAAGGTTTCCGAGCAACCCATTTTCTTTTCCATGTTCTTGTCTTGTTTGATTTAAAAGGCAGCGAGAGATGGAACATCTCGAAAACTAATATGTACCGAGTTTCGCCAGAACCGAAATTTGATAGTGGCCGACGGCGGCCTTTTTACGCGGCCAAACGTTCCTTCGTGAGTGAGGTGAATACACGGTACAGTCCCAGCGCATGACTAACCGATCTCGGTTCAAAGAAGAGCAAAAGCTCAATTTTATTGTGGAAGTTGGAGCTTGACACGTTTGTTCGGCTTCTAGAGCTTTACTTTTGGAAGTCGACATGAAGAAATGAATAAATAAGTGGTAAGAGGGCATAAATAGGTCAAGCAATCTTTTCGTGATTGCTTCTGAGAGATTTTTTGCAAGAAGGCAGAAACAGTAACATATCATAACTCTATAATTTGAGAATAATTTTTTGAGATTATTAGTGCGTTTTTGAGATTCTTTGAAGCATCAAAATGCTGCAGAAAACTTTCAGAACAGCTTAACCAAAACTTTCAATTTTTCCTAGAACTCGAACTTCATTACCACCCATCTACCATCCCTTCTAGTCTCAGCAATATGTTGCCGGAAGGCCATTTAGTTGTACGACACACAGACAAATGACACGCTTAGATGCCGGCGACATGTTGAGACAATAGATTGAACGGCTGTACTGCTACAACAAGTCGGCCAGGGCAGTCGCCGTGTACAAATACACTGACAAACAGTTTTGGCTCACATTTTGCTCCAGCGGCTGGCGTTTGTTCCAGAGCGAAGATTGAAATTTGATTGTTTTTTGTTAGTTAGAGAGTGTGGGTAGGAAAAAAACCGTTCCTTTGGACCAAACTCATTCAAAAAAAGTCAGTTTGGTGTTCGAAAACACTCAAAACTCGGATGAGAAGAGAAAAAAGTCTCTTTTGTCGAAAAAAAAAGATTTACTGTTTCCAACTCTTCATAAATAAGGATAATTCATATTCAGAGAAAAGTGGCTTTTTTCGGGAATAGTACTTCAAAATAAGTTTAGTGTTTAGAAATTCGTAAAATCTCAATAACCCTTTAAGAAACTAACGAACAGTAGGAGCGAATCCAAACTTTTCTGAATCTCCTTTTTCTGAAGAACCCTAGAAGCTCTGAAAAATCTAGGAACCACACCGGTTAGCTCCTAATTACTCTAGCCTACGAGTCCATCTTCATAAACTATTCGACAAATTTCGGCGTGCACCTGGGCAGGTGTGTCGAACAGAACACATCACAAAAAGACGGTGCCCCTGCATCTGAATACACAATAGCCACAGTGAATCGACCAGGAAAAACAAAAAAAATCATCCTACCGTGCGGTATATCGATTTCTAGCCGAGGAGAGGAGCTTAAAAATAATCTTTTGTATTTCTTTCTTTCTTTTTTCGCCTCCGCGCATGATGCTTTTCGAGTTGAAATTCATCCATGCTCTGCCCAAGCAAGCAACAATGGGAGAGCCGCAATACAAATAGAGTCAAACTTTGTCGGGAGTCTCTTTTTTTCTTGAGAAAAAGAAATTTTTTTACTTTTTTTCTTACTCTTTATGTCAAGAAAAAAAGGTTAGAATTTTTTTGAATCTTCCAAGTTATTGAATCAGAAGTGTGAGGAAATAATTGAATAATCATCTTTGAAATCAGGAAACAGGAACCAGAGGTAAATTATTTTTTTACAAGCCTAAAAAAATATGAGAAAGAGAAAAAAAGGTTTTAAAACAAAATGAACAACTTGTCCATGTATTTAAAAAAAGCTAGAAAATTTATTTTTCAATTTAGTCAGAAACAGGAATCGCAGCGAAACTGTCAATTTTTTTTTCAAAAAAATATTATTTGTATTTCAAACCCTGTATTTCTTGTGAAAAAAATTCTCGTGGTCTCCTTCTACCGGCAATTTCTCATGCTCAGTCACCCTAGGCGACAAAAAGATCCAATTCCAGTTCCGACCCACCTAAAGGTACGAGTCACCTTCCACGTACTAAATGAAGCATTCTCGCCGTTTTTTGAAAGAAACCTGGGTTGTGTCGGAAAGGATAAAAGGTACGCGATTGCCATTAAATCACGATCGTTCAAATTTCGAATGGAAAAATGTGAGGAAATGCGGCATGGAATCTTTATTTTTTCGAATGGGAAGATATTCTTATTGTTTGGATGGGAAACTGTACTTTTAGAAAGTGCATGTGAACAGACTGCTTTTTTTCATTACTCGAACCTTTTTTTCTATTAAAAAAAGCTTAAAGTTGCTATGTTTCAAAGACGGAAGAAGGTTGAATTATCTATTTAAACCGATCAAGGAACCTCAAAATTACAACTTTTTTTGCTGTTTCACTAATCAAATAATTAGGTGAGTAATTGCATCTAATTAATCAACAAGCATTGTTATGAAAAAGTTCGAAATTTCGGAAAAATCACACCGAATTCCAAAAAAATTCATAAGTATTCTTGATTCCTGTTTCATAGACCATTAAATAACGTGAAAATTGTTCTGAGTCAACTGGTAGTTCCTCTAAAAAAGGCTTTAATAGGAGCGGCGGACTGGAGCCAGGTCCTCCGGGGAATTCCCAACGAAAGCTCCTTGAAAATTTGTCAACTACTGCGGCACTCCAAGGCATATTGCTTTACTTGCTGCACGCCTTGTCAGAATGATTAATGATGATGATTTGGAAAAGATAATCCTGACATTCGAATGAGAAATCTCAATTCTTTCTATCTAGTTTCTTTGCGAGTTTTTGGTCGTATTTGGAATGGCTCCGAGTCCTTCATTTTTACTTTTGTGTTTTTAAGCCTCTTTGTAACACAAACTCATTCCAAACGCGACCAAATCCATGTCAAAGCTGATAGGTTTTTTCCTTGATCCTGTTACCGCCAACGAGGCGAGAACAAGAAAATACTCAAGCGAGAAAAATGCAATTGTCAGCTCGTTGATTCCGTCAAAGCAAACGTCTTTTTTTCCTCCTTTTTTCTCTTTTTTGGAGCTTTTACAAGGCCGACGGGATTGAATGACTTTTTTCTCTGGAGAACATCTCTTCTAGAAAAGTGCTGATTTCCTTTCAAAGCCCATTTTGTTTGCTTAGAAATTTGGGGCAACGAGAGGAAGGCTATCCAGAGGACATTAAGGCAAGTCGAGAAGAAAGTCGTTTCTCCGCAACTGCCATTCACTTTGAAGTTCCAGCAGTGGTAGTTGGAAAAAAAGCGTCTCACGTTGGATTTCGTCAAAAAAGGCTTCATGGATAGTACTTATCTCTACTAAGGCTGGTGTGGGATGAAACTTCTGATGTTTAATAAAGATTAGTTCTCACAGAGAAAATGAAACAAAAAAATTTATCAAAACTTGAATTTTTGAGAAAGTGCGCTCTATTGTTAATATTCAGATCTACCGAAAAACGAGGGCCTGAAACTATAAATAAGAGCTTTTTGAGCATTCAAAAGGCTGTTTTCATGATCTTCAGCTTATCAAAATTCCATTTTCCATAGTTTTTTCACTTCCAAATTTTCAATTGTTTTTGATAATATTTGCTACACCGCATCCTTCCAAAAAATTGAACGTCTTCCTTTGTTTTTGTGAACTTCCTCAAAATTTGATTGGCCGTTCCGAAAAAAAGTTCTGCTGTTATTTCTAGCCTTATCATTGTACTGATCGTAGCAAAGTTTCAATTTTCTCTAGTGAAAGCAAAAAAAGCTTTTGACACAAGTTTGCTCCATGGCACGACGTTTAACATGTCCACTGCGCCTTCCAATTTTTTTTCTCTTCGATCTTTTTTCAAATGAAAAATGACGTTTTTTGCAACAAAAATAATTTTTGAAGGAGGGTGACGGAAAAGACGAAAAACGATGAAGGGCAGAGGCACTCGAAATGCTTGAACGATGCTCAAACAACTCTGGAAATTGGTGTGCAATAGATACGGCCGAAGCGGCTTTTGCGGAGGGCCTCCACCACACAAGAAGTTCGTGCGGCCGGCCGGCGCCAAGAGAGATTTTTATAAGAACGGCCTCCGATCCACTTGAACCGTTTATACTTGATCGGTGATGGATTATCGATTGATAAGAGATTTTTCATAAAAAAATTTAGAAAAAAACATTTTTTTCAAAATTTTTCAAAAAAATGGAAGACACTCAGTCATCAAGCCTTTTTTTGAGGTTTTTTGGAGATCGAAAAAGTGTCAAAATTATCCTTTTAACATTTTAATCGATATAGTCGTTTTCTTATCTAACGGTTGACCAAAAAAACATGAGAAAAGACTGCACGTGAAGACTGAATTTTGTCAAAATCCGAGTCAAAAAAAAAATCTCAATCTATATTTACTGTATCCTTCAAGAGTCTAGAAGAAATGGTCGTGCCAAAAACTCATTTTTGAGACTTGATGAGCAATAAACCCTCAGGGAGATATTTCAAAAAAAAAGTTTGAAATCTCATATTTACCTAAACTTTTTCTCAACTTTTCTAGCACCCTTGCAAAAACTGAAATCATAAACACTTTTACAGAGTACTTGAGGCGGCGGGCGATTGTAGCGGAAAAAAGTTCGCAACGAGTCGTTTATAAGAGGCGATCAACAAATAATAATCGTCGAAAAAAAATAGACTTACTCGAACATTGAACGGCGGCCACGCAGAGCGATACCAGTAGCCACACAGTTCGCATACCGCTGAAAAAATGACGATTTTGAGATTTGGGGCAAAAAATGAGGGAAAAAAAGGAAAAACAAGCGTGCCGGAACGGAAATAAACATTGGAATGCAGTTGTTTTCATGAAGAAGTGCGTTTTGAGAGGCTTCCAGAAGAGAACAAAAAAAAAAAGATATATCCAAAAAGTATTAATAGTTTGTTTAACGAGTCTCCCAGGGGCTTCATTTATTGCAACTGCAATGAACTTTGAGAGAGATGGAAGGATGAAACTGGATAAATTTGCACTTTTTGTCTGAAAAAAAGAAGTTTCGAATTTTTCAAATTAAATGAGCTCACAGTTTCAAGACCAAAAAGTTTGGAAAAAAATTTTTTTAAAGGAGTAAAACCATTTTTTTAAAAACTTTTTGGGGTCCCACTGATAAATTAATTCTTTGCTACAAGATTCATTTTTCTGTTAGCAATCAAATAAAAAAAGGTCATAAAAAAATGCAAATACGAAGAAAAATGCAAACATCCAGAAAAAAATTTCGCCGGAATTTTTCGGTAAGTTGACTGCTCTGAAGTTACCTCCCACCTGACTCTTCCGAAATTATTTCTTTTAAAAAAACTAATCTGTTATTTAAAAGTTAAATCAATTTACTGTTACAAGTCGGAAATGAAAACATTTAATGAAAATTTATAATCCAATATCGCAAAAAGCTATTTTTTCTTATTTGATAAACTTGTTTATTCACAATTTTGAATGACTTTACTGTCTCAAGTCAAAAAAACTCGAGAAAGGTCAAATAGAGCATAGCAAAAAAAGTCCTGAAAATGGGCGAGACGGCAATTAAAGGGCCAATTCTAAAAGTTGGCGTGAAAAAAGAAGTTGAAAACAGCTAGGGACCAGCGAGAAGCCGAGAACGGAGGCCACCGAGTGAAACGAAACAGCGCCACGCCCGATGAGCGCAAGCTCCGCCTCCCGCGCGAATACCGCCATGGCTCACGATTTTTCAACCTTTACTGTGAGGTTGATGGACATTCGCTCAAGCAGGACTAATTTTGGTCTCTAAAAGTTTTATGGACTTTTAGAAGCGGAATCCAACATTAAAATCCTCGATCAGGCTTCGGGAAAAAAGTTTCTACCTAAGACTGCTTTAAAAAATCGTACTTCTGTCAAAATGAAGGGAAAACTTAATTTTTTTTGTTTTTTGAAAACTAAAAAGCTTCTTATACTTTACTACATACAGTAAGATTATTAAAAAAATAAGACAGTTTAAAAAAATTTCTAGGAGGGTCCAAAAAAACGTTAAAATCTTTCTGAAGTTTATTAAATCTGAACCTTTCTTTTTGAAAAATACATTTTATCCTACGAAATTAGTTTGAAAAAAACGTCAAAACATTTTTAAAATTGTATTGCAATTGTGATAATTTTTGGCTGAAACTACACTTACATTTCTGAGTGTTTCAAAAAAGTTGATTTTTTGTTTCATCGGCGTCAGAGGAAGAATTTGAACCTTCTTGAGAAAAGTAAACTTCCTATTTTTCAGGTTGGTTGACTACTAGATCCTCATGAGTCACCTCGAAAACACTCCAAAATAGATTGTGAAACAGGAAAGTCCAGAAAGGACTCAAGTCTACCTAGATGGTGGAAAGTTCCGTCTGACGAAGTAATTGACAAAGCCATCATTTTGACATTACAAAAATTTTGATGTCTTATTCAAAATATTCAACCAGAAATGTGCTAAACGACGGAAGAAAGCGAGACTGATGAGTTAATGTGTTTTCCTGTTTCCGTCGTCTTACTTTGTCTAAGCATCCCACAGATGGACACTGATGGAATCGAAAAAAAAGACTAGAAAAACTATAAATTCATTTTCTTTTTTTTTCTTTTATGCTCTCCAACAAAAATCAGACGTCGACATGACTTTGCAACTGCTAAAATGAAGCTCAAACTATTTCCTTCCAAAAAACTTTTTTTTGAAAATTTTGGTCCTTGATCGAGAATAAACTAGTAGAAGATTTGCATACTGACCAACTGAATTTTCTTCTGGAAACTCTGAAATTCACTTATAACTTTTTTTACTGGATCCAAATACTGTAATTGATTAAATATGATATACAAAACTTTAAAATTGTAAAAGACAAGATAAAATAAAGCTCTAATTCAATCCGAATTTTTGCACTTGAAGAAATATGCTGAGAATCAGAATTTGCACAGGATTCAAAAAGCAAACCGATGGCACTTTTCGGGTATCTCCATTTTTTTTTCTACTTCAGAGATCCGGGTTTTTGACTTAGAAGGAACCAAAGCTTCTAGAAATGACCAGCGCTGCTGCTATCTAGTCACACATTTACAAAGATATTCAAAAATTCAAAAAATCTTCTGTTAATTTTGACCTTTTACAACTGTTTCTTCTTCTTCCTACTCCAAAGACTCTGATTTCCGACTTGAAGCGGTATCAAACGGGCTAAATGGTATAATAGGCTTAAGTGGCTGCTACCAGCTGCGGCAAAACGGCCGTGAGGAGGTCAAACAGCTCCCTCCTTCCTTTCGCGCGGATCCGAAATGGGAGCTGCCAAATTGTTGGAACAATGCCTAAATGCCGGTGAATGAGGCCGAGGCGGCGGCCGCAAAAGGCAACCGCTTCCTCTCAGATTTCCTCCTACCAGTTTGTCAATTGTCTTCCGATAACCGATTAATTGTCCGCAGCGCGACAATTTTGTTCAAAAGAAAAAAATCAGAACCATTTGACGACAATACGGGGGTTGTATGGCAGGCTCTGGCGTTTGAATTGAGGCCAATTTTTGAAATTGGAATGGTTCACAAGAAAAAAACTTTATTGCGGAAGTCCGGAAGATCAATTCTCCTTTGAAAAAAACTTCATAAGTCATTAAAAAGTCCCGATTTCTGAAAAACACATTCCGTTTCGAAAAATATTAAAAATTGCTATAGTGATTTTCAAAGTCATGAAACATAGGATCTACTCTATTCTACAGCTAGCGAGTTGTTATTTGCGTGTGGAATTAGCCAAAGAACGTCGCGAGCGGATAAGACCATAATTGTACTCAAAATAACGGGTTTCCACATGACATTGCTCTTTCAACTTTTTGCCACACGCAAACTGAGTCTTCAGAGGAAAGTTTACAATTAGAAGCCGGACGCATATTTTTTGTTGATTTGGCTTGAATTTTCGATATCTCACGAGGCAAGAAATCAATCTGCTTTCAAATGACCTGTAGCAGTTGAAAAGTAAGGAGGACCATCTTTCAAACGATTTTAGGTCTTTTCTGGAGCATTAAAAAAGTCAACTTCTTAGGACTTTTTGGTAAAATTCTCAAACAACGGTACTTTGATGTTTTTTCAATATTCATGATCCCCAAGTTTCATCTCCTAGCTCATAAATCAAGCAAGCAAGGCATGAAACTACCAAAGTCCACGCACTTCCACAACAAAATAGGACAAGAACCCCACAAAAGTTCAGTGTTTACCGACGCGCAAAACCAAAAAAAGGTCGAAAACGACTCCTCGAAGAAAAATACAAGAAAGGAAAGTGGGATGAACAACATTAGATTCAATTTAGCGGAAAGGAAATGGAGTCATTTTCAGATGCCCTAGATGTCGGATTTCCGGACGATTCGTGTGTTGACATCCGTTCGACCGGCGCAACCCTTTGAGAGCCGGAAAAGATAAAAAAGAACAAGATGAAGAAGAAAAATGAAGTCTTCTTTTTTTTGAATAGGTGCAAATGAATCATGAGACGGAGATTAAGAACTACAATGGCGGTGAAAGAAGAAATCCGGAGATTTATAGACTTTTCTGGAAAACACTAGTGAAAACTTGAGAGGGAATCAGAAGGACCGACACTACAAGATGCGAATTTACATCAAACCATGTATTTATGCACGTTTGATGCGATAGAAAGTTGTGATGAATCAACTATGCAACAATGAAAATCAAGTAATCAAAAATCAGCATTCAAAGAAAATGAGTCTTTGTTGAAAAACAATAACGAATTATAAGTCATCATTTTCATCACTGAGCATTCCATCCAATTAAAAAAATCATACTATTTGATGAAAAAATAAGAAATCATTAGACTTCGAAAGTCAAATTGTTTAAAGACAAAAAGCTTTTTATAAGAATTTCAAACAGAATTCTTCGGCAAAAGCTGCAAATGTTGGCGAATTGTACTTGAGAAGCACTTAGCTACTGCCACTTGAACCGCTAATTCATTATATGGGCGGCGCATGCCGGAGCTCTATATTCATGTCTCTGCTGGCAGGAATTTTAGAAAGATCAAAGTTGGAGGCCGCTGGAAAAATGTGAAAAAACCGTAATTTTTTTTGTCCCTTAGAACGGTTCTATATTGCCTTCTGCTTGAAAATCACCAAGATCCAAGAAAAAATTCAATTTGCTCAGTCCTTCACTTTGATGCTAATGCTACAAGTTGAAAAAAACCCCCGTTTAATATAATTTTTTTGAAGGCTTTGAGAATGTCAAAAAGCTGGAAAATTGATAGAAAAAAAGTTTTTTTGAAGTAAATAAGTAAGCGAGAGCATTAGAAGAGCTAAAATATCAGATTAATAAACTTCTTTAAAAAGTTTTTTTTTTCAAAAGATTCTTCACTCACGACATTTCAAAACTTCTCAAATCTCACCTGTCCCTTAAAATAACAATCATAGGACATCGGAAAATCTAGCAAGAATGAAAGCTTGACTCAGAACTCAGCGGAAAAAGTTGCAAAAACAGAAGGATCTTCATTGGCAAGGGAGGCTTAATCAAATGTTGCGTGTGAATTGGATTGGCTCAGCATGCGGATGCCGTTCAGCTAAAACATCTGAGCAAAAAAGACGCGTTCCACGGCTCGTGGACTTCTAAAAATGAGAGAAGAATGGCGCCAAACAGAGCACTAAATTAGGTGAATCAATTCTCAATTCGTTGACTCCACTTTTCATGTCAAATTGCTCTCGTGACTAGTTTTTTTCGTTCTGTTTCAATCGGAAATTGAAAATTGCAAAACAGCACATGGTTAAATAGATTGTGTAATTTTCAAAACTCAGCGATCAAGGGTCATTTTACTATGAGTCAATATAAAACTAGCGAAATTGAGGTGATGGTCACCGGGACTCTTCAACTTCTTCAAAGAACTTTGAAATTAAGTTTTCCGCATTTTCCTCACATATTTCATGAGTTTTTTTAAAATTCCGTAACATTTTTTTCCCATTCTAAATTCAGTTAAATGCGAAGAAAGCTTTTTAAAAAAATACAACTTTCAATGTTCCAAAAATTTCTCTTTTTCCTAGAACTACACTGCTCCACATAATTATATATCCACCTGATATTTTTCGAAAAATCGAATATTTTGAGAGTTTCTGAAAATTTTTGTTGTCAAAAGATGGGAATTTCGATCAGATTAATATAGCTATCAACAAAGTTCCTATTGAAAAAAATAAATTTTTTTAAATTTCAATTTTTTTCAAAAAAACCGAATTTTTCCGTTCCACATAATTATATATCCACCTACAACTTTAAATTTTTCGAACCATTTTTTTCCGGTTTTTTGTATCAGTTATCATTTTCTCATCATTTTTTTGTTTGAAAAATAAGAAGAATAAGAGCAAAAAGGTTTTTCCAAGAAGTTGAGGAACCTTGGATTTAATCAGAAAACGGTCGCGGTGCTCTTCATTACATCAGCTACTCTTGAATCGATTATGATGTGAATATTTTGATTCCATAAGTACCTTTGTACTTGTGAGCAACACTTAAAGTTCAAAAAACTTCAGTAAAATATTTCTTTGCACTGAAAGGAGGGAGTTTTCCGATAACATTTATGAATTTTTTGCAGTTTTGCCAAAAATAGGAAACTTAAAATGTCTTCGGACCATTTTTTTGTAAACTTTCTGAGATAAAAATCGTTTTTTTACTTCAAGAATAGTCGGTCTCATCAAAAAAACCTGCTTCTAACAAAGAAGAATGACCGAATGCGGTAAATAACTAAGGGAATTTCAAGTCAAATTCATAGGGATCTGAACTTTTTTTTCTTCGAACTTCAAATTACTTTTTTCTTCTCATGATTAAAGATTACAATTATATTTTTTTGTTTTAAAACATTGAATAGTCCATAATTATCCTTATTCAGCGAAAAAAATTAAACAGAAAGTCAACACAATCGAAATCACGAAATATCCTTTTTTGACTCTTGTTCCTCTGAAATTTTTTCAGCTTTGAGATTTTTTTTTGTCAGGTTTTTCTGAGTTAAACTATTTCTGATTCCCTCCTCAGCCTTGTTGCATTGTAGATTAAGAATTTCTCCGCTCAATGACTGAGAAAAGCGAGTTCAAGTTGAAAAAACTGATAAAGGCGCTCACGGTTTTTGAAATTTTTTTTCAAAGTTTGACGCCCATTTAGGAATCTTTTTTGTGATGAACTTTTTCAAAACTTCTGAGTTAATCCTGCTTATGAAAATTCAACACCCACATTGATGACTGTGGAGCTGGAGTAGAAACAGCACTGCGACCGTTTTCTGATTAAATCCAAGGTTCCTCAACTTCTTGGAAAACCTTTTTGCTCTTATTTTTCTTATTTTCAAACAAAAATGAGGAGAAAATGATAACTGATACAAAAAACCGAAAAAAATGGTTCAAAGCGTTTAAAGTCTTAGGTGGATATATAATTATGTGAACGGAAAATTCGGTTTTTTTGAAAAATTAAAATTAAAAAAAAAATTTATTTTTCAATAGGAACTTTGTTGATAGCTATATTAATCTGATCGAAATTCCCATCTTTTGACAACAAAAAGGTTTTCAGAAACTCTCAAAATATTCGATTTTTCGAAAAATATCAGGTGGATATATAATTATGTGGAGCAGTGTATTTTTCTTTTCCTAGTATTTTCACTTCCGAACTATAGTTCCAGAACTCGAAAATACATCTCAAATCCAAAAAATATAACAATCTCCTTCCTTCATTCGGAAAAAGACTCTTTTCTACACTCCAAATCATCAAACCACGAGCTTCTCAACGATAAACCTATGCACATAATAAACTGCGATCATTCAGCAAAAACGGGGCAGTATTCATAAGAAACGGCGAGTTCCCATGGCGGTTTGGTTGCGGTAAAAACTCGCTGGGGCGCCAGGCTGAAAATGGAAGAAGAAGAAGATGCAAAAGAGCGTGGGAAACCTGGCGAGATTGGTTTGAGACGTCTTTCCAGGGGTTGCAACTTTCAGAGAGGTCTAGAAAAACTATGATCATTGCGAAAATTTTACTGAAAACTATACTAGATTACGACTTTCAGTGAAGACCTCGAAAGAATAGGTTATTTCAACATCTCTTTAAAAATTAATTCAACGAACTCAAATTTAATGAATGACTTCAGAAGGTTAGGAAAAAAACTTCCAAGATTGATAGCTTTCAGAAAACCTAGGTTTTAATAAAACTTCTTTCTGAATCTCTAATGAAAAAAACCTGATAAAGGTAAGAAGAAAGGACAAAAATAACATTGATCTTATCATTGAGGCGGATCGTGTACCTTCTAAGAAAAGGATGAAGATTCCCGCAAATGATACGCCACGCCATTGATAGGCCTCTTACTCATACCTTATAATTATCACAGTCTCACCTTGAGATTGTCTTTTGTTTAAAACAGTATTGATCGGAATAATAAAAAAAGGAATTTGATTTGAAGAATTCCAAAAATTTTTGAAAAAAATGAAGTTTATTTTTTTATGAAAGGGTTCATTATATTTTTTTATAATACAAACACTGACGTAGTAAACGCACATCTTTTCTAAAAAAACTTCAAAAAAATTAGTTTGTTAACAGCTTATATCTTTTTCCATTCTGGATCCCAAAAAGAAGAGCTTCGTCAAGTTTCTGGCTTCTTTTTTTAAATTCACCGGGAAAAGTCGTCTTATGTTATTCATTGACGGTTCAAAAAATATTCAAGACGTTGAAATGAAGTTCAGAGACGGGCTTGATCCGAAGAAAGTCGAGAAGAGTTTGCTGAGAGATTTTTCTTCGTTTTTGTCCTGTTGTTCTTTTCATTTGGACATTTTCTTTTAGGAAGTGTAGCTTTTTAGAATTTGACGTTTTGAAATTTTTATTGAACAAAACAAAAAAATAAACAGGTTCCACGAGTTACATCGAGAAAAGACCGGCAAGCAACAGCTTGAATAATAACCCAAATAGTACAGATAACACGGGGGAAAAAATGAACAAATGCTTGGAGAGAATGAAGACGAGGCAAGGCTTAGTCGGTCTGAAAAATTCAAATTAGAAATGACAAAAATCGAGATATTTTACCTTGTCCTGGCCGGTCGAATCGTCAGTATGAGCACCAGTCTGAAAAACATCAATGACTTAATGGGAAACTTTGAAGATCGAGAACTTTTTTATGGTTGAAATAAATTATAGTAGAAAGGTTTCTGAGAAGAAAAGCCGTTGGTTTTTCTTTTAAATTTTGGAGAAAAGTTATTTTTTTAGAGTTCAAAAGAAAAGATTTTTGTTAGATATGGAATTCAGATTTTTTATCGTAAAATGTGTTACCTTGACGTCGTTGGAGTCCTCAGCCGAAGGAGAAGCGCTCATGCCAACAGACGAAGCCACTGCAGTCGCCGAAGTGTCGACATCTGAAATTTCGACATTTGGGAAAACTTTGAAAATTTGTGAGTGTCAGAAGAACAGTAAGTGAAAATCTATCTTTCCATTTTTTTGTAGTTTTCGGTTTACAAAATAATGAAGTTCTCGTTCCGAAATCACAATAAAAAAACAACAGGAGCTCTGAGATTTTGAAAGTGATCCTAATCTTTATCAAGAAGAATGTTTGGCTGAAATGATCCAGAAACTTACGGTTCTCATTGAGAACGACGCCCGGACTGAGCCTGGCGACGCCGTGGCCGACGACGGCAGGTGGAGAAGCCGAACCGTCAGCGCTGTTGATGTTGACCAGAGAATCATCCCGAGCACTGGTATCTCCGTCACTGGTCTGAAAAAGATTGAAAATGAAAGATGATATTCAGAATAATCAAAATATTCAAGAATATTTTTTTCATCGATAAGTTTTTGATTAAAAAAACACTTGTTCACTTTGGATCTCAAAAATTTTTTTAGATTTCGAAACCAATTTTCAAGGAATACCTCGACGTTCGCAGACTCGTCGTGATGTCCAGTCGGCGAGGTCAAGGGAAGACGCACAGAGTGGAGAAGTTCGGAAGCCGTGGGACTCATACCTGCAGGAAATTTTCAAGATTGAATCAAGGTTTCTAATTCCAAAGTCAAAACTTTTTACAGCTCAGAGATTTTGAAAAAATGTGTGGAAAAAAAAATAAAGCCGGTTTGAAGACTCGATGAAGTTAGCTTTTACAGAAGAAGCTCTTTGTATAATTCTTTGACCGCTTTTTGAAAGTCTTTATGTTTTTCGCTTGTTTGGATAATTTTCAAAGCAGCTCGAATAAGAGTGGGAATATTGATGAAGAAAATATTCTATGACTTTTCAATATCCACTTTTTTTCAAATGGTTTCGGCTAGGAATACAAAGCAGAGTAATGGAAAAAAAACTCACCAAACGTCGGATTGAGCGGCGAGCGACGGCGCAATCCCGGAGAGCGAAGTTCCTCGACCCCGGTTCCAATTTCAATCTCATTGGCTGAAAAATCATTTTTTTTTGAATTAGCAAAGTTGAAAAAAAATATGGAAAATCTGAAAGTCGCCAAGATAAAGAAAGATGAAATTTTTCCTTTTTTTTTTAAAAAGCCCACGAAGTTAGAGAAGTATGACGGGATTCTATTATTAAATAAAAAAATACCTCGATTATGGAGAATTGTAAAATCCCTTGGCTCCCTTTCAGAAAAAACTTCAAACGTCGGCATCGGCTTCGGCGCATTGGGATCCGGAGTGGGCTCTGAAAAATAGTCCTCAACTGAATAAAGACAAATTCTTCAAGAAGCAATAAAATATCGAATTCAGAACTACAATCCGAGAAACGGTTTCATCTTCAACTATCAGCCTTAAACTGAAAAAAGGACATACCAATATGCCGATGATTCAGAATCTCAGCGGCAATCGTTGGTTCACCAGTCGGCTCATCGGAAGCTGAAAGTTTGATTTGCTCCAACTGTTTCAAATGTTTTTACACTAAATTAAACTTTTTTTTTGCGGAATCAGGAAGACTAAATTAAGTGGAAGTTATCATCCGAATCGTTCTGACTAAACTTTATTGGGGGAAATCTTTGAAGAAAAAAGAAATTTCCGAAGATCTAGACTTAACTCAGAATGAAATCTTTTCTGAAAAATCAGGAAGACGAAAATCAGCAAAAGTAATTATCCAAACCGTAATTATTCAAGTCAAACGAGGAAAAACTTTGAGGGAAAGAAGTTTCCTCAAATTCTATCGTTCGTGTAACTCACCGATCGAATGAATCGAAGGCAACTGACTGGGCCTGCCGGCGGCCCGAACGCCGTCGGCAGATGACCCGACCGAGTTGTCCAGTTCCAGATCGACAGCATTGACGGTGACACTGACGCTGACATCTCGTTCTAAATTCCGATGTTTATTTTTTCTTATCAGTCTGGAAATATCTCAGAAGAGCTGAAGTTGAAGAAAAAAACGATCATAGTGAAACTAACCAGAAGACGCGGTTCTTTCACGTTCATCCGACACGTTCCTGGCCATGGCGACATCGATAATGCTGATGTGTGAATCTGAAATTAAGTTTAGTTTTCCAATTCAGAAAAATGTTATGTGTGAAAATTTTCAGAGGGAAAATCGTATCGAAGAAAGAAACTAAAAAAGTTGCGAGTTAAACTGACAATCAAAATGAGGAGAGCGCAGTTCGGATGTATTCAAGTCCAGAGCCTGCGGCATCGTCGGAGGAACTGCTGGCATGTTTGAAGGAACTGTCGACATGTTCGGAGAGACACCGGTCATCAGCCCAAGAGTTGAAGACGACGCAGCCGGGCTCTCAATCCTCGTCGAATTTGCATCAGTCCCTGAATCTTTATAAATTGGAAGGAAATCTCGAAAGTTTGAAAAAAGTTTTTGACATTCTAAAAATGGCTCTGAAAACCTTGTTCATACTCAATACTCTCACACCCTAGTGCTCAATTCAAAAATGAATTACAATAAAAAAGAAACTCACGACTAGACCACGGCACAGTGGCCAGAGAAGCCTGGCTGAGCCTGCCGTGGTCCTGCGAGGCCACGGCAGGTGAGGAAGCAAAGCTATCATCGACGGTGCTGTTGGCGCCTGAAAACTTTTCAATAACGTCTTGAAATTCCCAGAAAAAAACTAATAATTTCAAAAGTTCAAAAACAATTCGATGGCTCTCAGAAATTCTCTAGGAGTGTTGAAACTGTAAACAAATCTTTGAAAGTATTTAAAAACTTTAAAGTAATTCGAAAATCTTCAATTGTTCGCAGAGCTCATTTTCTTGTTAATATTTTCAATTTTTCGAGTTAAAAAAATCAGTCAACTCACGCGAACTCGTCAACTGCTCCGTGGTGGTACCCGTGGTGTCAACTCCCTGGACAGGCGGTGCGCTCCAATCCAAAGTGTACCGGAAGCCGTAGAAGTAGATGTGCGGCGGAGGACCTTGTGGCACTAAAAATAAATCAGATACATTTTTTTATTTTTACTTTTTTTCACTTTAAGACTTTTTCTTATAATTTTTGAAAATCTTACCTGGTTGGTTGGGTGCCAAAACTGCGTGATAGTTTCTCTGTCGACGAACAGGAACCTCAGGTTGCTTGAAACCTTCACTTGGTTGCTGTGGATCAGCAACTTCTGCGGTAGCTGAAAGTTTCAGTGTTGAAATGAATTATGAAAGTTGCAACATTTAAAAAATAATTTTGTTCGAAAGAAGAGAGAAAATCTTTCCTGAACTCTCTTTTTTGAATATAACTCCTAAAAACTCACCATTCGGTCCTTCAATTTTCTGTCGTTTAGTGACCGGCTCAGAGGAAGAGACGCTGTCCTGGCTTTGCGACTGGGAAACGGCTGAAACTTTTGTGTCATTAAAAAATATTACGGTAATTAGGATTTTTAAAAATGCATGGCTGTTTTCTTATCAAATGATGAAATAAATTGTAACTTAGACCGAAATCTGAGATTTTCGATTTGCTCCTCGTTTTGTTTGAAGCTAGTTTTTTGGGAGATAAATTGACTTGAAATGCTGAAATTTTGAGTAACTTACTGGAAATGTTCTCAGCAGTCGGCTGCCTGCCGACGGTGGAATCGTCAGCAGGATTCGCTGGTCGGAACGCGGCTACAATCTCGTCGAGATCCAAAAGCTCCTCTCCCTCGTCAGCTGAAATTTAAAAGTTGAGTAAAATTCAACATTTGGAAAGAAAAACTCAGAAATATTTTTTCAGCAGAATGAAGCGATTTGGAAAAATCGTTTCCAAAGCATTTTTCAAGAAAGTCCTTTTTCTCATTTCTAATGCGGCAATCCTCTTTTTCAAACCGAAATAATTTCCTATTCAATCTTGATTAGTTAAAATTATCGAATTTTTTGAGCCTTCCCAATTCTGAGAGGTTGAACCTAAATCTATCCCCATCTAAATATTTGCCAAAATTTAAGGTTTGAAAAAAACGACAGTTTTTGTAACTAATGATATATTTTTGATAGTACCGTCGAGATCGTAAAAAGCGACATGTCGAGCCGCAACTCGATCGCTTCGACGGAGACCGGCTCGAGCAGGACCGCCTCCACGTCCGCCTCTACCAGCTGAACCTGAAATTATTCTCATTCTGCTTGTAAGAAATCTTCAAGTTTATTAGCAACTCATAACAAAGAATTTTTGTCTGTCATCTAATGCTTCTGAAAATAAAAAATGATCCAAATAATGACTTACTGTCCATGAAGTTTGCCGGCTCATGTCTTGGAGCACCGCGGCCTCCTCGAACAGAAAGAGACGCGCCACGTCCAAGATTTGGGGCGCCTGAAAATAGATATTTGTATTTTGGAAGGAAACGAAGTAGACTACATCAGATGAAAAATTTCTGAATATATTTTGAGATAGGCTTTACTGATTACGTAAAAGATGTCTAGAAAATTATTTTTTTCAAAAAGTCGATAGAATCCTGTATGAGTTTTAAGAACCCACAAAAAAAAATCTATCAACCAGATACATTTTTCTGAACATAGGAAAAATTATGAAATATATAAAATAACTCATGTTCATTCTCTCATTATTGCGATCAAATGAAGTTCTGATAACAAACCAGCCAAGAGGTCTTGATGTCCCATCGGAGCAGCCACAACCGGTTGAGCGGCAGGGAGTTGTCCGGCTAGAGCCTCACGACGAGGAGCAGGAACTGGTGCCTCACGGCGAGGAGCCGGAACTGGAGCCTGACGACGAACGACAGGCGCTTGAGCTTCTGGAAGAGGTGCAGGTCGCTGTTGCTGTGGCCGGAGTCCACCGCGGCGTGCTGACAATAAATCGTGTGTTAAAGTCCAACTTCAAGAGGAAAATTTACCACGTTCGACTTGTTGACGGCGAGTATCGCTACGGCGACCTGAAATTTTCTTGAATGTTTTCAAATTTGTAACTGTTTGAAAAAGAAAGTGTGAGCTATAATTGAAAATAAAATTACGATCGCTGGCGAAAGTCGACTTCGCGTATCCTTTCGGAGCATTGTCTGGAAATTTTTCCTTATTTCGAAAGCCGCAAAAAAAAAAACTTACTTCGTCCAGTCATTGCTTGTTTGAATGTTGGCAAGTCAAGTTCTGAAATAAAAAAAATCTTTTTTTGTAGCAATTAAAAAGTGAGAAGCGAGCTAAATATTTTTAAACACCTAAAGATCAATAAAACTAGAAATTTGCGCAAAAAAATTTCGTAAATTTTGGCAACTGTAGATAAAAAAATGAGATTTTTCCTCTTTTTGATTGGTTTGAAAAATTTTTCTACGTAGCTAGTTAGAATGTTATCGAAAAGTTCTTTCAAAAAAACCGGTTTTCCGTTTTTACGAAAAAAAGAAACTGCTTAATTTCGAATTTTTGATTTTTTTATCGATCTTTTTCGAAACTCACATAATATTAATAAGAACTTGATCATTAAATAAAATATCAGAAAAGATCAGACCCACTGGTTTTCCAAAAATTTTTTGAAAAAAGAGACGGATCAATTGAGATGAGGAAAATCAAGACCATTCGAATAGTTGGATTTTTTCTCCATGTAACAGTACGATAAGCGCAAAACGAGGGGTGACAGAAATTGGGCTTTCCAGTCGAAGCTAGGCTGAGGAGCCCAACTTCGACCGACCGCTCCCGACAGAAAAACGACAGTAGAATGAAGATAATAAAGACACGCCTACTTTATTGACTAAGTTCGTTCTGGCTGGCCTGACACGCCCACTATCTCTTGTGAAGGAAAATGAGAGGTTTGGATCAAGAAAGTGAAAAGAAAAATATTTCCAATTTGAAGTCTGCTTCTAAACAAACTCAGAAGCCTTTTATATAAAAAGCCTCAGAAATCAGTCGAAAAAACTGAAAAAAAGCCGAAGTTCGATAGTTCGCCGACAAATTCATAACAAGAAAATTTGAAAAGGATTCCGACCTATTTAGATAGAATCTAGAATAAAATGGATATTTTTACAAAATAAAAGGAGAGACGGAGATTGAGGCCAAGTAGAATAAAAACGCAGAATACGCTGAGACGTGGCGGAAATCGGGCCATCCAGCCCAACAGAGGCTGGAGAGCCCAACTTCGACCGACCGCTCAACGACAGAACAAAGACAGCAAAATGAAGTTAAGACACGCCCCCTGATTTGGCTCAGAGGTCGTTCTTGCCGGACCAACACGCCCCCTGACCCTTATGGAAATAATGAGGAGTATGAAATAATACTCTGTAAGGGAAAAAAACGTCTTCCTATTTCGCGATAAAGTTCTGAACAAGATCAGAAATTTTATATACAAGAATCCTCAAGAAACACTCGAGAAAAAAAGTTGTGAGAAGTCAATTTTTGAAAGTTAACCCGGTAAATTCAAAAAATGGCAAGAAAAAAATATCATAAACTCTCTGGGTGGAACTTTGAAATAAATTTTTGTTTTGTGAGAAAAAAAGAAACTATAAAGTGTCGGAATGATTGAAAATAAAGACTCTAAGTTGGCTGCAAAAAGAAGGAAATTCTCTTTTTTTATTGGAATAGAAAAAAATTTTATCGGATTTTACAAAATTTTTGAGGTGTTCGAGATGAACTAAATTTGTTCATGCAAAAAAACGGTCTTTCGGTCAAAACAAAAAAAATATGAATTTCGAAACTTATGATCAAAAAAACAATTTAAAAAAACTACATAAAAGTCTTTTTCACTTCGCTGAAACCCAAAATGACAATTTTTCAAAAAAATTATGACAAGAAACAATTTGTGAAAGATGTGGATACAAATGAATTTAGAACTTATTTTTGCCATAAAAACTAAAAAAATTGAGCAAATTATATTTAGCACTGTTTTTCAAAAACCTAATGACAATTTTTTTAAATTTACGAAGAGAAAAAAATTGTAAAATATGTGGAAAAAAACTTTCGAAAAAAAATAATTTTGAATGAACTAACATGAATAGAAAAAAAAACAGACTAAGTAACAAAGTTAAAAAAAAATAAAAAGTCGGACATATTCAAAAATAAACTCGTTGCCCGCGATATTGCGAGAATTTTTTCTGGTAGCAATTTTGACGCAATTAAAGGCGCATACAGTATGCCCTTTGCTTAAAAATTGAAATTTAGAGGTCGGAAAAAATTTCATTCGATTCAGTTTTGTCTGATGTGTCTGATAGTGTATCTCTGACACCACAAATAGAAATTTTGAAAATCGAAAAAATCAAATTTCCTATTTCTGCAATAAAAAGGCGGAATACTTCCCGAATACAGAATTTTTTTGAAACGAAAATTAAAAAAGTCTAAGAGAAACTCGATATTGGGAATAATGCAAACTAGTTTTTGTTTGGGTCTTTTTTTGGATCTTTGGTGTGATTTTTTTCCTATAGGCAAGCAGGCTGACCCAGCTCATGGTGCCACAGTGAATTACAACCGCTTGTAAATTAAGACGAAGGCGAGAAAAAGACCCAGAGATACGGACTCACCAAACAACGTTCTTTTGGACCCGCAAAAACCAGAAGTACAGTTTTTTTCGTAAACAGAAAACCTATTTAATTTTTTTGTAAAAGATATTCGGAAATTTGGCCATTGGAAAACAGAAAATTGTCCTGAATGGCTGATAAAATATTTTTTTGATAAGAGGAATTTTCACCAAAATTATAAGTTTATAAACACACAAATTTTTGAAAAATACGTGTGAATTCTTTTTTTATACTTAACTTTTAAATGGACTTTTTTTCAGAAAATCGGTAAGAAAAAAACTTGTAAGAGACAAAAGAATTTGTGGAAAGATAAATTGAAATAAATTAACATAAATAGGAGGAACAGAAAAAAAGAAAAAAATAATTTCATGAAATAGAAAAGTAAGAGAACCAATAGAAACTTTCTTTGCCCGCGAAACTGCGAGAGTTTTTACTGGTAGCAATTTTGACGCAATTAAAGGCGCATACAGTATACCCTTTCCTAAAAAATTAGAGTTAAAAAATCAGAAAAAAGCTCATTAGATTCAGCTTTGCCTGATCTATTCAATAAGGTATCTCTGACATCATGAGAAAAAATTTTGAAAATTTAAAAAATTAAAAATCGTATTTTCAAAATTAGAGATGCTGAATAATTTGGATACTCAGATTCATTCCAAAAAAAAAGTCGAAAAAAACTGAAACAGACCTAATATTTGTAATATTACGGACTTATTTTATTTTGGTCTTCTCGTTGATCTTTGGTGTCATTTTTCCTACAGGCACGCAGGCTGACCCAGCTCATGGTGCCACAGTGAATTACAACCGCTTGTAAATTAGGGGAAGGCGAGAAAAGACCCAGAGATACGGACTCAACAAACAACGATCTTTGGACTCGCAAAAACTAGAAGTACAGTTTTTTCGTAAACAGAAAACTTATTCAAATTTTGGAAAAAGATATTCGAAAAGATCAGCAATTGAACAACAGAAAATGGTCATAAATTGGTGATAATATTTTTACTTTGCACCAAAAGTGATCTAAAAAATTGCAATTGGATTATATCTGAAGAAATTCGAGAAATCGTGAAATAATTACAATTATTGAAATATTAATTGAAACTTCAGTGCCCATCATGCTGAAAAAAATTTCGGAAAAAAATTGCAAAAGTTTAGTTGAAATGAATTTTTGGATCATTCAGACGTTTTTTCTCACAGTTTGGATGGGAAAAGAAGATCTTAAAAAAAATTACATCAAAAGGATTTGAGGACTGGAAAAACAGTTTCAGTAGAGCTTCACTTTCAAAAAGCTCTGTGAGCTGAAATCAAACAATTATATTTTTCCACTACGTGTTTCTTTTCTGCCAAATTTATTTGATAACAGTTCAAAAAAACGGATGAGACTGCGTGTACGGAACGCAAAAAGACTGGAAAGAACTAAAAAAACATTAGAATGGAAACCTTTCAAAGATGTCATCTTTTTTTATCAAGAGCTTCTGTTTCTGATTCTTGATAGATATTCTGGCGCTATTATCATTACAAAGAAAAAAAGGCTCAACTGATGGATTTTATAAATTCGTGATAAAAAAATTATTATTTTTGCGACAGTTTAGCATTTATCGTTTCAGGCATACTTTTAGAGGCCCTTGATTTTTTCAATAGGTGTTTCAAGTTATGTAAACTTAGGACTTCAAAAGAGTTCTATCTAATTTTTGTCAATTCTTTTTCTGTTTTTTTGAAAGAAATCCATCAGAAATTGATTGTAATCGGAATACTTCTGATTTTTTTCCCGGTTAACCTCGCTATAGACTGATGCAATCGAGCTACAGCAGCTGAGCATCTGGATCAACTATTGAGCAATATTTCAATAGAGTTTGAGGTGGCTACTGTCAGATAGGGTGTCGAACTATTTCCGAAAAGCAGCAAGAGAGACAATATGGATTCTCAGATTTTTTCCTTAGGCGATTTACAAAATTTGAATGTTAAGATCGTCACCCTAACAGTTTCAACTCTATGAAAATTTCAAAAAAACTACGAAAAATTGTTCTATTCTTATAGTTTTCTACTTGATTTATACCAGAATCCGTTCATGTAAAAAAAATACATTGTTATCGAATTTTATTGATCTATCCTATTTCTTGATGGAGCTTGAGTCTAAGCGCATAAATAAAATATATACCTTGGTATAATGCGACGTTACCAACATGTTCGATTTTTTTAGCATAAAAGCATAACCATTCGATCCGTCTCGCCGAGATACGAACGAATATCATAAAATTATTTGGCGCTGACAACTTTGGAAATATTAAGATAAACTTTATTAGTTTTCAATCAAGTAATTATTCTGAGGAATAGAAGTGTTTGCTTTTTCTTTTAATGCATTAGTTAAGAAAATAGGCTTAGTTTCAAGGCTTCACACGGAGGCGGAGCGCGCATAGCGCGAAGCCGACTGTGGCTCGCTTCGAAAAAAACTGAGCCACAGTGAACAATTCGTCAAATAAATGAAATAGCTGACATAAAAATCATGTAGTTTCAAAAGGTGGACACTAAAAAACACTATCAGGTAGCTTTACACGATTTGCAAACTTGATACGCGTAGCGAAAAAATCTGTGAAATGTATTTCCCAAAAAAAAATAAAAGAAAAAT